TCCGCTATTTCTTTTGTGTAGCTACAGAATTTGATGTTTCAGTGTGCTAAAATCCAGAAGTTAGTGTAATAATCTGAACGTTGGAGCAAATTTTTTCTTGATTTTGCTTTGTTTTCTGGGTTTTACCTGCTGCTAATGAAGTCACTGTATTTATTCAGCTAGGCAGGCTAGTACTAACATAAGACCTTACGTTTTCAAACAACAGTCGGTTATGTTTTACCTTGTTTTCTAGATATCCAAAGCCGAAGTTCGTTTTCATTTAGCTGCCTTCTGTGACTCTAACTGTTCGCATGTTCGTTCCTAACTGTCCTTTATGATGTTATCGGCAAAACGAAAAGAAACAATCAGCGTTTTTTTAAATTTTCTTCAGTATTATGGACAACACTATCCCACCAACGAGTCAAAATAATACTGAGTGCCCAGCAGTAGGGTATATCGGTATTGATTTCGAAAGGACTCAGACTTCCGACAACTATAGATGAAGTCACAGATGCTACCAGACTATTGTAGAGGGTTTGTTATGAAAAATATGCCATATAACAGTAATAGAGGGGTTGTACTCATTGCTCAGTGTGTTAAAGCAAGCTTAACATTGAAAAGCCGGAAATCTGCTACCAGTGTCTAGTCTATGTTTGCTGTTTTGGCCATAAAAGGAAGCCGAAGGGTTATGATCAGGGAGTAAAAAGGTAATTAACTGTTAATTAAGCTCACTTTTTTAATAGATCATATTTCACCACTCGCAAATTTGTGTTTTTTAAGGTATGATGTCAACTGGTACCTAATATGTTCACCCTTACTATGAAAAGTACCTGCAAATTCTCATCTTCATAGTCGAATTATTTTTGAACAACTGTCTTCCAGTTTGAGTGCTTCGTGCGCCCTCGTACTGCCATTTTACTCCAATTCTAACTGTTATATCTTACTTCTGAAAAATAAAATTGCTATTTGCAGCAAATACAGACTTATTTGTTTTGATGAAGCTAGGGGGGTTCATGGGATTTTCAGCAGGACCGTATTAATATTCTCAACAAAGAGCTAAGCGAGTGCGTTAACCAGTGTAAGTTACCATACAGGGTGCCTTTGAGTTACTAGTGTTCCATTAGTGCGGGTAGGGGCATTGCTTGCTTGTCATTTAAATTAGAAGCTATAAGATAAGACGCAGGTATGGTTAGGATGTGTAACTTCTACTCCTTAGGAGTTGTCAAATGCTGGGACCCGCTGCCCGCCGAGCTAGTCCAAGCGACTTCCCAGGAGTCCTTTAAGAGGCAAGTGGATCTATTCTTAAGGATAGTATCATACTATGATTTACCAATTTCTCTTGCCTCTTTTATTGTTAACATATCTAGTTTCCTGCCTTGAGGTATTGGTGATCCCCTGCTACTAGACACGGAAGCCTGTTAAGCGAAAGCTTCTTCTATTCAGTCCACAACCATTTGAACACATGAACTAGGTGCTGAGAGGCTCGTATATCACAAGTTTCTTGCAACGATTAAGTAGACAAAACAAAGTAGCATTAGATTTAAAAATTTATTCAGGAACTTTCATTAATACTGGAATATCAAACAAAGGTTTAAATGAAGTCCCCTTCTAAAAGTTGCACTGGTAATGTTGAGCGGCAGTCATTGTTGTTTTTTCCAAACGAAAGGGTAAAAAAAGTAATTCAAAAAGTACTGGAAGTGGCTGTGAGACTGAAATGGACATCCCGCATCCTTTTTATAATCTGCTGTTAGTTGGGTCTCCCGTAAACAGTTTCATAGGGCCATAGTTCTAAGGGCAAAACGGTTCTTAGGATCTGTGAAGGCTCACTACTGTTGCATTCTAAATGAAAAAATAGTAGTGAATTTAGTCAGAAATGTGGAATAGATAAATAACCAAATTACATGTTTTTTAGCAAAGAATTTATGCAGTTGTGATTTACCTTGAGTTCATGTATATTAGATCAGGTCAGCTACTATTACTTGTGCAAAGCATAACATGGACTTAGTACCGTATTGCAATGCTTTTATTATTTTGCTCTCATTTAAGTATCCCCTTGCATCTGCGTCTAGTTAAACAGGAAGACATACAAGCAGAGTGAAGATGGCACAGGTATTCAGTGTTTGACAACGCTTTTACCAGTAACACCTAATGTAACTCGTACCCACCAAGAGAAATCAAAAGGCAGAATCGAGGAGATCAGAAGTTGTATTTGACGATTGCCAATATGTCGGAATTGTCTGATCTAGTCTGGCTAGCGATTGCAGATGCTGAGCACGGCGTTCCCACACGTGGTCTGGTGCGGATGCATGACCGAGCGCCTTCAGCTAGATGAGTCAACTAAAACTAATCTGGTCAGAATCCAATGTCGAAAGCTTACAGAGCTATTTATTTTGGGGATTTATTTACCGCTACAACAGTTAGTGTCCGATAAACTAAAGGTCCCAGTTGTGAAAAAGATTCTTAACATCTGTTCACAGCCAGCTGCATTTAATTGAGACACAGAACACTCATCTTCTAAGAATGTATACTGCTCTTCTGCAGGCAAATAAAAGCTCAGACACTTAGCTATCCTGCTACCGATGTTATTGCTGGGGAAATTGTTTAATGACAGTGGTCTTGAAACATGAACAGTGTTAGACGTACTGTCTACAAATAAACACCAAACGTACTTAAAGCTATCTTATAATACCTGACAGCAACAGAATCAAAGGCACGTTTTTTCCTATTTTTAATCAGACTGATTTGAATCAATATACTCACTAAAAACAGGCAACTCTACTTACTGAACTGATCCTTTTCGTTACAGGCTTTAAGCCCTGTACTTAAGTATACTATAATTCTATCGACTAATCTAAATTACAACGGCAACCAAGAGTACTAAACTAAGCAAGTGTCGTAATTATTGTTCCATTTGCACAGACATGTTGCTAAACGGAGTAAAATGAACATAATTCAGCCGATAAAACCAAAACACGAAATATAGGCCATTTGAACTTGCCTAACAGAAGACGAAGGATAGATATATATTGCTTTCAGGCTGAAGACAACAGTCAGTTGTTCATAAAAACATAGTCTACAGTACAACAAACCTTTCTTCAGTAACATCATGCACTGACGGTCTATCTGAAAACAATAAACGATGTGATTAAACTAACTATGACTTGAGATATCATTCCAGCGTGCAATGAACGTACAGTGTAGCGCAGTCGGACGTGGCAAATGAAAATTAAAAACAGAACAAAATTAACAACATAATCTAGTTATTTAATTAAAAATACATTATGAAATGACAAAATCTGTGGTTACTTGAACGCACAGATGACCGTTATTACACTGGGCGATACATTAAGTTTACATGGTTGCGTTGCGAATTAATTCATCGGACAAACTCCATCCGCTCTTATGATTTCGATAAGACTGATCATCAAAATCTCTGTCTGAAACAAATTATCTGAAGGATTGCTTTCGAACTGATTGACTTTCAATGTCAAATAAAGTTCGTCAAAGGTTAACCTTTGGACCGCTCATTTTCATACAATCTATCAACGATTGACCTGAAACGATATTCTCTAAAGCCCTGATATATACTGACGGTTGTAGGATATTAAGAGATTAAAGGTAGGACTGATGTCTATTCAGGATGAATTGAATAGTCAATGGCATTTCCTCCCGAATTTTAGGAAAGGCGGAATCCTAATGGTGGACAGTGATGATGCTCTGTCCACCAGGGTAGCCTAACCCAAATACCGCTTAAGACTGTCTATATTGATTACTTAAAATCTTATATGGGAAACCCACTTAGATTAAACTTTTCCTTGAATATAATATCACTCTCTTGGAACATATTCAGGGACGAACAACCAAAAAGCCCCGAAACTAAAAAAAAATTAATCACCTTGCCTGGACGCTCCAAGTTAGCTACCTGCAGAGTACAAAAGGATTAGGAGACTATGACCTTAATGTGTCGTGTTGCTGGTAACACCGTCAACCCAAGCAGATTACAAACACATTTCATTACCAAACAATGCACAAAAGGTTGATGATGTCACAGGTATTCAGTGTTTGACAACGCTTTTACCAGTAACACCTAATGTAACTCGTACCCACCAAGAGAAATCAAAAGGCAGAATCGAGGAGATCAGAAGTTGTATTTGACGATTGCCAATATGTCGGAATTGTCTGATCTAGTCTGGCTAGCGATTGCAGATGCTGAGCACGGCGTTCCCACACGTGGTCTGGTGCGGATGCATGACCGAGCGCCTTCAGCTAGATGAGTCAACTAAAACTAATCTGGTCAGAATCCAATGTCGAAAGCTTACAGAGCTATTTATTTTGGGGATATATTTACCGCTACTAGGTTATCCGTTTAGGATAGAATTGAAACGATGTTGCACAAAAGTCAATGCAAAATGCTTCGTGATAAGAGTCAACATATTATCTTACTCCACATCAGAAGCAGTAGTGATGGGTCCTTCCATTGAGACTTTTAAAATAACGCTTGATGTTTAGTTACTGGGGGCGATTACCATCGGTGTTACATAACGACTACTTTGAAGATGCCACAAGTATTCTGCGTTTGACAATGCTTTTACCAGTTACACCTTTACAATCGAAGTATGAAAAACCAGTCAAATTATAAGTAGGGAAGTTCTGAGTTATATTTTAAGAACTGTTGATGTCTCGGAAAGCGTTTGATCTAAGCTGGCTAACGGTTATAGGAGACACGTAACACGGAGTACTCGTTTGTGATCTGGTATGGATGCGTGGCCAAGTACCTTCAGCTAGATGTATCCATTAGAACAAGCGAGGTTGGTGTCAGTGTCGAAGACTTAGGGAACTATTACTTATAACATAAGCAACTACTTGGTTTTACCCTCCGATTAATGAAGAAAAACAACGAAGATTATACCTTCACATCATCATTAATGATCTTCGACCGCCCATACGCAGATTACAGGGACCATATAGTCGACTAATCCTGCCGAGAAAGGTTTGATGTCTGGGGCCTGAATATGTTTAACGAATTTCTGGCGGTTGGTATGTTTTCTTACGCTAGGTCTGGTCCGCTTTACTGGTCGTCGCCTAATAGGAGTTATACTAAAATGTAGGTTGCCCCAACCAATGTAAATTTTGGGTAAAAATGTTTATCTCATTAAACCAAACAGCTCATTGCTATAGGCTATCGTCAGCTTGATATAGTACGGCGCATACTTATGTATGGTTATTAAAATGGATACTTTTCTCTATACTTTCGAGAACTCGTATACATGCTAGTTGTTTGGTTAGCACAGTAATGTTTTTCACCCTCACATCTTCTATACAGAGAGTTATTCTATGATGAGTTTGTTACATAAATTTAGCATGAGCTTTTATTACGTAAGTTATTCACTAATGAGCTTACTATACGACAACTTATTTGTAAGTAATACTAGATAATAGTTTTTGCAAAATTCAAATAAAAGCGTATACTCTATGGCATTCAGCACTTTGTATTTCTCAAGAATTGTAACATGTATTTCGTAGTCACGTAGTTTAGGTAGTAGAAATAATTCATGGGATATTCTACATGCATTTCAGTTAGCAGTGAACTTTCGTTAGTTATTGTCGAAGGAAAAACTAATGTTTTGAAATTTAACATAGATACCCAATTGTTTTTAAATCAAAGTGAGAAAAACAGTACTAAAGTTAAAGGCTATTCTTAAGGTTTAAGAAGTGCAGTCCTACAGCGTTTAAGAAGTGTTAGTATCCCTAAATCTAAATAATATGTTGATGAGGTAATGATGGTGATCCGGAATAAGTGATACTTGGGGACATTGGTCTAGTACTGTCTTTGGATATGGATTTTTCCCATGTATCCTAGCAGTAATTAGCAGGTCTGCTCTGCTGATCAACGTCTTATTAAAGTTTTAAATTAGAAGACAAGTATAGTGACTGGACTATTGTATTTAAAGACTAATTTTGCAGCATATAAGAATAGAATCATTATTCATATAATTTTAATTACCAAGTAAGTTGCTTAGTTTATTCAAGTAGATTTCTGGTACATTTCAACCAGCAACTTTCAACTTATCATCTATAAATTAGTTTACTGTAAGATATCTTCCGTCGGAGGTTTAGTATGTTTAGTGACCATATGTCTTGCTGTCTCATTTACAGTTCTCATGGCATGGTGCACTAGCATTTGCTCTCTTACATATATTTTTGCTTCCTCACTTGGTAGAAGTTAGTTTTTTGTAGGCATTCACCATGTTTTTCCTAGTCGAGTCTTTTGAGTTAGATAACCACATAATTATGGCGGGTTGTATCTGTAAAAACTTAATTAGTACTTGTCGTATGAAATATGACAATCAGAATATTCCACGTCGTTTTTATGTAGTATTCTTGTAACGACTTCATTTTCCAATAACTATGTCCAAACAACACTTTGTTGCTGTTAAAACCTGGTTTGACCAATTTCGGGAAAGGCAATAATCTGTTCTTTAATAGACATGCTTGTACGCAGTTGTCAGCGTTAAGAGTTTGTGGTTCAAAAGTATTGTACTGATAACATTATTGATCCATACAGTATTATCAAAAGGTTAGAATATGATTAGCTGTGGTCTACAATCTTTCGAATCACACCTGCCTAAGTACTGGAACTCAAATACATTCTCCGACTTCTATGTACAAACATGGGTTTCCGGTTGTCCAGTGGAAGTATCAGTTTAAAGCGTTGTTGTATTTGCCTTTCCAGAGATCAATATCTCTGTTTTTTTGCCCTAACTAACACTGACTAACAATCGGAAACAGATTTGTTAATATTTGCCCACACTCGCCTTACGTCATAAAATTTTACGTAGATACTATGAAGATACTCATATGTTACAATGTGTTTGGCATTCACTTTGACACATTTTACTTTATCCTTATACGTAGAGTTTCCTGATGTGCTGCATTGTGTAGTGATTTGTCGTAATCTGTGGTTATCATAATCAAGATTTTTCTGCTTTGTGCACTTTAAAATGACGTCTACGAAGCCTGGAGAATGGGTCATGCAGGCTCTACTTCGTCAGTTAACCAACTTAGCCCAATTGAAAATTGAGAAAGCACTTGAAGATGGTCAAGAAACAAATCTCGTGAAAAGCATGAGACTGAATGAAGATGCAGCCTATGAACATCTCATAAGTGCTTTTGGTGTTGCCGCCGAATTCGCTCTTCCTTCAATCTTATCTACACTTTCACTATGGTATAGATCTCAGCACTCATCTGGGAAATATTATCAATTCCACCAGTTTCAGTCTTTAAGTTCAGCCAATGAATACATTGGAAACGCTACTTCAATGGCAGTCCAACGTCCTTTAGCTAACGATAGTAATCCTGTTGTTGAAAGCCAACAAGTTTCATATCTTACTGCCAATAAATCAGAAAAGACTATCAAATGTGCCTCAGAGTCATCTTCGCTGTCGAAATCCCATAATTTACATTTACCAGAGTTATCTGTTCTATTTGAACGACGTGATGTATGTTATGACACATATTATATTACATTTTAATTACAGCTTGCCATTGATATTATATTTTGTCATGTCATGCTTGCAGTTTTAAAGCAATTGCCTTTTCATCCAGGCCATAATGATGTTATTGAATCAATCTTAGAGCAATGTTTCGGAAGATTCAACTATAGAGAGGAGTAAGTCTTTTGATGTTATTTTTAAAATAGTGCTATTTATGACCGGATAATGTAGAATAGCCGTAAGTTACAAAAATTTTTTATTCATATGGTTATACAAGTTAGCAAAAACTTGTAAATCCCAACTTAAATTCGTTCTTTCAAATTTTAATCATCACACGCGGCTCTCATATATTTGGACAGCTCTTATTGTTTTTCTGCCGATTACTCTTTTATTGGTGCTGTGACCATTGAAAATGTTTTTGTTTTTGAAAAAAATACAGTTTGCAGCCGAAAAATAGTGAAAATATAAATCTCGTCGCTGATCTATACGCAGAAATTGTCGGACTGTTATTTCAGTCAAGGTAATTTTGTTGCACGTTTTTTTGGTTTTTTGTTTTCTAACTATATACGTACGATATAAATGCATGCAACTGTTTTAAAATGAGACTTTTGTTTCATAGATTTACAGTAGGTAGTTCGTTTTTATCTCAAACCCCAAGTTTTTTGTTTGTGTATGTTCAGCTGTTCATAAGCATTGGTTAAAATTCCCTTATCTAAATAGCGCTTTATTATTATCTTATCTCCGGAATGTTAATTGGATTTAGTAATTATCTAGACATAGGTATATTACACCTATAAGTGTTTAAGATAATTGTTTCTGATACTATTGCTGATAGTGACAAATAGTGGTATGATGAATCCTGATGGCTTAACGCTTAGCATATTCGATAATTAATAAAAAATATGCGTACATCACTATATCATATGCTATTCTAGACAGCTCACCAAGTTTACTTACAAAACACTTTCAAACAAAAGTTTTCGATTAAGGTTTACTGTGCTGTAAGATACTGTATTCGTAGCTCTCTCGTATATTTTTGTTCTATACTCAGATTTGCTCTGGTACGCTACAAATTTATGAGTTGTCTGAATGATCTGCGATCTAAAGAAAACAGTCAAAATAATAGAGCTAGTATTGTATCTCTTATAATGGGGATGAAGTTTTTCCGGGTTAAAGTAAGTTTTTTTTTACCGGTAATTATATCAATAAATTTAGATAAAATTGAGAATTATAAAGCTAAATTAAACAGTGCAGAGTAGGCTTTTTATCACTCAGATGTCTTTCACATTATGTGACCTATTTAGGCGGAATATTTCCGTCATTGAACCACTAAATTATCCAGAGTAGATATTTTTATGTTAAACTGCATTACATAAGTTAGTGTGCGGCCAAACGTATCGTTTTAATGGTTTATTCACGAGGTTTTGATTTTCGTACAGATTCCTCAGTTGTCTACTAGGTGTTTCTGATTATATTATTGTCATCACTTGACAATAGTGTACCTATATATATATATATATATATATATATATATATATATATATATATATATATATATATATATATAAGTTCAATAATTATCTTTGACTTAAGTAGTATCCAGTACATATTCTAATGTCTTAATTTTTACGACGCATACAACCTCGCCTCCAATGTTAATATTATCAGCCACATATATTCATACAGGAAATTCACCACAATTATTCATAATATAACCTGCCATTATTAAATCTGTTAACGGGACCCTGGTAAATATTGTTGTTCTCTAAGTCATTTCTCGTTAGCGTCATTTCTCAGTATAAAAGTGTTAATCAAAGTCCATTTAAGAGACTGGTCTGAATTTCACTAGATCAGTAACCTGGGTAATTTTTGCATGATTCAAATAAAACGTAATCAGTTTCGAATAAGTCCACTAGTCTAGTGTTTCGACCTTAAATCAAATGTAGTATTTATTAGCTATTCTGTTTGTAATTAATTATACAAATAACCCAAGACCGTAACAATGAAAGTAGTCTATGCTGTTGAAGAAATAGTGTTTCATTTACTACATTTTAAGTATTAATATGGTAACGCTCTCTTTCGAATTATAGTCCGAAGGTTTGTTAACCTCCCCGTAGTAAAGCTAATAAAATCACAGATTTTGTTGTTGGAAATTTTTATATTGTCTGGCGTTTCATTTTCATAATACAGTTCTACATTTCTAAAATGTTTTTCAGATGCATCCAATTGAAGATTTTGTGAAATGTTTCACTTTCTTACAAGAATTAGGTCAGTACTATCTGGAAGTGAAAGAAATTGAAATCAAGCATGTACTCTCTGATTTGTTTGTTGAAATTTTATTGCCAGTAGCTGCTGTTGCACGTCAAGAAGTTAACATTCCAGCATTAAAAACATTTGTAGAAAATTTATATCCAACAAGTTTGGAATTGGCTAGTAAGAAGAAACATATCCCAGTAAGTATCTTTTTGCATATATATTATATATTACGGTATAAAGTTGTTGCTTATTACTGAACGACTAAAATTGATCAAATTGTTAAACCGCGTTTGATTATCATTTCATCACAACGTTTTTATCAACTTTAATGTTATCGGGATCTGAAAATTAGCAGAGGCGGAAATTATGGAAGTGCAAATAAAGTTGTAAGATCTGACAAATAAGTATCATATCCTAAGGTAGATCTTGAAGTATCCGTTTGTGATTGTAGCAAATCACTTGTGCTTAAATTAAGTAGTTACGCAATTATATCAGCTTATGGTGGTTAGAAAACAAAATGTTTGGAATATATTAAGTTAAGGCCAGTCAATTCAAGTCATGATTTTGCATGATTTGTATAAGAATTCAGCAGAGTGACTTTATATTTATTTAATATATAAAGACTGGTATGAGCGGGGAACAAAATAAGCATGGGCCACAAATAAAGAAATGAAATAATAAGGAAATAAAGGAGGGTGGGAATTGCAATCAAAGTTAAGCAAATAAGTAAAAGTAAGCGAAAGTATTTTACAATAAGCAAGTTCAGTCCCAAAAATATAACCGGAAGTAATTCAGTTAGAAGAGTTCCTATTACTTTTACGAAGATTGTAATAGAAAACTAGACAAGGATCCTTACTATCTTTTATTTTCGACTCACGTCTAATAACTTCTCAAGCCACTAAGTTGCACCATTTCTAGGACCTGAATCGGGAAGTCTATATATTCGGTCATATGGGAGTTCTGTGCAATTTCCTTTCACACCACGGCTTTCAGTATGTGTGGGTTGATTTTATCTGTCACATTACCACTGGCAGTTACACAACCACCCAGGTACACAAACTTTACTACTAATTCTAGCGGATCACCCTAAAAAGTGTGTGCAAGCACATGTTCCCACCAGTCTTGCAGAAATGCTTTCGATTCAAAAAGTGCAAATTACATGCCATGATTATGGACACTGATTGCTAGCTGTTTAAGTGCGATTCAGATAGGTTGTTTATCATCGCACAGTAAGACAATATTGTCTCTATACTCATGGTCGTAAGGTCTCTCTAAGAAGTAGCTTTGAAAGGAGTATTCGGTGGTATTGTGTATCTGTTTCTAGAATGTCATTGTTGGCAAAGTTGAAAAGGAATGGTGAAATTGGACAATTCGTCTTAATCCTCGTTGCTGGGATGGGGCAATAAGGAGTTGTTATATTCCTCACTCTGCCTGAGGTGTTTGTCCGCAAAACTTTGAAGGTAATAATAAAATTATCAGCCACACCCTCCTTCAATAGGGAATCTCGAAGCACGACCCTGATGTCAGGAAACAGAACGATTATTGGTCTACAATAACTGTGGTGGTGCTCCAATACTTGGTGAAAAGTGGAAATGTGATGAACACATCTACGACCTGATGGGAAACAAACTTGCTCCTCGCAACTCAGTCTATCACGGGTTTTGCACCATCTACAGAGTATGATAGAAGCCAGTAGTTCGGACACAACCAAAAGTAGATATCTCCCGTTAGTTGCCAATTAAATTACGTAGGTCCTTTTTAAAGATGGTGATGAAAATTGCTCAATTCCAAGATGTTTTAATAGTCTCTGTTTCTCAAACTTTTACGAACAAACCAGTCAGTTGCCTGACCGGAGTTCTACACCATCCTTAAAAGGAGCAAGTGCTAGGTTGTATGTATGTAGTCTGGGATACTCTCCGGACGCCCGAACCAAGCAAGAGGTAATCGTTTTACAATCATAAGGATTACAAACAAAAGATAGTCACTCATTGTCGATGATAGTCCTTCACTTGACAGAGAAAACGACGTATTTAGCATCTTGTTAATGTTCTCAATATAATGTACAAGTAATATATGTATAAACCAGTAGTTCTGATAAGTATATCCGGTTAGAATACAACTTTTAAGATTGTTTAATAATTACATACCTTCATTGTACAGAGTATTTCGTCAACTTCAGTAGCTTTTCAAACTGCATTTATACTTTTTTTTCTCAAAGGCCTTATTCCCGTTGGTGACTTGCTTGCTGTGTGTTGGTACTAAATCATTTTTCTTGAATAATTGGACCAATTTCTTGTCTATCTGCTTAAGTCATCTTAAAAATCGGACTTCTAAAGTAGCTTTGGTCAGTTTACAATCATTATCCTGCATATTGTGGTAAGTTCTAAGCTGTTAGTTTCAATAATTAAAGTCAGTTGTATTATCATTCAACTGTTGGTACGATAACATATATGTACTTTTGGTTTGGCATGTTAATCGTTTGCTCACCTAAATAAACGTTGTTAAGAAAGCAACTTATTTTATACTTTTTGTTCACCCATCTCGTTAATTAACGTTTACATTCGTCTGAAGGATATCACGTATGAAATTAAGCTGTTAAATGTTTTTTACTGTTACACAGAGGGTCTTATGGATTTTTGTGTTCTAATTGCAATCATATAAATCCAGTGGACTCTTACGTGTTACAGAAAACTTAAAAATTTCTGTTTGCTGTCCACTGATTACATTTTCTATGTCGTGACCAAAAGGTTTTCTCTACGTATTATTGAATTATGGTTCACATGACATAATATAAGGACATAGTTATCTCTGTGGTGGAATATTCTTTTAGATCTCAAAGGGAAGAAGTAACAGTGTTATAAATATAAAACTGTCGGAAAGTGGATCAAGTACTTCATTGTTAACTGCACAATCACAGAATTCAACGCTTATCGTATCTGAAGTTTTGACAGTAAACTAGTATTGCTAATCATTGTCCAGCATGTGGTCGGCCTTTTACCGCGTAGAGAAAAAATACATTATGAATTTACATCTTATTGGTTAGAGATGCACTGGTTCCAGGTAGACAATGTTAACTACCATCGATAGTTGTGATCACTTATGGAGTTATTCATTATTATAAATGTCTATTTGATTCGTACGCTTAAACTTCTCAATAATACATACCCTCTAAATGTTATCACTGCTGCCTTTCAAATGATATTGCTACTTTAAAAAAATGGATTATTTGATTTATATTCAGGGTCTACATTGTACGTATCAAAGGTGAAAAACATACAGAAACTCAAACAAAATTACACACAATTATCAATAGTTTATTTCCGAAAAATCAGAAAATTATTCTACCAAAAGATGCACCAATCAATATATTTGTTCGTATTATTCAATTTATTGCTCATGTAAGTGACTATTGTATTGTACCATAATTTGGGTATTGATTCATTTTTAAATTTTTTTTGGCTTTGTTCACATTCAGCCAATTGGTAAATGAATTATTATTAATTTGATATTATTTTGTAACGTTTCATTGATAAATGCTATACATTTCAGTAGATCTATGTTTGAGTTTTTTAATTACTATTATTAAGTTTTTAACTGAGATTTTGTTCCATTTACTTGAATCCTGATAATTTATTCAGACACTTTCCAACAAGTCTGCCTCAAGGCCTTTTACATAAACCTGTGTTTATCTAATGCGTTGAAATAATCATAATATATTACATGTAATTGATTATTAGGAGAAAAAATCCTGTTACTTCCTATGAATGAACGTGTATTAAAGTGTTTTTAAGATCTTAACTTGACTGAGTGAACGAGTTGTTGGTGACATTTCGCACACCACTCGATTATCCAAATTAAACAAGCTGTTAGTGTAGTTGTCTACAGTGAAAATAGTAATCAGAGCATAGGAATATGCGTTTCATTTATTTTTTTGGTGATTGTTTATAATCTGATATAGTTTAGTATTCCGATTCTTAATTTGCATACTCAAGACACTGTGTGCATAAATTAGCGACTGGAAAGGATACAAGCTAAACATTACATAGTTACAAACCGGTGAAAAAAATAATTGAAATGATGCTGATCACTAATAAGATTATTTGTTTTGAAAGGATATTTAGGCGAGTAGATAGATAGCGATCCCACATCTAAATAATCTGAAACTGGGAAATTGCATTAAGAAGTACACAAATGTTGTTTATTATTATTCAAAATTGTAACGTATTTTCTTATTACGACTCAGCTATTCTTATTGCTTAGTATTATTAGACATTACTTCACTCGAAAAGTCCCCAAATCAGAACACGATTAAACAAAAACGTAATTATATTCCAACTAACAACGTTAGATGGAGGTAGGTATCACAATAAGAAAAACGTTATTACATTTATAGTTTTTACGTAAGAAGATTCTGTAGTTTTCTCCAAGTATCTGCTGGCGTTGATTAGTTAAGAAGTGGCCGATCAATGTGCCCCAACGCATACCTGTACGGAATATTCTTCAATCCAATCTATATCCCGCTAACACAGCCATTTGACTTGTCCTCCCGGTATCCCCCAGTGTCCGGAAATCCCATATACCTGTATTACTTGTTGCTCTGGTTGTCAAAAGTGGCATCGGCCTCGTGATTTACTGAGAATTTCAACCTTTACGTAATGGATTGGATTTCGTTGCTTAGTACTTTGTATGAAGTCCAGCACATGTTCACAAAATTAGTATCCCAAGTGTATTACTTAATTGTGGTGATGAAATCATATTTATTGGCCGAGATCTGAAAATATAATAGGTTGTTTTTTGCATAAATTATTGTTGACAATCTTCGTTACAAAGCTAGTTTACCTAATGGTTATCCCAATACTTTTCTTTTTGTTTGTTCATTTCAACCAGGAAAAGCTTGAGTTTGCCATGAAAGAAGTTATCATTGAGCGGTTAGGGGTGAATGGATTACAGAAAACTTTAGTGATGCCAGAGGTGAATCTAAATTATATATATATTCACTCACAGGATTACAAGCTAATGTATTTTCTGTTTTTTAAATCCCATACATTCATAATTCTATGAGTGGATTATTAATGAGTTTTTACTAAATTGTACTTATTGATCCTGTTTTAGTGAATCAATCAGAAAGAATTAATCGGTTTGCTCTAGATGAATTGATTATCTCTGCTTTTTTCACAGGTTGGATGACAACCTAAAATAAGTAATACCATACATGTTATAGTGATAAGATTTTCGGCAAGGAGAAGTAAAAGTTGTTATGTAGGATATGCATAAAAATCTCTAAATTTGCCAACTATTCAGTACTTTTATGGGTAATTTTTGGAATTCTGAGAGAACATGTCAGCTTTTTCGACAATACACTACCTAGAATTCTTTATAGAGGTAATTCGATGTGGATTTAATCCGAAATGCTGTGTTCCTTTAAGATCATTTTAAATTATCTCACTTTTGATCACTTTTTCACATGTTTCTAAATGATATCTCTAAGAATTAGAAGTAAGGATACCATTCAGAGATAAAAATGTGTGTTACAGTTTTTAATAAACAATTTTAACTATGTCATTATGTTATTTGTTGAAGTTGCACACCATCCAACCGGTTCTCTTCCCGTGCATTTTCTCAAACTAATAATGGTTTGTAATTTTATCTTTTTCTCTACCAGTTATTCTTATTATTCTTTTTAGCGAATAAATGTAGGTATATGTGCATTCCTGCTGATTGCCCATGGCCTTCAACAGAAGGAGGGGGAACCACCCATGCCTCAACAATGCATTGGTGCCGGAGGGGTTGGTGGTGGTTTTAGGCAAGCTGTTATTAAACGCTCTTTTCATGGTACCAATTTGAATGAAGCATTGGGTTCCTTATTAGGAATACAAAGTTATCTAGTACCTGTTCGAAGAGCATTTGAACATATTTTACGTCAGCTGGATACTCAAGTTTGTCGTACAATGATGTTGCCAAAACAAGAAGTTACTCAAAAAGAATTTGATGAGTTAATGACGTAAGCTGGGCTTAAATTTGTTGTTTTGGAGGTCTATGTTTCAAGTGTATGGTGTAGGTGTTTCTTTTCAGGCATTCTTATTACTTCTTTTTGAATCATGTTATTTTAAAAATCACATAGACATTTTAACTGTTTTATTTGACAGTTTCAAAATCTTTATCTTGACTACCTATTTTTTTGTTTCTGATTAACAGCTTTTGCATGTTTAGATATATTTAATGCATTTTCTTACCCTCGTGATATGGTGTAGTCATCACAGATTTTGTGAATCCACTGTTCCCTTGTTTTAGGTAAATGTTTTCGTCCTTTTTGAACTAAACTAGAATTCCTATTTTAATTGGCTGAAAGTTTATGCTATCATATTTCTTTTAGATATATAGAAGGTGCCATTAATGTTTTATCACACCTTTCTTTCTATCAACTCAAATATGCAGGCACACCCAGTAGATAAATCTCGAATAAGACGAAACGCGCGTCCTGGATTTCGCTGATAGATAAATTTCATCCATTCTGTGAACACTGATGTGCATGATTCTCAGATTCTGATTTTTAGGCGTTGGTTGTTGTATGTTGGTAGGACATTAACTATTTATAGTTGGATGATCTCTGAGAAGTGTTTGTTTTGTTCTTTAATGCTAATTGAATTTTATTCTGAAGTTGCAATACGGTCACTAGCGTTAATGAATCGGTATTGCGTTCACCATATTGAAATGATAAATATTTGGAGGTGGTCGATAGTAAACTGTGAACTTAAGTTTCTTGCTAATTGATGCGCGTTAACGAGAAGTAACTTTGGGTCGATATAACTTAACGGTAACGTCCGAAACTGTGATGTTAGATGACACAGGTTCAAATCTCACAGTGAGCATAGGGTTCTCCAGCATTGCAAGTGCTCCACTGTCAAAAAGCATAAAATCAACGTCTGAGCTTTCTTATTGACTCTCTCCAGACATTTAATACGTTGAGTATTTGTCTGTATTCCTTTAAACATACCTGTCGGTAAAACACTGTCTCATGTTTCTGTTTTTTCTTATAATAAAGAATAGCATCTTTAGACTTCTTGCTTAGCTGTTAGTCCATCCTATACATTCCATAATGCTTCATTAATACAGACATTTTGAGGGCTTTTGTACCTAAATTCAGTTTTTACTATAACACAGTTTGGAGCCATAGACATACCGGCATTAGTTATGTTTATGGAACATTGGCAGTAGGCTTAGCTGTTTCTATATAAGTCATCTGCCTTGCATCAACACTTGTGTAAGTAGTAGTATCTCTACTCCATGTAGCAGAGAATCTTAAAAGATATTCCATAATATTAGAAACAAATATTAGTTTAATAACTGGAGACAAATGTAAACTAAATGTAAAATGTTTTCTGGACATACCTTGTCGAACTTCAACATTCAGTTTTTGTATGTATATAAATAATATCTGTTATAAATTACTTGAGTTCACTTAAACACGATAGTTACCCTTTTTTGAGTTGTTTTATCACCGTTTCTCATCATAGTTAGAGACGCTTGTCGTTTATAAACATCGGTGCCTCAAAAGTACTAAATAACCTTCAAACCCATTTTGCTAATTTACTAAGGTGATGAGCTTATTCTGAGCATCTTCTTCATTACATTTAAAAATAAAAATGTTATGACTAAATCATAAAGTAAATTATGACTGATGCTATGTCAGTGACTGTGCAATCTGTCCGCGTGTTTAGTATCCGTTTAATAATTTCAAATATTTCACAAGTATTTTATTTTTTAATGTACTATTTTCTTTCATTTTGCTCGGATAGAGCAGACCGTAAACCTAAACTGGATTTATTAAAGACCTGTGTTGCCTGTATTCCTCGTCTGCTTCCTATTGATATGACTAAACAAGAGATTTTAGAAATACTGGCTAAAGTTTGTCTGCATGTCGACGAAGACGTACGAAAAATGGCACAGCAAGCTATGGCCAACTTGATAGTCGAACTACCAGCTTATCGGGTTAAAACAATACAAGGTTAGTAAATACTTTAGTCAATTACTTCCATTAATATTGCTTGATGTATTTTTGTGGGCGAAATTACAATTACAACAAATATTCTGCCCATATCATATTCTGAATTCCATTGCATACTCTGTTTCTGTTACCTTTACTAATAAGTGTTGTTTTCAACTGGGGTCAATGACTATATACAATAAAATGTTGATCTTTTTATAAATTCACGACCAATAATGTCATATTATCACCTACAATGCAGAGATCAGTGTAAAGCTATTCAGCGTAAAGTGAAATCATGTGTTTGTATTTTGCGTCATTGTCCTTTATGTAGTCGATAAATTCAAAGGTATGTCGTGGGGTATGCATAGGTATATGTCTTTTCAAGGGTTTGTTGGTGATTTCGCTATACGGTCGTAAGAGGATATTGAAATGTTAAGAATTGGGTGAAGTGGTAAACCAAGTTTATCTACTGCGTGCAAATGTTTATCCAAGAGGGTTTAATAATATTATTCGATATGGTTGAAGAGAAGCAGCACTAAATCCATGAGAAGTTCCATGGTCAAACATCTTGTGGATGAAAGTCATTCAATTTAAACAGACTCAGTGTTCGACATCATCTACAAGGTAAGTATAAATTTCCCAGACACAATGGGATCCCGTCTTCTTAACATTCCTGAAGCCTTCTCCATGCAGGTAGCAAAGTCAAAATTATGAATACCAGTGAAACTCATTCGGATAGATGCGCTGTGTTTCGCTGTAAGTTGGATGGCTAGATGATAATTGGAGTGAATTTCTTTCGGTTTTTATTACTTCTATAAGCTTGGGTTTTTATTTACTCAACTTAACAATCGAGCTACTACAGTTTACTCATCTAAAGTGCTTTCATTTCTTATCTGTTCATGAAAACTGTTTTGTTTATGAATATTGATGAACAAACATCATGTCGTCCATTCATACTAATTTAAAATTTGAGAAATCAAAAGACATGATCGTTACTTACTTACGCCTGTTACTCCTAATGGAGCATAGGCCGCAGACCAGCATTCTCCAACCCACTCTGTCCTGGGCCTTTTTTCTAGTTCCATCCAATTCTTGTTCATTTTTCTCATGTCTATTTCCATTTCCCGGCGTAATGTGTTCTTTGGTCTTCCTCTTTTCCTTTTGATAAGTCTTATCGATTGAACGCTATATTAGTTTCCTAAGCTATTGTGGTACCCCGAAAGCTAGAACTGCACAGCGACTTGAACACCAGAGAGAAGACGCAAGTTTGAGGGAAAATACTTTACTCCGAGGTTCATTTTATTACAGAAAATATAGGGTTTTTATAATATATCTAAATGTCCTTGGGTCGCTGGAATATTCTGGAATGCTACTAAACATAGTAGCACTGTAGTAGCCAACCAATCAGAGCTTCCGCATGTGACGTTTCGCTACCTTGATATTTCTGGCCAAGACTCCAAATGAACGCTGATTGGACGAAACACTTCTTAGTGTTTCTTGATGCTTGCTTGTCTTTTGCAAGCGATTTCTGGATCACCCCAACACCTTTGGCCTTGAGGATTTCATGTGAGGGTTTGTCTTGTGATGCAGTAGGATGCTTTCCTCAATGTGTGTCCTATCCACTTCCATTGCTTCTTCCTGATTTCTTCCTCCGCTGGGATCTGGTTTGTTCTTTCCCACAGTTGGTTGTTGCTAATAGTGTCGAGCCAACGGATCCGAAGTATTCTGCGTAGACAACTGTTAATAAACACTTGTATGATGGCTTTCGTAGTTCTCCAGGTTTCCGCCCTATACAGTAGAACTATCTTGACATTTGTATTGAAAATCCTGACCTTGGTGTTGGTTGACAGTTGTTTTAAGTTCCAGATGTCCTTCAGTTGTAAATATGCTGCTCTTGCTTTACCGATCCGCGCCTTCACATCTGCATCACATCCACCCTGTTCATCAATGCTGCCCAAATATGTAAAGGTTTTTACATCTTCCAAATCTTCTCCGTCAATTGTGATTGAATTGGTGCATGCTGTGTTGTATCGGAGAACGGAGAATCCTGCTTTTCCCTTTGTATATATTGAGACCTACTGCTGCTGAGGCTGCTGCTACACTGGTCGTCTTCTCCTGCATTTGTTGTTGCGTTTGGGATAGAAGGGCCAGATCATCTGCGAAGTCTAGATCGTCCAACTGCATCTTAGATGTCCATTGTATCCTGCGTTTCCCTTCAGATGTTGACGTCGTCATGATCCAGTCGATCACCAGGAGAAAGAGAAAGGGTGAGAGTAAGCAACCTTGCCTAACACCAGTCTTCACTTTGAACGACTTTGTCAACTGTCCTCCATGCACGATTTTGCAGTGTAATCCATCATATGAGTTCTGTATGATATCGACTATCTTCTGAGGCACGCCGTAGTGTCGAAGAAGTTTCCATAGTGTTGTTCTGTCCACGCTATCAAATGCCTTTTCGTATTCAATGAAGTTGATGTAGAGTGATGAATTCCATTCAATTGATTGTTCCACAATGATCCGTAGAGTTGCGATTTGGTCTGTACACGATCTATCCTTACGGAATCCTGTCTGTTGGTCACGAAGTCGGGCGTTTACGCAGTCCTTCATCCTGCTTAACAATACCCTGTTGAAGACTCTTCCCGGTATTGATAGAAGAGTGATGCCCCTGTAGTTATCACACTTGCTGAGATCGCCTTTCTTCGGTATTTTGATCAGAAGTCCTTTCCAGTCTTTTGGTACTTGTTCCTCATCCCAAATCTTATTGAAGAGAATGTGGAGTATTCTTGCAGTTACTGCTACGTCTGCTTTTAGTGCCTCTGCTGGGATGTTGTCCGGTCCTGCTGCTTTGCCACTCTTGATTTGCCTGATGGTCATGCTGATCTCTTCAATTGTTGGTGGGCCAACATTGATTAAGAGGTCCGTGGGTGCTGCTTCGATGTTGGGTGGGTTCACTGGAGCTGGTCGATTCAAGAGTTCTTTGAAGCGTTTTACCCACCTGTTTTATTGCTCTTCAATGTTGGTGACTACCTCGCCTTCCTTGTTTTTCACTGGTCGTTTCGGTTTGCGGCGATTTCCAGAGAGTTTCTTTGTCGTGTCATACAGTTGTCTCATGTTTCCTTCTCTTGCAGCCTTTTCCGCCGTCGTTGCTAAATCTTCCACATATTTACGTTTGTCGGTTCTGATGCTCCTCTTCACTTGTTTGTTTACTTCTGTGTATTCAGCTTGTGCCTTGGCTTTTTCTGCTCTTGTTCGGCTGGTATTGATTGCTGCCTTCTTGTTCCTCTTTTCTTGAATCTTATCCAGTGTATCAACAGTGATCCATTCCTCGTGATGGTGCTTCTTGTGGCCCAGGACCTCATGACATGTTGAAGTGACTGCCTCTTTGATCCCCTTCCAGTTCCTCTCCATAGTAGTTCCTTCTCCATTGAGTAGATTATGAAAGGCCTGGAACTTATTGCTGAGGACTATCTTGAATTTTTTGAGTTTGTCAGTATCTTGAAGAAAGGCCGTATTTATCATTTGTGATATTGTCCGCCCCGTTGTCCAGTGCTTCTTGAGTTTCAATTTCATCTTGGCGACCAGCAAGTGATGGTCTGATGCTATATCAGCTCCTCTCTTGGTTCTCACGTCTTCCATCGTCCTCCTGAACTTTTTGTTGATGCACATATGGTCGGTTTGGTTTTGCGTGGTGTGATCCGGTGAAGTCCAAGACATGATCGTGTTGAAGTGTATATTCATTTATTTGAACACATAAACATAGGTACAAGGGGGTACCAAATACCTATGCACCACACAATAATAATGAGGTTATGAAGAGATAGAGAATGGGGGGGTATAGTAAAAAAGAAGAACAGAAGTGAATAGAAATTGGCATATGAGAGTGAAACAATAATAGTAAACGGAGAAACAGTTCAGTTAGGAGAAATCCAACCAGAAAGAACTCTTCCAACTAATGAGTTTACTCTCACTTTTATAAAGGCAATTTTGCCATTGGTTTCTATTCTGAGCCATGTCTGACAATGTCTCAAGCCACTGTGTTACACGATCTCTAGGATCCCAACCAGGGAGTCGTGAAGGGCCAACAGAAGCCAGTCCTGTACAACTTCCTTTCATACTACGACATCATGTCATATACTGGTCATCTCCTATAGCGTCTGTAAATAATGCGCGACGTGGGATTAGCCGGGACGACATTCGTAAGACGTGCTCAAGCCATCGAAGTCGGTGTTTCAAGATGGCAACACTAGTTGAAATATCGTCTCTGTACCCAAACACACGACGCTGAACCTCTGCATTACCAATATGGTGTTGCCACTGGATGTCGGCAATCCTTTGGAGTCAACGATGACCAGACACAAAGAGTCGTCTAACATCATCAACTGGGATGGGTCAGGTCTTACAAATATAGGACAGAACTGCTCTCACCGACGCATTGTAGCTCCGACCGTTTACAGCCGCTTATTGCCCAGAGTGAGTTCAGTTTCAGGGTTTTGCCAATCTTGTTAAAATACTATTCACTTGAATGGAGCAAAGCACATGCCATACCTATGGACACTGACTGCCAACTGGCTAAGTGCGGATTGTATGGCTAGGGTATCTTCACACATTGAGACAAAATCATCCACATACTCAAGATCAAAAAGTCTCCTGGTAACAGATCCTACACCACCATAACTTACATCTATAAGAGCTGTTTCCAGAACATATTTGAAGAGGAATGGCGAGATTGGACAACCCTACTGACCCCCACTTCCTCAATTGAACAATGGAGAGAGGTGTTTATATGCCCTCACTCTACCTGAGTTGTTATTATATAGGACTTTCAAGATGACAATAAACTCCCCACACATTCTTCTTCAATGGACAATTCCAGAGAATAGTACTGTCCAACAAATCGAAGGCGGCTCTGATATCAAGAATTACAATTATTGTTGGCTTGCAATAAATATGACAGTGTTTTAGTATTTGGCAGAGGGTGATGGTAGCATCAGTACATCTTTCACCAGAACGAAGACTAACCTGCTCCTCGCGAGCCAACCTTTCCCGGGTTTCAAACAGTCTGCGAAGCATGACGGCAGCCAATAATTTGAATGCGATCGGAACTAGACTCTTTTTAAAGAAAGGAAAAACTATCGTCTCATTACAGGACATTGAAACACTAATTACCAAACCTTTACAAACAACCCAGCCTGTTTCATGTTCAGGTCTTCACCATCCTTAAAAAGGGTCTGAGACATGTCGTGTGAGCTTGATGACTTGTGGCGCCTTAAGATTTTCAGTTCCTTGCGCACTTGCGCCACTTTGGAGCGATGAGTTGACATTGGCCAAGGAGAATATAATAATCTGACCGATGTGTCTGGAGCAACAGGGTCATCTAAATTGTTCCTTGAAAAACTGATCGTCGTCCAAGACATCGGTAGATGTTATTGATTGGCATCCTGTCAGCTTCGCAGACTGTTTCACTCACACCAAACTTCTTGCTACTACTGACTCAAATGAGTTGATAGGGTTTTCTGCAGTTACCAGAAGCTACTGCTTTTTCTAACTCGGTCGCACGTTCCGATCATCAGGCTTTCGGTCCTTACGCAAATTTTGCACTATTTCATTACGAAACAATTTTCGTTCATAGTCAAACTGTCGGTCGCTCGGAGTAGACCGACTTGCCTAAATAAGTTGTAAGGAGCCTGTTGAAACTCAGCGCTTGTAAGTGGGACGTTTCGCGAAGCGGCAAACAACTTTACTCGCCTTTTCCGTGGCGTCAAGCAATTGTAGCCAATGTTCATCTATGCTTTCATCTAATCTATAATTTAAATTGACATACATAGTGTGGCACCTACTAAATCCTATTTCTACCCATTTTTCGTCAATCCACATGTCTAATTCTTCTCTTTTTTCTTGATGATTTTCAGTTTTTATACAATTTATTCAGAAAAATGTAGCTGATACATCACCTCACCAACTAGATAGCTGTCTGAAGACTTTATTTCATCTATTAAACAATTGGAAGTTAGCATTGCAAAAGGTAAGTTGTATCTTGGTTTGACTTCACATCCGAAACCCTTTCTCTGAGCTTGTCACTAGTAATCAGTTGTTATTATTATTGTTATTATTGGTGCCATTGATACTCTATATTTTCCATCACAAGCTGATCCTAATGTCCTTACTACGTAGTTTTCTTGACTGAAAAATAATTATGATCTCGCTGTATATTAAATTAAACGAAACAATTGCCCAAAATGATTTTTCGGTTTTCATCATAAAGCACCCGAGTGTGAATTTTTAAATTCAATATTACGTTTCGGAGACTACCCAATTGCTTCTGTTTGGTAGCTTACTCTTATATTATTCGTGACTTTAACTACTGAGAAACGTGAATCATTCGTAGTTACCAATAAAATTTCAAATTTCTCAAATTATCTATAGTCACTGAATTTTATTTTATTTTTGCATTTTAGGATGGAGCCGTAACACCTAATATGGCTGAAAAATCAGCTTTATATGAAGCTGAAGGATTTGCTTTGGTTATGTTGTGCAGTTGTCGTTTAATTACTAGACGTTTATCTGTTCATATTCTCAGGAAATGTCGAGCTTTATCAAATTTAATCCAATCCGCTACTTATGATCAAACGTTAAAAAATCCAAATGATTCACGGGAATTGTGTTGTATAGATATTTTAGACCGTTCAGTGCCAATTATTTTGAAATATCTTTTACCTATATTACCTTTAAGCGAAAGAGTAAGATAATAGTCTATTCGTTAATATTTTAAAAGTAAACTATTCTACTTTAGAAAAGTTTCACATACTCTTTAATTGATTGTCAGTTGTCTACTTGTAATTATTTTTGTATGTACGAAATTTACTTATATAGTTTTTCGCGGTCGAAAAACTTACTACTAGTATTAGGATAGAATCTTATTCCTCTGGAGATATACTATAGTTTTTTGTGTATGATGTCTAATACGTCAGAGAATAAATAAATTTTTGCAAGTGTATCAGCTGTAGTTTAAATTACTTGCAGTCTAGGTCTAAATTTTCCAAACAAGAAAGCAACTGCGAAATCTGTGCTAAGTAATAGACGAAATAGACTGGCATTTAATTTAGAGTTCCCGGCATACTAAAAAGTAACATATAAGGATGTCTGATAAGTATTTAGTAAATTACATTTCTCAAATTCATTAAAGGAACACTTAATGGTTACCATATGTGCCCGATTAACTATTGAAAAAGAGAAATTGTATTATTGGACAGCTGGTTTGATCTATATTCATTGTAAGGAGTTGTATCCTACTATTGGAGAGCTTATGTATATATAACACTGGTTATACTAATTTCTTGTTTGTTTTTATAAATTTCAGTCCGCTTTGTCTTCAGTGTCTAACATGGATTTTTCTGTCTTCACGGAGCGCTCTCATCCTGTTTGGTTTAGTGGTAGTACACTGCCTGTGTATTCACCTGTGGTTTTACCAGCTAATTATTTGAATAACACTCAATACTCTGGTTTAATGTCTAACAATGACGTGCAACAAAGTGAAGAAGTCCGATTTAATGGTTTATCAAATCTTCACGATCTTAACAAGTTAAACAATTGTAATAATAATAACAACAATTGTAATACTAATAATAATCCAACTGTAGGAAATCCAGTGACCGGCAACACAAATGAGAAATCTAAACCCGATGAATCTGTTGTACAGGAATCATTTACAAAAATCGGTAAGCACTGACTATTATTTTCAATCAAAGTTTGTTTCTGTTCACTGATTTACTGCATTATAAACATAAATTGATTACCAGCTGATTTTCTAACTATCCATAACAGATAAATGTTGATTATTTTGTGTACAATCTTCTGAGTTTGATGTTTTAGTACATATTTTCTCTTTAGGAACATCTAACATTGTTATTATCAGAAGATAATAAAGTTACTCACCTCGTATTGCTACTTAAGACTAAATGAATCCATAAATGACCTTCAATATTATCGTGTATACGAAACTATTTATTGCCTTTGATTCAGCCTTTGAACAAATAGTAGTACATTTCATGATGTCGGGGCTAATTTGTGGAGAAAACAGCATTTTAATGATATATCTAATGTGTTTAGATAAATGGTTTGTATTTGTTTCATCAATGTTTTTTAGAACTTTTTAAAAGTACAAACTGTTGAATGGTATTCTACTTTTGTGAATTGTTGTTCTTTTTGTGATGACTACCCTACCACTAGTAATCTAGTATCACTAATAGATATTTCATTCTTGCAACAATTCTGTTGCGTCAGGATGTCGAATTTGTCCCAATCTTCATCTACCTCATTTATTAACCGGATTAACTGAAGGTTAGTCTTTTTTTGGGTTTTGGTACTCGTGGATTGCAATTTTGACCTTCACTGTAAAGTGAAAAGGAAGCGAAATTTATAACAATGATAGTGTCGTGTCTAACAGCTAACTTGAAGCTGTGTAACTCATAAACTGAAATGCTTGATATGTAAGCCGTTCTCACTTTTCTTGTTTTAATTTTATTCTCTATGAATTGTGGTGAACATTTCAGATATGAGTTGTTATGCTTAACATCTCAGTAAATGTAAACTATAGAGATGACTGAGAGTTTGTAAAATCTCTTGGAAGTTTCGACAATTCAATAGTATTCGTACTTCTTTTCTATATTTACTTTTACTTGATCTTGTTCCTTGTTTCCATCTTCTATACTTTTTTCCATATAATCTCACAAATTCATTCATATTTTTCCCAGCATTATTACAATGCTCTTTTTACTGATGAATGATTTATTGTGCATAGGGTTTAAGTTTTACTGTTGTTGAATATGTCAACAATAATTATAACACTACTAATTCTAAAACGTTGAAGAATGGTACATCGGCCTCACATGATCATTATATATTTAAATATCACGTTCCTTGGCTAAGCAAGGGTATGTTAAGGTCAATTAAAAATTCTTATACTTGCTCATCTAATTGATACGTAGTATCAAGTAGACATAAATAAGGGCTTTCAAGTCCTTCATAGGATCCCATTAAATTACCCGCCTGGTTTACGAACACGTCTTTTAAATATAGCTAAAGTAATCGGCATCCACTTTAAGAAGCCCGACTCATATGTCAATGAGAAATTTGTTAAATTTGGCTATCACAATAGCCAACATTATAGTATATTAATAATAAGTTATTACTTTCTCGTTTCCCATTATCTTTCGCAAAAATAATTTCTGTTCGCCTCCTGTTTTTGGATAACAGTAACGTTTTTTTAAGCTTACGTTACTGTTATTAATTTTCGACTCGTCATAAATTTGTCAATTCTCTTATATCATGCAGTTTATGAATTCTTTGACTACATATTCCAATTCATTCTTTTATTACTCAAGACATTTAAGTACTCATCACTTCAAACCATTTTTTAATCACTGTGCTCTTTTTGAATTCAAAATACGAAATTTAGCGAAAAGATCTATTTTCAGAGAATTTATTGTCGAGTAATACTTTTGAATTTGTAATATTATTGTCTAACAGACCATCATTTGCTTGGTATTGATTTCATTGTTATTGTTAGACGTATATTTCAGTGTAGAACCAGTTGTATACTTTTTTGATAGTAGTGTTGAAAAATTTTCAGTGTTTAGATTCATATCAAGGATGTGTTTTAGATTTAATTATTTTAAAAAGAACTCTGGTTTACTGAGGGAATTGTTTGTCTATCATATAGAAAATATTTTTCAAAAATTATTACATACACATCTACATAGTTGATAAATTATCACTCACTGCTTTTTGTATCTTTATAAAAAAAGCGATACATAGAAAATCAGGTAATAATTACTTTGTGTTTTAGTTGTTTTTATAATTCATGTTATGTGTGCATTATAAATTATTGTGTGGATATGCAGCTTTTTGGTGAGTTTGTTATTATCTAGGCTTTATGTTATAGTAAGTGATTCGTGTTCATATTTATTTTATTTGAACACATAAATATTGGTACAAGAGGGAACCAAATATATATGCGCCACACAAACCATGAGAATTCGAAGGGAAAAAAGGTAAGGAGCGTAAAAAATACCAATAACGAACAAATTATTGTAAGGTAGTGTAGTAGTAATAAAAAAATAATAATAGTAATGGGGGAAACAGAAAGATAAAATCAGAAGAAATCTTTCAGTTAGGAAAGAAACAACCATTTTTTATGAAGAAAGTAAAAGACGGTTACAGCAGGATCGCCACTGGCTTCTATTCTGAGCCATATCTGATAACGTCTCTAGCCAATGTGTTGCACTATCTCTCGGACCCCAGCAAGGGAGTCGTGAAGGACCAACAAAAGCCAGCCCTTTGCAACTTTCTTTCATACCACGACACCATGTCATACACTGACCACCTCTCCGCTTTTTCCAATCTGTCCCAGAGTCGACAAATAATGCACGACGTGGAATTCTCTGGGACGACATTCGTAGAACATGTCAAAGTCACCGAAGTCGGTGTTTCAAGATGGTGACACCAATTACATTATCATCTCTGTGCCAGAAAACACGATGCCGAACCTCTGCATTACTAACATGGTGTTGCCACTGGATGTCAGCAATCCTTCGGAGACAGCGATGATCGAACACAGAGAGTCGTCTAACATCCTCAACTCGGAGAGGCCAGGTTTCACAAGCGTAGATCAAAACTGCTCTCACCGACGCGTTGTAGATCCGACAGTTTACAGCCAGACTGACATCACGAAGGCGTCGAAGATGGTCTAGATTGGCATAAGCCACTCTGTCTATCACTATACGTGTATTGATCTCATCACTCAGGCCACCACCAGCACTTATGCAGCTACCCAGATACACGAACTTCTCGACTACTTGTATCTGCTCACCATCCAGAGTTAGTACAGGATTAGAATGCTGCCAGTCTTGTAGAAGTACTTTGCACTTCGAAGGTGCTAAGCACATACCGTACCTACGGACATTGATTGCCAACTGATTAAGTTTGGCCTTTGCATTATCGCACGGTAAGACAATATCATCCACATACTCAAGGTCGAGAGGTCTTTCTCCAGGCAACAGATCCACACCGCCATTACATACATACATCATAGCTGTTTCTAGAATGTCATCGATGGCAAAGCTGAAGAGGAATGGTGAGATTGGGCAACCCTGTCTAACCCCAGTGATTGAATGGAACAATGGAGAAAGGTGGTTGTATGCCCTCACTCTGCCTGAGGTGTTTGTATATAGGGCCTTTAGGATGTTAATAAACTTCTCAGGCACACCCTTCTTCAATAGACAATCCCAGAGAACATTCCTGCCCAACGAATCGAAGACAGCCCTAATGTCAAGAAACTACGATTGTTGGCCTTTGATAAGTATGATGGTGTTCTAACATTTGGCCGAGATTAAAGATATAATCAATACATCTTCGACAAGAACGAAAACCAGCCAACTCCTCGCGAGTCAATTTTTCTCGGGTTTTGACCAACGTGCGAAGTATGACGGAAGCCAATAGCTTGGACGCAATCGGAAGTAGACTTATCCCCCGATAGTTGTTACGGGAACGACGTGAACCCTTTTTAAAGATAGGGACAACTATCGACTCATTCCATGACGTTGGTACACTCCCGAGCTCCCAAACCTTTGTAAACAACGTCGTCAGTTCCATAGTCAGAAAGTCACCACCATCTTTAAAAAGGGCCGGAAGTAAGTCATCTGGGCCCGGTGATTTGTAGCGCTTCAAGAGTTCCTTGAGAACTTCCGCCTCATTTGGTGGATCAGTCGTCACCGGCCATTGAGGGCAGGACAGTCTGACCCATGTTGCTGAAGCAGCAGGCCAGTTGAACTGCCCTTCGAAAAATTCTGCCCATCGTCCAAGACGTCGATGGATGTTAGTGATTGACATCTCATCATCCTCGCAGATTGTTTCACTCACACCAGACTTCTTGCTGCCAGTGGCTTGGATGAGTTGGAAGAGCCTCCGGTAATTACCAGATGCAGCTGCTGCTTTCAGCTCATTAGCACGCTCCGACCGCCAGGCTTCTCGGTCCTTACGCAAGTTTTGCCCAATTTCATTACGTAACATCCTTCGTTTGTGGTCAAACTCACGGTCACCCAGAGTAGACCGACGGGCTTCAATGTATTGTAAGGAACCTGAAGAAACCCAGTGCTTATTATAAGTGGGACGTTTCGCGAACCCACAACTGACTGTACCCGCCATTTTCATGGCGTCATGCAATTGTAACCAATGCTCATCTATACTTTTCGGTGGAATGGTAGCTAGTCTAGAAGCTAGCTCAGTTTGATACTTACTTGCAACAAAAGTTGCAACCAACTTGCTGACATCAATCCTGTGGTGTTGGTCATTTTGTTGGCCAGGTGGCACATCGGCGATGACTGTGCCGAAAGTTAGTGCTTGCCAGAAACAGGTTGTGGTCTGTGCACAGTTGCAGTAGACGGTCCCCGTTATCTGTCCTGCGACCAACAAGTCCCCATCGGCCACCTAAACGACTCTCTTTTGTGCCTAGACGCTAGTACTACAATATCTGTCGAACACAATTTTTGGAGAACAGTTAGCAGCTGGTGGTAGAAATCATCCTTGATTGCATCCGGGCTGCAATCTGTCGGAGCATTAGCGGAGATGACGAAAAGACATCGTTTCTCACACTGATTTCTACTCACTTTGATGGAACTTTCTAATCTAACAGCACATAACCGACTGCTAATGGGGATCCGATCGATTAGTGCTGTCTCAGCTCTAGCGCTTCGTGCGACACCAACACCAGCAAGACTAGACCAAGATGTCACAGGGTCCCCGGATAAGCGCACGTAGAACAAGCTTTTTGAAGCGATATATGGAGAGCGAATTTGTAGTACTTCACCGGAGTCTTAAATATGGGTCTCGGATATTATGACTTTCCAAAGACATATCCAGCCCTATCTGTTGTCCGACCTGCATAAGTGTGCGAACGTTGAAGGCAGCCAGTTTGAATTGTGCACGTGGTTTCAGAAAAACTGCTTCAGTATTCGTATTTGGTGGTAGCATACAATTTTCAACCAGGCAGTGATTCGAGAACGTTTAGATAGAACCGAGTTTCCACCATAAGCGAGCTGCTGTATAATTCGAAAAATAAGGATACACAGAGTGGGAATAAAAGAGAGTGTATAAATGACGTAAATAATAATAATAATGTGAATCGTTTGATTGTTAATCGAAGTAAGACAAATATTTTCCATGAATATTGACATTTTATCATATTTGTGTGTGGGCTGTGATACTTCTTGGGTGCCCAGACCGAAGCAGTTGGTTTTCTTAGGGAGCCACACCTCGAGCCTTTGACCTAAAGATCTGACCCACAAAGCAGTGAAGCATCGTGAGAAAATGCAGTCTCATGGTTGCCGGTGACCGAAAATTGGTTCATACGCCATTTGTTCCCTCAGGATACTGGAGCCCATGTGCACCATTGATTTGGTTTGGGATCCGGTTAAAGCGCCGGACATTCGCTTTTCGTCCTCTCATTTTCGTAAGCAACGCCCCCGCCTCAAGAATGCATTGAGTAGGACTTCCCTGGCAGAGGCTATATACGCGTGGCCGTGTGAGAGCATTTCGAGAGGGAGGGCGGGCCCACCCCTCTCTCAGCCATATCAGGGCATATAGCTTCTGAGTGTCATGGTCCATTCGTCGTGGGAGGAGTATATTGAAATCGTTATTACCAACAAGTTATAGTATAAGACTATTTAATTTTCTTCAAGAGAAGATCACTTCAACTAGTTGTTATACAATGCATCTTTAGAATATCTATGCAAAATGTTTTTGAATTTTATCTTATATGCAGTCGTATTTCTCTGTAAGAAATAGTATTAGTTTATATAAAAAATACTATTGCGAATGCTCATTTAATCTGCATTCAATATTCATATTTGAAAATAAAAATGGTGTACAGTGCAAAATAATTTGAAAACGAACGAAACGGATTAGTTGGAGTATCTGAGAGCTAGATAATATATATTTCAGTACATTTCCCACCATTGTTCTTCAGAAATACACATGAAGTGTAAAGTAACTTTTGACTTCAATATGGAATCGAGTTGTTGGCGACTATAGTATGGTTTGTGCACTTGTTTTGCGAGAAATACTATAATTGGTTACTGAAGACTGACAGGTTATACCTACTTCTACTTTCTAATTTACACCACAGAGGTTTAGAAATTAGCGATGTTCTACTCATAGAACCGTCTCCTTCAAATGGTAAATTTTAGTGTAAACATCTTGTTACTCATTGGCTTGATAACACTACTGAACTTCCAAAGTATATTTTCATACTACAGTTATAAGCTACAAACCAGGATTTGATTAAATCCTTTCTCAGTAATAACTAAAATCCCGTAATTATCTATCGTTCGATTAACTGTCAGTATGTACTACCTAGACAGAACTGGGTCCTAATGATTGTTTCTGGATTTACTAACACTATCACTGATCGCATGAAACACGTCATAGTTTTACTTAAATCTTAAAAATGATGTATATTATATCTGAAGTGTTGGAAACTTATATTTGTCTATCTTGTTTATGTATGAGGTTTCCAATCCTTTTTTGGACCAATCAGCACTTCTGATTATGTGTGGATTTCTGGTATAAACTTATACAAGTTTTATTGTCTTTCAAAGAAAAAACCATAAGATTTTCGGAGTTTTACTCAATCGAGCGAATTTCAAAATCTAATCTCTAAATCAAACTTCACTTTCAAATAATTCATCTAAATATCTCGACATCATATTTACATTTTCATGAAAGTAATTCTTCTAAAATAGCTTCTTTATTCGCATTATTTTATTCGAAAAATGATTACAAAAATTAGAACAACTTTTATAAGTTAACAATATTGTTTTCAATTAGATCAAGCCTTATACTAATATGCATTAATATTTATATGCACGGATATTAAAATTATCAAACCAATCAAGGCAGTCAATAACAAAAATGAGATAGACTGCGTAACTAAACACAATAAGTAAAAAGTCCAGATTGATGGTGTGATCACGGGTGTACTGAGATCGATAAGAATAATAAAAGCGTGAGTAAATATTTCCAAATAGGAAGTTGAACAGAATGTTGAAAAAAAATAGATATTAGAATAATCATCAATGTAAATGTTTAAAATTGCTCGATAAGAGATGTTCAAATAATTAGATAATGAAGAATATATGAAAATACATGAAATATATGAAACAAATAAACAAAGGATATAGAAAATGCTAATGATAATTCTTAGTAAAACTGTTTTTTAAGCCTTTTTTAGAACACATGGGGAGATGTACTACTTCGTTTACGCATTAACTAACTTGATTGGTTATATATTTTTTAATATATGCATATAAATGTTACGGTATATTAGTGTGGAGCTCATTGGAGGATCTAACTGAAAACAGTATAATTTTCATGATGAGGATTTTTAAAATTTTAATAGGGTTATATGTTTCAGAGTGATTTTGACAGATCATCCGTCAATCTGCTCGCTTTGAATCCTCAGGGCTTTATCATCAAGCGATAGTATCCTTGTTTCCTTATTGTTCTAAATTTTATCGTGATTTGTTAATGAAGCCTGACATTTTTTTCTGGCTGTTTAATTATTTTATCACGTTATTTCCATTTTTAAATCATATTTAAATATGATAACCTCTTACGGGTGTTTGCTGGTGAATGTAACTAACAATTAATATTGTTCACCGATGAGCAAAAGGGTATCTGATTTTCTATCATGTATCGATTGTTTGACCGAATTAAGGTCAGCCCTCCTTCTTTTGAGAGGTCTTTTTATCAGATTTTTTTGGCACATGGTGAAAATCATTGTCTATTACATGGCAGTTAAGTGGTGAACCAAAAGCTAATCCGTCTCTTTAGATGTTTTAACACCAAAGTTTCATGTATGCTAAAAAACTTTCCGTTGAATGCACATTTTTTGACCAGTTGGATACCAGATGGATTTTCTTCTGAATCAATCTTTTTGGGGTTGTTTTATATATATATATATATATATATATATATATATATATATATATATATATATATATATAAGGTATTTTGTGAATTCGGTTTTTAAACGTTGTGTTTACTGTCTGAATGTTTTACAAGAAATAAGGTATCAGGACATTCATTTTCATCATTTGAAATTGTTAAGCAGTATGATAATCCATGAAGCTTGAGGTTTATTTGATATTGAGGATTTCAGTTACATAGGAGATAATCGGTTATAGAAAAACAGTTCTCAACACGGTCTGAACAAATCTTACTTCATCTTGTTTTCAGGCTACGCAAAATATTCTCACTCTGAACTTCATGAATCAAATAGGTTTCAAGTAACTTATGCTGGATTCAGTCGGGGTCATATAACACAGTTGCTTTTAATGACTAGGGGTACTAAGAGAAAGAGGATGTTTTTTTTACTCTCCAATTTTTCATAAAAAATGCCTCCACTTTGAAAAATTCATTCTAAACGAATTGTGTTATGTGTGTAGAACTTATTAGACTAAATAAGTCATAAAAATTTGAGCGAGGTAAATTCAATTGTTTTAGCTGTCAGTTACCTCCGGAAAAGCGGTATACTATTTTTCCCATTTTCAGTGGAAACTTAATGGAAGGATGTTCGTGATTCAACTATGATGTACATGATAATTTTATATAGTACATTTCAGATGACATTAGTGTTCCTCTGCAAACTTTTGTGATTATTGAAACTGTTAAGATAAATTTTCCCAGTTTAATTTGTTTCTGACCAATAATTTTAATCATATACTTGGATTTTCTTTCGCTTTATTTGACTACTCTAGTCAGACCGCAAGTTTCTGGGTTATTCATACCTTCAAAATCTTTTGATTTCCGTAATATACAAACTTCTAAGTCGTATTTATCTACAACACCTGTTCATCGAAGAGCATCTCAGTATAATCAACAAATTCAGCATACTCAACAAGCTTACATTATGCAGCCTGCACAAGAACGTGTAGCTGTCACAGATGTATGGGCTACTTGTCTTTCTATTGTATTCAACTCATCTAATTTGCCCACAAGTTGTCCCATGGCCATCAAATCTGCTTGGTCAATATTGTTTCAACGAATAAGTACTATTTTTCCTCTAATTGACCCAAGGCAAGTCCCTTTACTTACTTTTTTCATGTCCATTAAATCGAAGCTAGTCATTTAGTTCAGTCTATTTTCTTTTTATATTTCTATTTTCGTTAAGGTTTGTCTTTATAAAAAGAGAAATGAAGTTGTTCCCGACGTAACGTTACTCAATCAACAATTATTTGCTAACCGAAAACATTATCCCAGTACTATACGACATGGTGCTATTTTTCGAGTTATTCTTTTTAGGAATTTTTCTCTGTGTACTTACGCGTTATAAAGGTTTTTTCACTTTTTAATACTGTACTTGGTATATATTCTACAGATATATATTTACTGAAAGCCCACTTATTATATTTCACTTTTATCGTTGTCCAAAAATATTCGAACAACTTTGTCTTCAGACTTACATAAACAGTCGTTGTATTGTGAACCTATTTTTATAACAAATTTGCTGTCATGAAAGATTCTAACCTTATAGGTACTGATGCCATTTTATTTTTTAATTTTAAAGATCATTTCTCGTGTAGACGGTAATTGTTCATAAATATTTTAGCGCACAAATGGCTGAAAATCGAGCATCCTCGTTACTCCGAACAGGAAGTAAGAAACCTGCAAATGAACGTGAACAGTTCATTCCTCTTTGGCATAATTATGTCGTTGTTGGATGTTGTATAGCTCCGAGCTCTACTGGTTTACGGATTTCAAAATCTCCAGATACGCACTATCAGCCTGGGTTCCATCTACAAAAGCATTCACTTGACTTTTCAACAAAAGGGGATTCTAATGAGTAAGCTAATGTTTTTTTTCTAATATATTGGTATTCCTTTTCAATAAATCTTATGAATGCTTTGTTGAGTGGAAAATAAACGTCATCCGTACTTGCCGATTCTAGGTATTCAAAGACTATTCGTTCAAATGTTTCTACAACTTATTGTAAATAACTTGTTAATTTAAAAATGGAACAACTTATTTTGTTTCGTTTTCCTACATTGCATTGATACTTTTTGGTAATAACTGAATTCACTTAAGTACTAAAGTATCTTTATCTGACCCTTTGATTTTGAAAAAAGCTCTTAAAAGCTAGTTGAATAGTCTTATCAGTTTGTTTCGATTGATTCATCATTGTCAATATCATCACATACTTTCATGTGTTTCACTTAACTACCACACGTATCGTCCATTTTTCCTTCTATTCTTAATTCTACTTTCACTTTTTTATTAGCTATGCAGCAAGTTTTGTCTATAAACATTCACATCAGTCTTTTAATTATTTGAAACAGGAAAATTCCCTACATCAGATCGATAGGTTCTTCAAAACCAGTACCAAGTTATCTATCATAACTCACTTATACAGTTTTTTTCTTTGAAAAATATTGCTTAAAATCAAGTATTTTTGTAGCTTAAATAGTTAATTTTGTTTGCTGAGATTAATTTAATCGTATTGAATTTAGTATGTTTTTGAGTGATTGACCATAATATCGGTAACAGTTTATATTTTCAATTGATTTAAATATTACAGCTATAATTATTAACTCGTGCGTTATGTTTTTTCTTAAAAAATGGAGTATTTTTGTCTATTGATAAACTATTATTCCTAATATATATCTTTCTGTTTGACAGATAGCTATAAATTCTACCACGGACTTGAACAGATTCTGAACTGAATATCTCGTAATTTTCATATGCGATACTATTCACATTTGAATTAGAGCCATTCAACTGGTTGTAAAGGACTTAGGTCCTGATGCATATGCATGGCTCTGCACATTGCACATCGTCATAGTGAAAGGAAATTAATAATATATAAAATGAACGAGTAGTAACAAACTGTGCATGGTGGAATATTGTACTAATACAATAAATTGTGGGGATTAAACATATGGAACATTGATGAGTTCAATGTTTGATGGAAAAATTATGAATGTGTCTGTTCGACTTCAGTTGCTTCTTGCCTCTGTTACCTAAGTTCTTTATCCATGAACTACCATTATCTTATGGATCCTAACTGAGGAATATTTACCTTTCGATAGAGCTCCGATCATCAGCCTGTTGGCTTCAAGCTTTTTCCTGTCTATCGTTTTATCAGGAAGTATCGAGAAAAACTGATTCTGAGTCCTCGTGACAATGTTTGGAAATGCTTCTTTTATAGAATATTCATAGCCTCATAGCTGTATCGGATTATCCGTCTAATACTATATAGATAACCTTAATATTACTTACCTAGGGGTGTATAATATTTCGAAAGTGTCTTTCTGTGATTGGATTTTCGCAACCTACTCATGCTATTAATCTTCATAGGATGTTTCACATTCATAAAGTAATATTTATTTGATTATTTACTCAGTAAATAATCGTTTTGTTTTTTTTATTCAAGTATTCTGAACTGTATGTTATTACTTTCAGTTGTGACAACAATCGATCTCCTACTCAATCAGACGAAGTGGTAAATCAAACGACTGATTTGAATGCTAACTCATCGTCTAATCGTTCAACTGTACCTAATTCTCCATGCACTAATTGGTCTAATTCGCCAGATTTAAAGTATTCAACATCATTTGGAAAAGTGAACGCTAGAGATTTGGTCAAGTTGCTAGTACCTTTGCTTAGATGTGAACAACCGGAAATAAGAGATTCAGCTATTGGTGGTCTTGGTCGGATAAATCCGGCTGCTTTCAGGTAATTTTCACATCATTCATTATTAAATGATGCACAATGTTAGTTTGTTTATTATTCTTACTCCCTGAATTATGCTAATTGTTGAACTCACTGGATTGTTTGTTTATTACTGATTAAACTCTCAAGTTCAGTTTTCATTTACCTAATGCAGTAACGTTAATCTATAGGAATGAATTAAAATTAATTATCGATTTACTGCGTATTGACATATTCAAGGTTAACCCTAAAACATTGTTTGTTGGTCCTGTGAGTTCATTTCATGACGAAACAGTGGTAGGGAATCAACACCTAGCAATATACCGAACGGATCTAACTGAAGTTTTGTAGAGAACAAACCTTGTTATGATGAGGTTTTTCCAATAATTGGATTGCATTAACTGACCATCAATTCTAAAATTTAAACCATCTTTTACCTAATTATCATTTTCTCTGAAGAAGCGGCTTACAATGAGTCACGAAACGTCAGAAAATGTAAAAATTTAATTTTTCTGCTCATTGGGATATTACAATCATATTGTTTCTGTGAATTTCCTTTTTTTTACCAATGACTCTATCGATTGATTATTCTAAATTATGTGTCATTCACTTGCATATTTTATTGTGAGAATTAAGAATTACCATTGTTTCATTATCATTGCTACATTTTTACATCGAATTTGCGATTCGGCAATAGTTTTAAGCTGTTTGGATTAATTGGTGTTTTTGTGTATTTCGAATAATCTATTGTGGATCAGACCCTCAGGTCAAAGGCTCGGGGTGTGGCCCTCTAAGGAGACCACCTGTTTCGGTTTGGGCACCCGGGCAGTATCACAGCCCTCACACATATCGAATGAGATTTGTGTGGCGCATATGTATTTGGTGCCTCTTTGTACCAATATCTATGTGTTGAAATAAATAAATAATCTATTCATCGTGGTGTGTACGTTTTTTGACTAAATGATTTTAGAGATGTCCTCGAAGACTTGCAACCGTTGCTAAAAGAATCTTTCGATCGAAAACAAGAGAATTTACGCCGTCGACGTCGACGTGATGGTTTACGATCTGCTTTAGTTAAAACTCTTTCTCTTATGGCACAGACTGGTGTATTTGCATATCCGTGAGTAATTCATCATTTAAAGTTATACTATAGTTTTATTTTCAATTTAGTAAATTTCCAGTGAAATAGTTGGACTAATGGCCTAACAACGATAACAATAATCATAATAATGATGCTAATTTTCATCACATTTTGACATTCTATCCGACCTCATTAATTACACATTCGAAACTAGATACTGTAATTTTGTGATCGATAAATTGCTAGTGGGATTGCTTCGTAATATTGGATAACCATCCATTCTACTGATAACATTTCTCACCTGAAACCTTGCGAATTTCATATCGAAGCTTATTACTTGATTATCATTTATTTATTACTCAATGAATTAGTTCCGATAAATTGAAAACAGTATTCAGTTTGGGTGAACCTTTCATTTACTTAATTGCAAAATTGATTGTTATCAAGATATTATGCTTTCCTGGCAGTCTTTTGAATATTTATTGACGTGGTTCCGTGAGTTCACTACTTTCGTCTTTTTGAACGAACTGTTTGGATAGATTCATTTCATATCAAGATGCTGTGATAAGCTTGATCGTCAGAATGTTTGACATAGAATTGGAAAGTCTATTGATTTACAACTGCTTATGGATTATTTTATTTTCGATAACTTTTTGTTTTGTTTTTTTTGTTTTTGTGTAGCGAATCAAATATAGTCACACCTCAAGGGTCTTTAATTTGTCAGCTTCTTGATTACATGGATGGAATGAGAGGTTATTTAGAATCAGTTTCAGACCAGTTATTAAGTCCAATCAATTATACGCATCAATTATCTACATCGTTAAATCTCTTAGTTTCTATACCGTCTGGTTCTACTTCTCAACAAGTTACTACAGTTGGAAGTATTTCAAGCAATCATCAAGTGGGTGGATCTATTAGCACTAATTCTGTAATTGCTTCTTTATCTACTCCTACAACTACTGGACCTTCATTAACTAGTTATTCATCGGAATTTTATCTATTGGGTGAAATTCGCTTGCATTTTTGTATTTTTATTAAAGAGCTAATTCGACGTTTACCAAGTAAGCAGTTGTTTTATAGAGTAAAAAAAGCTTTCATTAATAAATATATATAGTGATTTATACATTTATATTAGACTGTATGAAATTACTAGTCTAGCATTTCATTTTATATGAACTTTCCTCAAGGCGTGGATGAATATCTTCATAAAAAAGAAAACATTTGATGTAAAATTATATTTATAAAACTATATCAACAATTGTGATGAGGCTGTTCCAAAGTTTCTTTGTACAGTATGTTACAAGCTTCTTTATGAAGATAATGAAAAACGAGACTTTGAAAGGTCGGTAAGGTCAGAAACGTTTTTACACTGAATGATTTCTTAGTTATGTTCGGATATTGATTTAAAAAAATGGTAACTGTGACTCACTTGATAGAAATTGTAAGGAAAAGGAAATCACTATTCTCCAAATAATTATATCACCTGTGATGAGTTAGCTCCTATTCTTTTTGGATTCATCATGGATATATGAATCTTCATCGACTGATGTAACTGGAGTTCATAACGTCTAATCAACTACCGTCCACCTCAACTGATGATGTTTCCTAGTATAGGAGTAAGTTGGAAGAAAGTTCGTGGTCGCTAAATTAAGATGTAAAGTTGGTCTTTGAAATCATTAACTGTTCGACGGAAAGGTATCGTTGGATGCAAACTGTCTGGTTAATGTCCGTTCAATAGCCACGATCATCAGTTTTAGAATTTTTTGATTTGATTCAGAATCGGTAACATTGAGGTTGATACATTTACTCTTTATCTCATTCTATATTTTGAGTCCCAGTATTCCTTCTTCCATACCTTCTGGCTTTTTGAACCGTATTTTCTTTGTTTAATCTTGGTGTTTAGGATTCCTTATGATTGTCAAGTTTTTATTTTTCTAATAAGAGGTTACTTTTCATAACTGTTCTGTTCAAATGATCGTAGTAAACATATTTAAATATTTATTATTCATAGTTATTTCTTTTGTATTTTTCATTCATATTTTTAATCCAAATTTTTACTCCCTATTTCTTTCTATCATGTAGAACAGAATCGTACAACTTTATTGCCTCCAACATTAAGGCATCAATTATTCATTTTGTTGTCTCATTGGAGTGCTCATTTTGATCATATCATGGGAACGTAGTAAGTTTGTTTCTGTTTCCCATTTATCCTTCAATGAAATGCATTTTCTTTTGCATATGTATATGCAATAGGGACAATCTATTGGATTGTCAGTTTGAACTCAGCTTCTTTGATTTAGACAACTTGGTAATATCTGTAAGTTTTCCATTGCCTATATTTCACTCTCAACATAGTACATGGATCTACAGTTGGTTATTAGATCAGATTTTAAATAATTGTTTAACAGATATGTAAATAGGCACCTTTTTCACTTATTGGCATGCATTTGAAAAAGAAATTCTTCGGAGGATTAACAGATTTTTTTGCTAAAATATGCAATTCTTTATTATTGTCTTGACTACAACTAAAAGTACACTATGTTAGTCCTAGGAACTAACATTTTAAAATAATCTTTTTGGCAAACTTTTATTTAAACATCAGTAAAATATTTAGTAATGCCACGTTATATCGGAGTGCGAGTCAAGACTTGGGTTTTAACAATTGAACTCTTACAGTCGTATAGATATCTAGTCACCTTTCTCTTCATTTATACTTCCAGACACATTTTCAGTCCATCTACTCATATCAACTTATTTTTCAGTCTACTGAGGCAGTTTAATAAATCTTTAAAAGATTTTATGCTATGAATAGCTTTTCTTTTGAATGTTAGCACCTGTTATCAGTTTATCTGACAGTTGGTGTAAGTGATTTATAGTGCTGTATTGCTGATCAACATGAGCAATGTATGTATGTAAACTGCCAGTTACTGTTTCATTTTTTAAACTATAGTATCATCTAGAGTATCAGATGTAATATGAACAATTTTCTCAGTGTATTTGAGAGGTTTTGCAGATAGGAGATTTTACAATAATTTTGAACTAACGTAGATCTATAAATAGGTTTCTTTTTGCTGCTTGTTTTAAATGATGTAAACTATAAGTTGTTCACTTCGAATATTTTATAAGAGTGTCACCACATAACCTCATTAATCTAAGTGCGAATATTTATTCACACTTTAGGTTTCTCTCTGAATCTTTCTCAGTCATAAATAGTATAACGGAAAATTTATCATCGCTTATAAAATCCTTATTATTAAATTCGTCAAAGATTTTCGGAGATGAATTTTTTGGATAATCACAGTTGTCGCCATTATCATGCGTGAAAACTGTTTCTACTTCAACAGCTTACCTTTTATTCAGTGAAATAATAAAGGATATAAGTCATACATTTTTAATTCTACACCAAAGCTCACAGCTAAGTTTCTTGATTTCGACTGGTTCGGACCTGTACTATGCTTTCATCGATTATCACTCAGTTGTTCTCCCAATAGCCATAGTTCTGAATCATCATTTTCTAAGATGAATTTCATTAGACTTCTTTAAAATCAACATGACGTTCATGTTATTAGCAGTGTTTAAGATTCATTTATTCAAAATAGTTAGTCCCTTTGGTTAATCTGGATAATGAAATGAGAAGTTTACCAGAACTACGTGATATATTAGCGTTACATATTTCGAACAATTTAATCGCATATTTACTTGTCAAGGGATTTATGTATTTTTATTTTTTCGTATATAAATACTTTAACAGGTTAATGTTTAATCCGATTCTAAGAGACTTCATCTTCTCCTTATATTATCATATATTTGTCCCAACAGTTTTTGGAATAAATATTTTGATGTTCAGATTTCAATTTAATATATACCTATTGACCAAATGTTTGCTTATTTTTAGCTTAGGGTCTGAAGGCCCGGTGCTTACTGAATCTTATTCTTTTGATTCAAATGAAAATATGGTCGGACAATCGTCTAGTCTAAATGGGATAGTTGGTTTTTCTCCATCAAATGAAATGCCTCACGGAATTGTTGGGATTCACCATCAGTTATCTAGTGATAATTTCCTACAACCTCTCAATAGCCTGGGTGTTAACAGTGCTCCATCTTCTGGTTCTATAGAATGCAATGGTAATATGAGTGTTTCATCAACCCAAACCACTCAGAGTCCTACAATTCAACAGAAAACCTGTGAAAGCGAACAAATTGATATGAGTGAATATGTGGAATATTGTTTATGGATTGATTTAATTTGGTTGTCAAATCAAGCTATGGCAGCTTTGGTATGTTGTGGGCCAATATTTGATCGTTCTGCCTTGCTACCACAAGACAGTGGAAAATTAAACCAGATAATCCTAGGTGTGGGTTCAGACGCATCATCTGTTTCTGGTCCAGAACGTTTGAATAGTGGTTCAGGTTCAAATGTTCGCACTCCTAGTTCTGGATATGTGCTTCGTTGGATTTCTGGACTTCTCGTTGCACGTGATACTGCTCTCAGTTCAAGTCCGTGGCTATGGTTTTGTCCCATTACAGGACGCGGTCTTTTGCATAGTACTTTAACTCCTGGAGGCGCATCATTGTGTGGCAATAGTCATACACGTTCTCGCATGATAGCAGCTGGTGGCGGTCGTCGATTAGATTCTGTATGTTGTATTCTTTGATACTGTCAATCAGACTTTTTCGTATTGATTTTCTTACATAGGCGGAGAATGAGGAATTCCTGTTACACATATGTGTGGGACGTTTCTAACACAAAACGTTAATTTTCAATCTATTTGAAACAGTACTTTCCAAAGCCCCTTACGGGTCACTAACTTTGAGAGTTAATCACTGAAGTTTGGTGAAAAGTCGCAACTATTGGAGTTAAGCCTTGTTTTTGTAAGATGCATATCACCAGTGACAATAGTTAATGGTTGTACAGTATCACGAATAGCTTGGATATAAAAACGTAAATCTTTGTATGCCAAATTAATCTGCTGAATATTAAGTCCTGATTAAAAAATATTGGGTTCGATTCCTGGTGGGGCCGTGGGTACACAGCGATAGGAGGCGTATACTAGGACGAGGCAACTATTAATTACTTCCTGGTTTTAAATGACTTTATGACTATAGTCATTCTGTGTTTTAAAACTGAAGTATGCAATAATCTCCATCATTCCCTTCGTGAGGCTTGTTTAGTTTAGTTAAGTTGAATTATAAAACACATTCATATTAGAATCCAAAACTGGAATTTATGATGGTCCCTTCTAGGTGACCTGAAAATTGATCTAGGGAAACTATATATTTATTAGGATCTCATTTCACGTGAATTATTTCGTCTCATAAGTAGGAAAATATTAGCATGAGGTAGTTTGTTTCTGTAGTCAGATATTTTTATTTCTATTCAAATTAGCTTTAAAATTAATTTAATAAAGGAACTTTGATAAGTATTTGGGTTGAAATTAATTAAGGTACATGTTGGGTCTATCAAATTCGTAGTTTTCTTAGTCGGAAACTAGATAGCGGTAGGTGCTTTTGCACTGAATACCTTTGATTTTCTATATTTTGTTTCAGCTACTTCGACAACTAGGTGAAGAAACTTTAGTCCTTATGTTAGATTTCAATTCTGACAATACCGGTCTCTTCAACTGGGTAATTGATCAGTGTTATACTGCATCAAATATATCATTGTCTACAGCATGTTTTGAATGCATTTGCCTCATAATGAGTAATATGTAAGTAATTATTCTTATTCATCTGTTTGATTGATCATATTATGTGATATATATATATGCATATGCATGTAATGCAGAAGTGATAATTACTTAATACTCAGTAGTAACGTGTCTCATCCACTAGTCAATTTTCAATCCTAATTTGTCTTCTTCAGGATGAAAGTATATTTCCATTAAATATCGATAGGCTAGATAGCTCAGTTCTATATCTTTGTAGTTTGTTTCCTATGAATAGACGTGGTCACTTAGTTACCTACTAATGCGTGTTAACCCTACCACCTACCAGAATTTTCCATCGAACTCTGTCCTGGACAATCCTTTCAAGTTGTTTCCAGTTGCTATTCATCCTTTTGATATCTGCTTCCAATTCACTATGCCGTGTGTTCTTTGGCCTTCCTCTTTCCTATTTCCCTTCAGGATTCCAAGTTATCACTTGCCTCGTGATGATTTCCGCAATGTATGTCCTATCCAGCTCCAGCGTTTTTTAATTTCCTTTTGAGTTGCAAGCTTATTTGTTCTTTTCCACAGTAGGTTGTTGCTGATGGTATCCGGCTGATGGACGTTAAGTATCTTACGTAGACAATTGTTTGTAAATACTTTTACTAGTTCTCCACATTTCAGCTCCTTACAGTAGAACTGTCTTGACGTTTGTATAGAAGATCCTGGCTTTGTTGTTGGCTTGCAGACAGTCGTTTTGAGTTCCATATGTTCTTCAAATATAAAATTGCTGTCCTTGCTTTGCCAATCCTTGCCTTCACATCTGCATCCGATCCTCCTTGTTCATCGATGATGCTAACGAGGTACGTGAAAGATTTCAAAGTTTCTCAATCAAGTGTGATTGAGTTGGTGTTCTTTGTGTTGTATTTGAGGATCTTGCTTTTTCCTTGTATGTTGAGGCTTATTGATGCAGAGGCTTCTACCATATTGGTCTTCCACACCAACAGCACCTCTTTCGAGTCGAATCTTTTCTGTCCACCTTGAATACAGTGGGTTTCATTTATTCCATAAGCCGCCATGTTGTATCTTCTCATTCCCGTAGCTGTTTGACTCATCCTCCTGATCTCCCACATTATCTGGACACTCCAAGTATCTATATTAATTGTTGCTCAGTTTGTTAGAAGGGATATCGACCTCGTGACTTTTGAATAATCTCGGTTTTCACTATGAGCTGTCATATTCTTCTAATCGAAGATCCTTCAACTACCAGGGCAGAGTTTAAGTGGCTAAAAAGGTTTAGTCTGGTTGACGTTTTTTAGCATGGTTGTTTTCTACGAGATGGGGTTGCTGACCCCAACCCTCTTCTTTTATTCGCGACCGGCGGCAACCCTAGAAGAGCTACAAATGGAGTTATCCGTGATCACTAGGATATCTTGTGGATTGTAGATGCTTTGAATTATTATTTTCAATTTATTGTTGGTTTGTCATTCATTATTTGATGTTTTTATTTTCAGTTGTCAATTGTTTTTGTAAATATTCTCTTTTTTTCCACAAAGGCCGAATTTCGCTTGTGATTTTATTGCTATGATCACTTTATGCTTCGTTTTTATTGATCATCCTTCAAGATTTCTCTCTGACAGAGCTTTCTATTTACTACGAATTCTTTACCAGCGTTTTATCATAGAAGTATGTCAATTTTAATTCTGCTTTACATCAGTTATTTATTCACCATAATTTTATTCTTAAATAGACTTATGAATTCAGATTAATTTTTCGATTGACCTTCTCGATTTTAAAAATAGGGTATTTCAGGTAATCAAAATTTTATTTCATATGAAAAAATAAGTAAATAACAGTTAGATTTACAGAACAAAATGAATCTGTTTCACGGCTTTCTATCATCTATAAACACCACGAAGTTAAAAATAGTAGTATTATTATAAGTTTCGTATGCCTTACTGAATAAAACTGAGTTCGAAACGACAGCAAAACTTGAGAAACATGAAGAGTATAAAATATATGTAGCAAAACCTTTAGGAACGATTAATAATTATATGTTGAGAATGAGGTCATATAAAGAAGGGAGTGATGTGATAAATAGACTATGCGTTATTTAGACCGTTTTAGTTTCTATCATCTTAGCAGCAAATATAGTTGAGTGAAAACACTATTTAACAGAACTGGTGGCTTATGTTCAATTATAAAAGTGTAGGAAGTGATGGCACATTTCGAAAAGTGTCTTATGAAAAAACGATATCCAAATAAATTTACTATGCAGTACGGAGAAATGTTTATCAAGACATAACACATTATCTTTTCAATCATCTCTGTATGTATTCTTTAATGTTTAATAGCCTGGCGAAATTCTATTTAAACAAGCACATACAACGGAAATTGATAAATCATTTGTTCTCAACGAAGCAGCTAATTCACAATCATCCCCAACTTTGTGCATACCAGGGGATTGTGACTGTTTTCAGTTATGTAAATACCTGCAAATAAATAAACTATTTTATAATTCTTTTAACCGTTGGTCTCCTTGTGAAGTTGTGAGACAGTTTGCCGCTCAACATCCTGAATTTACGATCACTATTTTTTCGGGTTAGTATTATGTCTACTTTTTTATGTCTTGTAATTTTATATTTCCTGTATAAATTTTACACAAACCAACAATGATCGTGTGTAAATTCATTCTAGTTCTAAACCCTGGTGTCATGTACATTTTTCACGGTGCAGACTAGTATTTGTAATAAATTTCACCAACAATAAGGCGATCAGATCTCTAAAGTATCGAAGTTATCGGATTATTAAAAAGGCCCATCTTCCATATATAAATCGTACTGGAGGGTTATATATATCTATCATCGATGATGCTGTCCAGGTACTTGAACGATTCCATTTCATCCAGAGTTTCTTTATCAAGTGTGATTGATTTGATGTTCTCTATGCTGTATTTGAGGATCTTGGTTTTTCCTTTGTGTATGCTGCTGACTCCATGTCCAACCCTCCTCGTTTATTCGGGCTTAAGAACGGTACTATCTCTAGAAGGACTTTAGGCTGAGTTGTAGTTTTGTTTTGTAATTACATCTATGTGATTACTTTTTGTATATTCTTTAAAGTTTGTTTTCTTGATCTTATTTGAACTGTAGAGATTTCTAAACGTCTCGAAAATGCTAGAGAGGGTTTACGCATCCCATTATTACGTCTACTTTCAATTTGGCTTGTCAATGTGGAACTTGTAGATCTTGTGGAAGGTGATTTATTCGATACAACAAATCATAATATGGATAAAGACGATGATGATTTTTCCGATATAGATAAGGATAATTATGTCTGTCGGTCAAATAACTATGAAAAATCTGGCAATTCGCATGAACCTACATTTAGAGTTTATAATACCACCAGTTTAGTTGAAACATCAGAACAGCAGCAACGAAAAGATTGTCCTGAACATCGTACTCGTCCATCAAAACGATACAAACGTTCAAAAAGCCTATTAAATTCGGAATTACTTTATGATCATGAGGATGCTGACGCTGATTCAGATAATATTATTGATGATCGAAATTTCAAATCACTAACACTGTTGCGAATGCGTGCACGTCAAACTATGCTAGATGAACATGCAGACATTTGTAGTCCTCGAGCATGCCATTTTCATAATCATTTCAAGAAGAATGGATGCAAGTATAACGATAATAATAATAATAAAAATAATAATAATAATAACAATAATAATAATAATGATCTACATTGGTCAACTGTACCTCCCACTCTTCGTTCTAGAGGATGGGGATCGAAAAAAGTTAGTTGAACTATTCATAATGTTGATGTAATATAGAATTTGGATCGGTTTTTGTCTGAATTTATTTCTGAGTGTTTAGTGTTAATATGATTAGTTAGGTTACACTTAATCATGTGACACTTCTTTCCAAATGAATTCTTTCACCTGACTGTTCACTAATTGAAGTTTACATGGCAATAGCTCTTCTCATTACTCCTCTTATTGTGTCTTCTGCAACAACTTGGAAAATACGTATGGTAATTCTGTCAGAAGTGTACCTTTTACAGTGATAGCATTTAACTTCTTGTAAGTAGCAGTTAGCTATCTACTGTTATTTAACTCCATACCCTTACATATCACCTTGCAAAAAATTTCACAAGGAGTTGTGTTCGTAATGTTACATATATCAACTGATTTGCTGTTTTTTCTTTGCAAACGGAAAAACTGTAAAAGAGAAAATATTTCATAAATGTATTAATTGTAGCTAATCAACTGTTCATCTTTACTGCTATACATTTCATTAAAACAGTTCACACTATATCGTTACACAACCCATTAAATGAAACTGCTGGTACTATTCCAAAACATTTGTGTTGCCATGCAAAAAAATAAACTTTTTCATACATATCGGTAATAGTTATGCAACACCTTTTTTTTGTTACTCAAGGAACAACACTATTTTCTGTTTTATTTTCAGGCCACCGAATTCGTGCTTACAAATCTTTTCTACTTATCCTTAAGGCTTGCTGATTGTCCAACTTCATCTGAGGTACTAAAACAACTTTGGTTGACGTTAATTCGCTACCGGTCAACGAATCTGCGTGTGATTCTTCGATATCTTATTATTATTACTTCTATTGCACCTGGTACTCTATTAGTACATGTAAGTTTCTTAACTTTTACTGTTTGCTTCAACATAACGGAGCCACCGAGTGTGTAATTCTGGGGTGAAAGTAGATATGACTAGACAGCTGATAGTGACTGGATTGATCAGGACACGTTTTACCCCTATTCCGACTCCCCATTGTAGCTAATAAAAAGGGGTGAGTGGGAAAGTTACGGCCTATGAGATCAAAATATGAAATTAGTTTGGAAGATCATTGTGTCAGGAAAAACAGAGATTCTCACTGAGGTTCGAGGTAATCATTGTTAGGGACCTCTTGTGATATAAATGCATATCAGTTTCAGTAGGACAAATGTATCCACTGTATTTAGTATCCCTATGAATTATCACCTAACCGCTAAATAATTTTCATTCATCGATTAATTTTGAACTGTTTCCTACTTTTAGTTTACGAATGATATTGCGATATAGCAATAGCTCTTAGCTTACACTCGATGCTTAGATACCTCAATTCCTCATTTTCTGATAGCTCCTGGCTACTCTAAAAGACAAATTTAGCAAGGAAGGCTTATTTGGTAGGGACCAAAAGAAGATGAAATTAAGCAGCTAGCATGCGCTTATGGTCGTATGTACAGTAATTTTGGGAACAAGGCTGAAATTGGTTCGCTAAAATTGTCACAGATCAATAAGTAAATGCTTTCGAGTATAAAGGCTCGCGACATAATCAACAAGTAAGTGGTTTGCTTGTGGATTAGATATCGCCAATGTAGTAAAGTTTTCTTCATATTGCTGATGTGACTTGTGGTAATCAGAGTGATAAGTCTTGCTAATTGAACACTTCATCCGATTCCCTAGCTGCTTCTAATAACCCCTGACTAAATCTACACGGCAACGTAAGCACAAGAGAAAAGGCAGGAATTGCAAAAAAGTCACTACTCCAAGATTAGTTTATACACAAAAAAAGACGAGGGTATTCAGAATATTGGGGACGACCTTGGACTTCTGTAAGTTTCTGGAACCGATCTAAATATAGTAGCAACATAGGTAAATCCAATCAGAAATGTGACACGTGGTTTCACTTTCAGATATTCTGCGAAGCTTCTATTCATAGCTTTTTGGATGAAATGTTTCTCAGCGTTTTCTGAACCCCTTCTGACGTTTCCGAGGAATACTCTGTAGGTCTCCAACTTACGGCTGGTACACATCTTTGACAGTTTCTACGTTGCTGATGGCTAAATGAAATAAAATCGATCACTAACTTATTCATTTACCTTACATCACTTCTTAAAAATATGAAATCAAAGAAAGTTAATATCTGAATAAAGCGAAATAAAGTAAATTAACTGTGAAAAATAAGTAAAACATTATGTAGTTCAGTATGGTTAATGATAATTAGCTCTCTTCAGAACCAAAATACGTATATCGATTTCAGTTTTAAAGAGTTTACATTCCTGTTCAGGGACTTGACTATTTCGCCTGAAATTTCTCCAAATTCCTATCAAATATTCTCATCATGTATAAGCAGCACTTGGCTGACATCAAATGCTGACCGAATATCGAAGTGCTTCGATGTATGACATTTGTAGAAATCTAGTATTATAGTTAAGTGTTATTACAGAGAACTATTGTGAACAATAGTTTTAGTGGATATATATTTTCTGTTTTTGGATCGATTTCAGGTTAAACGTCTCCTTACGTATCTGGCTTCTGAGCAGGCTGAGCGTGTCATAGGAGAACTAATGGTCGAAATGCAGGTTAGTCTTTATTGTTTGGTTTGTCCATACTTTATGTAAATTATCATCTATTATCGAAACAAAATATAGCTATATATCTGATAATCTGATCACAAAATTATATATATATATATATATATATATATATATATATATAATATGGATCTCATTAAGTAGTTATACGTTTTCATACAATTACAAATTTAAATTCATATTTCATGCATATAAGTTTTTTTTTTTACTTTCAGACTATTGATGGTATTGGTCTAGTTGTTGAACCCATATCTAGTCTGCCATTCTTTCGAGTTAGTACTTCTACTCAACATCATCGTCAATCTATCGAAAAACTAAAATCTCACAGATTTCAGTCATGCGTTTCAAATAATTCATCATCGAAGACTGCGAGCAATGCTAGTCAGAGAGTTAATGATCGTTTATTAGTTAACCAAGAAGGAATCGGACAACCAGATGATGAATTAGTTGCACTCGGTTTAGGTAGTAAACCTTGTTCTAACACAACGGCGCAAGTACGAACGTTACATAGTGCTATTGGAGGAAGTTATGATTATCGCAATATCGATTTTAATTTGAATGTGAAGTAAGTTTTGTTTCTGTCTTATCTACCCATACTTTCATCATTATAAGGTATACACAATGAAAAATCTTTGAAGTTTTCGCTCAAAGAACCTAATTAGCTCTATTAATTGGTCGAATTTGTTGATGAAATCAGGGACCAGAGTATTCACTTAACAATTGCTTGTATTGGTCACCTTGAAAAGTGTATGCATTATATCCATTCAGGTGTTTATATTTTTATACGTTGTATTTAAACCTTTGTTTTTTTAATACCGTGGTGCCTTGTTAAAAAGTGTATATTTTTAAATCATGTTTTGTGCCGTTTTTGTTTTCTGAAACAGGTCTCCTTCAAATGCAACAGTACGTCCAAAATCAGCTACATGTCAACCATCTACTGTCACTATATCTACTAATAGACCAAATCAACAAACTACCTTAAATGAAAGTAGAATACAGTTTACAACAATATCATCCACTTCAAAAGATAATAACAATAGTCACAGCTCTTCTGAATCACCACAATCAGAGAAATCCCGTGAATCAGCAGCAGCTTTATCTAACTACCAGCTAGTTGAAGGAAGTGATGGAGAGCCAGAAATAGATCTTGATTCATTTGAAGGTAAGTAAATGTTATACTCAAACAAACTTAATCATTTATGCGATTGTTACTGTTTACCAATTTAACCCCTCATACTGAAGGAATCGAGTGATAGCTCGGTAATGGAATTACTCTACTCCACCTCGCATGCACTTTTATTTGAGTATCCGTATGGTATCATTAATCCTCACTCATGAAATATTTGAAGATGAATGCTAAATCACATTGTTCTCCTACTTAGTTCTCCAAAACTTGAGCGCTAACCTTTTACAAAATATTTTGTTTCCTTGAATAAACTGATCCATCCAATTGTTGCTTGATATGTGCCGATGATTGTCACTTACACTATGGAAGAATATATCATCTTGTAAAACCTAAAAAAAAGTATTTGTATTGATCTTTTCATCAACTTGGAAACGTGGCTGTTAATTTTAATAGATAACTACTTGATCCCAATGTAGGAAGTAATTTCCTGCAAATTCAATTCTAAACTAGTTTTAGCTTAACAAAAGTTTGAATAATCAAGCTGTTTGGCTTGATAAACTTGATCTGTTTCTAAAACGTAAATTAACAGTATACAAAACAATATCGTTCATGCTAAACATAAAATTATGATTATTATTACAATGTGGGTTTGTGCAGCTTATAGTCATTTTAATAGTTGAATTCATGAGTCAATGTAAGCTAGACCACCATTGAAAATCTGGAAGCACACGACGTCCGTTTCGTCCTAGTGTGGGAGTCCTCAGCAGTGCGCATCCACGACCTCACATGCGGGGCTCGGACCCATGATTGGTCAATAAGCAAAGCACAGTCATACAAGGTCAAAGAAAGTTAATATGGTGTCGGGCGTCTCTTGTTGTAATTGGTGGGTTCGCTTATCGATCACACTTTACACCCCACCATACCACTGTTTTACAAATATTTGTCTTCAATTCTATATTTTGATTCCATCAGAAATCTGTTGAAGGAGGCAGTGAACTGTTTTTCCGAACGGTTTCTTCTCCTGTTTTTTTGTGAGATGGTAAAATCGCCCGAAGCAGCTGTTATTAATGGTGAAGAATCTAACCATTGTTACACAGAACTACATCCAACCGTATAACATCACCTAACGTCAAATTTACTGTCTGTTCCAAAATCTCGTCTTCATTCATATTGCTTCTCATTGTAGGACCTTAAAAAGGATTGTTTAGATTAAGTGTTTTTGATCTGTATGTTAATGCCACTAGGTCACACTGCCAATCACAGACAGGAGTTGTCGAGTTGTTGAGTTTGAGGGCAATCAAATTATTCTGTCTTTGTTTTTTCATTTAGTTTCTGCCTTGTTCCCATTTTTGACGTTGTTTAACCATAGTGGATGAATGTTCATAAGGTTTTGGGACTATATTTTATGTTTTTAAGAAACTTCACTTCCTCAAACTTTGTTTCCTAGGTTTCACTAAGTGTGGATCAAATTTGGATGATAAATATGCTACTCTGCGCGCTAAAGATATTGCAGATTTACTAACATCACCTAACCCGAAAGACTTCCAATCAAGTGATTCTGATTCTAATTGTGATATACCGAATCTATATAGGCGCGGTACAACATTTCCCATTATTTCTGACGCCTACGAACGATCTGTTTTTTCATCTGTGCTATCTAGTCCACTGAATGAAACCAACTGTTTATCAACCACTGGCAGAATTTCAAGACAGCCGAAATATTTAAAAGAATACAAAGAAAAACGATCTAGATGGTCTAACAATTCGAAAGTTGATGCTGTTGGATCATCGAGATTAGACCCTTTTCACCATTCAGCTTCATTGCCACCCAGTCTTGCTGCCCTCCCTCCACTACCTTTACCACTTCCTGCCAGCGTTTCTTCCATTCTAAGTCTTTCCTCAAGAGGATCTACAGGATCTAACACATGTATATTGTCGATATCTCCTGTCACTGTTGATAGAAAAAGCACTACCAGTTCTGATAAATCGGATATTAAGCCTTGTGTACGTAGAAGTTCGAACGTGGAAGTAAGTCATTCGAGCAACAGATCATACCTTGACTACAACTGCAAGCCACTCCCTATGCCTGCAAATGGAGGTTATCACGCCCCTCTTGGTTTATGGTTGTCTGAACCTTTGGTAATTGGTGGGTCAGTTGTTTTCAGTGGTAGTTGGCCTCCTGCAGGACCTAGAGCACCTTTAGTTCTAATATTGGCCGGGGGTTTAACTCAGTCAAGAGATATCCACGTAGATTGGAGTGAACATCTACCTTTAATGCTTCTTGGTGTATTTCTTGGTAGGTTACTTCTTTTTTCTCTTACATAACCTTTCCTGCTTTCTGTTTTGTTAAGAGTTTAGGTATATTTCTATTTCTCTCTATTCTCCATTTAAAGAATCCTTGTGTTTTGTCAGGTAACTCAGTCATTAATTGGAGATCATTTACCATTCAACTACTGTTTGTCGGTTAGTGTTGAAAACATATGGCATAAATTTAAAAATGTCACTCATTATGTCATTATTGTTAAATAGCCAGTGAGAGAAAATTATATCGAAAACACATGCGTCTTGAAAAATACATCTTCATTCGGTAGTTCTGTTTATAGATATAACATAATTACAGAAGTAATCGGAATGATAATTTAAACAATTTATACACATAGTTCCCTTTATTATCTTAAAGAGAACAAGAACGAAGATTGGTGCAGAATAATATGAATTCATTTAATTTCGTTAGGTTCTCATCAGCTGCTTACAACCTAAATTATTTGAAATTCAACATTATTACAGATATTGACATATTTATACATAAGAGTGTGATTAAGGATCAATAAATGTGTATGATGATGTAGCGAATATTCAGATAGAGTTAATGAGCTCATAAAATGTTTGATTCGAATAAATAAATAAAGTTTGAGAGGGAAAGTTCTGGAACATTGAAATAGTGATTAGAACTCATGAAAATGAGATGGTGGAGAAGATTTGTAGCTCAGGTGGATGATTTTGATGGAGTTTTGTTCTCTGAGCTGGATGGTTTGGTCGTGGAGCTTTCTCAATAAAATTCAGTGGGTATTCGTTATTCTTTAAACAATTTTTAACATTCATAACTTCCTCTTCTAGTGTATCGGAAGTACATATTCTTTCTGTTCTGTAAAACAGTGTTTTGACCAGTGCCTTTTTGTAACTGATTGGACAAAAGCTATTGAAATTAAGATAACTACCATTCCATGTGTCTTTCTTATAAACTGAACGTTATGAATGTTAAAAAATGTTTAAAGAATAACGAATACCCACTGAATTTTATTGAGAAATACGGCAAATGTGAAGTTAAAAAGCCGAAAGAAATTACAGCAAATAAAAAGCCTATTTTTATTAAACTTCAATTCAAAGGTGACGATGTCACAGGATCAATCAATATGAGACTAAAAACTGCACTGACAAGGACTTATCCTGCAGCGAAATTGATTGTCCTGTGCAAAACAACATGTTCTTTGACACAATCAATTGTCGACAGGTATCCCTTTCATGTTACCACCAACTGTGTATACAAATTTACATGTACCTGCCAAAGCAGTTACATTGGTAGAACAGAAAGGAGAGCCTACGTCCGATTCAAAGAACATATTCCGAAAAGTTTAAGGTTAAATGGATTGAACGCATTCAACAGAACTTTCCCTCTCAAACTTTATTTATTTATTCGAATCAAACATTTTATGAGCTCATTAACTCTATCTGAATATTCGCTACATCATCATACACATTTATTGATCCTTAATCACACTCTTATGTATAAATATGTCAATATCTGTAATAATGTTGAATTTCAAATAATTTAGGTTGTAAGCAGCTGATGAGAACCTAACGAAATTAAATGAATTCATATTATTCTGCACAAATCTTTGTTCTTGCTCTTTTTAAGATTAAACAATTTACTTGGTACATGTACATACTTGAGATTTCTCTCAGTTACAATTAATATGTTAAATGGTCCTCATTTATTGTAATTTTGTTTTTCGCTGTGATTGCGAGGAAAATGGTTGGGTTTTTTTTGCCATGATCTACTCAGAAAATATCTATCTCCTCCGTGACCTACATATAGTAATAAAGTTTTTAAAAGCCTCATTTCGATATATACGATTAACTCTTGCATTTCAAGAGTACTTCTAGCTCTTATAATTTAATTCTGAGTAGTAAATGATAATCATTGAATTGTTATTCAGTTTTCACACTGGAATGTTCAGACATTGTTAAAAAATTAATATGGAAAAACATCCATACATTTCTATGAAATTACTTATTATTATTTTGTTATTGTTGTTGTGTCAGTGATAATAGTCGTGTTTTAAAATGTTTCTAGGCGCCTATTATATTGATGTAAATTTCATTGGCCTATGACTGTCATATTTCCATAGGTTTGTTTTTTAACACATTGGTTTACGTATTTGATCATTAACCCATAAATTAGCGTTCAGATAACTAGATGTTGTATTTCGATCCCATAATCAGCGTTTTTATTATTCCTATACCTATTCTTTTGCTTAATTACATTATTATTATTATTAGTTTATCATTGTGTTGTCGTGATGTCCAACCTTAATGAATAGGATTCGTCATCAGTAATTTATAACTAGATATATTCCTACAAAAATTTGTACAATTTACTGTACTTTATTTTTCACTTAAATCCGTAGGTATTGACCACTGTCGTGCACTTGTACAAGAAGAATCTAAACACTTGCTAGTATCCTTGTTAGATCAAGTGTGTCCACACCATGATATTCTTCGTTTGTTACGACTTGAATTAGAAGCCAATCATCATCGTCTTGCTTATCCGTCTGGTTTTCCTGGTCCTCGTGTTCAAGACTATCGTTTAACGTTAGATGGTGGGCCATATCGTGTGAGTTTGGCTAAACTGACGTTCTAGTGCATCGCATTAATTCATTGCAGTGATTGAAACTAAGTGTTTTGTTTAACAATAAATGTTTGGTTTTCTAGCTTCAAGAACTTATACACGACCAACGCTCCAAAGCATACATTATTCACTATATATCTCAATATTGGAGAACAAAGAAATCAAATGTGATCAGATCAGAATTTGGTCATTTTCTCTATAGGCTAGTGTACAACGTTAATGAATTTCCGCAACGGAATCTTGATCACTAGGCATGTTAACAAAATGTAATTATTGACTGCAAGTTTTGATGATCATTCATCTTGCAACTAGGATCCATGATGTTATATAGCAACCTAAACTGATACGTATTCATGTGTCCTAGGACTTATATTGTGCTTGACTGACTGATATAACTAATATGCTTGATGACGTATCACCAAGCGGTTTTGGCATAAGTGAATTGAGGGCTTTCATCAAACATCAGCATGAACCTGTTTTGTTTTTCGTTGAAGGATATAGAAACTACTTCATTCTCTTGAAATAAATAAGCTGTAAACGAAAATATTATTTTGTTACAGATTGATCTGTTAACTTTATCTTAGTGGATGAAAAAATATCGAACGCATAAAGGAGATAGCGTTATGGTCATATGGGACGATGTCAGAATATTTAGCGACAACAATGACTGACTGAATGAGGTATATGTGAATGATTTTGTAATCATATGTATTGTCTGATACGATATTCACTCGTGTTGTATTTTCTGTTTATTGAATTACAGGAAAAGTTCAGCATGGTTATTAATCCCTTCGATTCTATTGAAAGGGATCAGTTGTTTCCTTCACCACTCGTTTCTTGTACAACCACAAAGCATGATAGAAATAGTAACTTCAAAAGTAGGTCGCCAGCTGAAGATGAAGATATTCTACAAACAACATCATCTGCTCTAATACCACTGAAAGATATTAATGTTACGACTAGCTCAGCTGCCAGTCCATCTTCACCTAGCATTAGTCCACCAATAGTTGAAAATTTTCAAACCCATCCAACTCTGTTAACCGACCAAGGTCGATTGAGTGGTTCAATGTTTAGTCTTACTAGTACTGCAACTTTAATTCCACGTCATCATGAAAGTAATCTCTTTGAATCACACAGTTGCAATGACTCATTAATACCTAAACGCAATTCAGTTTGTTATAACTTAAATTCAAATAATTCAGAGAAGGACGTTTTACGTAATAAAACACTTGCAAGTGCTGTTAGACCTTCATCTGTTTATTCTAAATCACGGTTTTCAAAATCTGTGTCTTCGAACTGTGTCCCATTCAATAACCATTGCTCATTAAGAATAGAGAAAACTAAGAGAATTAAAAAATCTGATCTTAAACTATTAGAAGAAGCTGTTCAACAACTTAAAAGTTTACTTTTGAATAGGTAAGTCAATATTATGTATAATTCAGCGTTTTAATAATTTTAGTAAAGTTTGTGAAAAGGGGTATATACTACTTATAGTTAAAGTTCATCATACTATTCATGCATCTATCTTTAAAAGACAAGATATTATTATTTTCGTGTTTCACAAAATATCATTTGACGTTTAATTTTAATATTTTAGTTCCGGACAAGCTATATGGACGTGGGAAGATTTTAACATACAACACAATTCTTTTAGTACCACATTTCAGTATTCTTATCAAAATGAATTTCATCAGATTCTTAACAACGAAAAAGTAGAAAATAAAGAGTCAGTTATAAAATCAATGACTAATGTTAACTCTTTGGAACAACTTGTTAAACTTGTTGCTCGTATACTAGCCTTATCTGAAGCTGGTTCTGAACAGGCTGAAAAGTGTTTGCAGTGCTTACATGGTCCACCACATGATCATAATAGCCAGAGTTTAACTTTTGCAGATGATGATTACAAAGATACGATTATTGATCATTCAAATTATTGTATGGTTGCACGTTTATCTCGAGTTGCTTTGAATACTGGTTTATCGTGTCCTAGTCGACATCTTGCTAGTCGTTCTTTACAAATTCACCGCGCTCTTGGTGGTCATTTAGACAAGAAATCTTTTTCACAATTGTTAGCTAGATTAGGTGAAACAGTATCTGATGGGAGTGAAGAAATACAGGTAATTGTATTGTATGGATTTTGTTTCGGTCATCATTACGATGTTTTAGCACGTACATATTTGTTTAGAGTAATTTACACTTCTGAAATGTATACAACTATCATCCCCAATAAAGTTCACAATTATTAGTTAGAATTTGTATTACTATGAAGATAGTGATACTTCTAAAAATAATAATAGTAATTGTATATTGTATTAAGGTATTATAACTATTCGTATTTCTCAACGGTTTGTCTACGGAAGTTGAGTATGACAAAGAAGTTGAATATGTTTAAGGAGATTGACGTTGTTGTTTAATAAAGGGCTTCATGAAAACGTGTTATTGCTAATTACAATTCATAGCAGGAAGAGAAAGCAAAGTCACTAGTAATAAAAGTCACCCGCAATTCCGACTGGACTAAGAAACACTTTTGAAGAAAAATAAGAAGGAACAAAATTCTCTAATGCTTTTAGAATGCTAACTCAAGGTTATTGTCATTTAATTTTGCATTAGAATTCGGTTTAACAATATGAGTTGCACAATGTTCTGGAAACAAGGATTTTTCTGGGCTTAGTTACCTGTTTAGAAGCGTCAAATCACAGTTGTAGTCTATTTACTACTTAGTGATATAGGTTTTCTCTCATGGTTCAGCCTTTCTGACACATTTGTATAATTAAAAATACATAAATTTCCCACTCTTTGGTCGATGGTTTAAAAAAAATACTTTGGTACATGTTATTTATTTGACGATATCTTTTCTTAGACAGTTACCGTAGTTATTCTGCAGTATATGATACATTTATTTTTTCAACACGTATACACTATGTTAAGTAGTGGAACATCCTAGATTAACCGTTATAGTAACACGTGTTGGAAAGCATTTTACATATGCAACCTGATCATATTTGAAGTGAAACTCAGACTAAATAGTCAAACCAGTCTTTCCAATTGCAATTATAATAGTAAAAACAGAAACCTTACAATAAGTTTCAGCGAGTTAGAAACCTGTTATTTGAAACTTGATTGCTAGACATATCTACAATCTCTTGTAACAAAACCAATACGTTATACTTGTTAGATAAATTATGCCTATCGTGACTCGGTGGATAATATTAAGATATTGTAAGCGATGATTACTTTGTTTCGGCGTTAGTTGGACACATCAACACAGAGGTTTAAGGTGCATCCCATTGACAATTTCGAAATAGAATCATATTTAATTTACGTATTCTTCTATTGTCCACTATTAACAATGTCATCAACATTCGATTTCAGGCAATATCGAAACATCCAGTCATAGAGCTTTAATTCAAATAGAAAGGGATTGATACAGTTTTAACTACTACATACTGATAAATATAAACCCATACAACTTAAATAACTTGGAATTTGGTCTGTTTTTGCTCCTTTTAAATTTCTTTGTTTTTTTACGAGATTAAACTATGTTAACTTCATTATAATTCCAATATTTTTAATTCACGTGCTCTTTAGGGTTATGTCGCTGAACTTTTCCTCACACAAGAAGCGGCTATTCATCATTTGAAATCAAAAAGTGATAGTTTGCTGGAATCTGTGTCTTATTTTACCGCTGAACCTACCTCTCCATCATCTAGTTCACTTAATGGGAGTGGACGTAAATCAGTGCAAAATATAGTTTCAATATCAGATCGTCGTCATTTTCATCGTCATTCAAAATCTTCATCTTTAATTGGAAATCGGCCATGTCATTCAAGTTCTGTTATGCCTGTCAATGATTGTGGTTTATCTAAATTAACTCAATCAACCTCTCCAAATTTGGAGTATACATCATCAACCTTATCATTTCCTTCGGATTCTAAGTAAGAGCTTGTTCTTTAGTCAATATTAAGGTTGAAAATAATGTTCTTAATGTTTTACTTAATTTTCCATCCATTGAATTGCTTTTACAAATGTGTTCGTTTTTAATAGATAAAGTGAATAAATATGATAAAACGATCAGTGAATACAAACAACTTGAAACAGTATTACTGTTTGGTTAGTCGGAGATGAATATGCTCAATATATCCATCATTTTCTTCAATGTAATGTAGTTGCTACATCACATTCTCCTCTTCTATTATGCCGTAAAACTTTCAACCTTTTGGTTTTATTACTACACTTAGCTACTCAGTGTAAAGCGATTCACTTATATATTTGAACTACCGAAATCATTTTTAACCTACTGAATTCGAAATATTTTCTTTCTTTATATTAACATAGTACTTCTATTGACGTTTTTTACTTTGGTAGTCACTTAACAAAAATACCTAGTACTTCAAATACATCTACACCTAAGCCAAATAATAACAATAATAATGTATGCCTGTTACCCCCAGAAGAACGTGCTGATCTGATTATTGGAATCTTTTGGACCGGCGTTTTACTCCTGGAATCAGATTTTGAACATGAATATTTGGTTGGTTTAAAACTCTTAAATTTAGTTATTCCGAGTGTTTGCACATCAAATTTAAGCCAATCATCTAAGTGTTCGAAAATAAATTTGAGTGATAGGGCGCAAAAGATGCTTAACCAATTACAATGGATTCCATGTTTTCCTGGAATACTTAGTTTGGTGATTAAAGTAAGTTATGTTATTACTTCATTAATAATGTTTTCAATACATTATCTTTTCATTTGTCAGGATTATTTTCTTTTAACAAGAGTGTCTTCGAAAGCATATTATTTTATATGTTGGAATTTGAATCACTTTTAAAAATTCCACAATTTTCCACTAGACATATCTTTTCCAACTCGTATTAGTTATCGCTATAGTATCTAATTTTTTGTTGTTGATTTGTTCAATGAGTTTATTCAATCGCGGTTGACGTATGGGTATTTTGAATAGATCTTCAGTATTGCAGGTTTTCTCATCTTGATTTTGGCACCGATTTTTACATTACCATCATAAACACAAAATTGGTGGCTATCATCCCTGTTTGAACTGTTATTAAACTGTAGAGTTAATGTATACTGATTTACCACATCGTAGCTGTATTGTTACAATGGAAATTAAATGATTAGTTACTTTTTTTTGGTGGCCTGATATCTGACTCCAGGTAGATCGTTTCTGATTGTTATTGAAACACATTCCTCCATTCTTCGTATAAAATTATCGACTTAACTCGCGTTAGTGAATAACGAAATTAAATAAGTCAAATATGATAATAAAGTTTGAATACATATATTTCATACAATTGTTAATGTGAACAGACAATCAAGCAGACGGTGTGAATAGGAAAGAGAGAAGCGAAACGAAATGATGTGCGGTGAGGAAGGTGTGTGAGCCAATTCGATTTAACCAAGCTTGAATCGATATTTATATTCAGACAAAAATAAGTACAGACATGTGATAAGTAGGATAAGCAATGCACACACATACACATAAAACAGTCACGGTTGATAAGCGAATACTTAAGCTGGTCAAAATGTGACTCAAGAAGAATGAATAAATTGGCCTGTCCAGTCGCTATAATAAGATATATGTGCTTGACATAGCAACTGACACTACACTTTACTAACAATGTGATGCGTTGTCAGTAAAATAAAACTACCTTAAAGACAGTCGACAAATATTCATTAACATTTTGATTAATAATAATAAATTACATTTTGCACAAAATAGCTTCATAATGAGCACTATTCGTGTTTATATAATTTCTATTGTTTTGCCCATTGTTTTTTATTGTAATGTTCTCGCTGTAATTTATTTTGTTCAGAGTACATCTATTTACTCTGTTTTTCCTCTTTCTTTAATACAGGGTTGTTCTTCACCAAATCTTGTGGATCAGTCTTGTCGATTACTCGTATCATTAATCCCCTTTCTCACTCATCCTCTGATAGTACCAACTGGACGTATGGGGTTATCTATTCAGTTATCATTTCCTATTGTTCTGCTTACTCTTATGCCTATGTTAATAACCGCTTGGGATGAAGATCCATCTACATCAGTCCCTATAAACCCATGTGATACTAATGCTGAACAACTTAGTTTCTTACAGGGTGGTTTTCTAGGTAGAGGTATATGTGGATCTTCAAATGTTATTCCTCGAGCACTTGGTTCATGGACGTCGTGTTTTTGTACTCCATACACGGCATATACGAATCCAAACATAGCATCTAATTCGAAACTAAGGACAGACAGTATCGGGCTGTTTGGTAATTGTCCATCAAACAGCCTTGGCACTTTCAGTGCTCATGAATCAACGTCGAACTTGAACTCAATAGCTACAGGAAGCACTAGTCGCGACACGCAATTGAATTCGAAATCACCAATTTTACGTCCAAAAAACCCCATTTGTATTCAGGTATGTCCAATTTAAACGATATACTATTCTTATGTTACTGAATTGGATAATTGTTTTCGGCATCACCCGTTCTAAATTCACACAATTGGATGTATTGAACAATTGTTCACTTCGATTCTCAAAATCGTTGATAGTTCGTACCCAACGGAAAAGTTACAGGATTGTCAATTTTTATATGGTTTCGGGCAGTAAAACTGGCTTTATCAGTTAACACTTTCACCATAATCAGTTCAAGACATATCACAATTTATCTATTTATATCATGTATATCATTTTAATAGTTGAATGCTTTATCAACCTTGCAAACCATACCTCTTATTATAACCTTGACTAACTATTTTCAAGCTAATGAAATGTACTTTTTGAGTTCATATCTCGCACTTTTGACTGTAAAGCCCTGTTACTGTCATCAGTAGGCGATACCAATTTTAATCCTATATCTGTGGGATCAATTTAATCATACTTCTAATTTTATGGTATAACAGTGTATTTAAGTCAGATATTCAGATTCGGTTTATTATATCCGATCAATAATATTGTGGTGTGCTACTTATATTGATATAAGTAGTAGATGATGTTAGTCGTGAACAGAATGTCTGGCAGCAGAGAGACAAGAGGATCGAACAGTAAAGAATGGAAACAGAATGCAATATGTATGAAAATGCAAAAACAATGAAGTCTGAGTCATTATGAGACAACTGATGAACATTTTGCAAATTACGTATTTACTATTTGATTATTAGATTTCATTAACAAGTCCTGTAATTCTGTGTCAAATACATTCGATTGTCTCCACCCGTGTTCTTGTTCACTACAGTATGAGATAAAAAAATTTACAGTGACATAAATGCGATGATGTAGATGGGACGAGCAAAACCACTACTGATTTATAAATACTTTTATTTAGTTAGCTTAATAGTCACTGGTTATGATCAAATGTCGTTCATGTGTTGCAGTGTGTTTATTTGTTGAATACTTTAAAAGCCTGTAAAATTATTAAGAATAAAGGCATGGGAAAGAGTGAGATTCTCACAGTTATCTTATATGATATACAATGATTTTTCTTCCGTGTTTTGATTTAATGCTCAACTTATTTCGGCTTATAAATAGTTTTAATCGGTTTGACGTTTTACACATAAATTGTGCATCAGGATGAAATCTGAGGAAGATTGAAGTTAAAACAATGTTGTTAGCATATAATTCCTATTGTAATCAAATTTATGTTCTACTGTTATAGGCCGCCGAATCACTTGCTCAGGCTGCATTAAAAACTGATCCAATCCAATTTACAAATCTAGCACTGATTCTCCGTCTTTATGCTTCTGGTAGTTTTTCCAAGGACGTTGATCAATGGAGTCGATGTGTTATATGCTATTTATTAGAAGGTTGTAGCTCAAATATATCACGTTTGCTGAAACATATCAACATGGTGAGGACATATGTAATCTACCTGCTTTTATTTCGTTTAAAAATGACTTTCTTTTAACATATTAATAAGAATTTTTCCACTTATCGTGTGGTGTATGCTACTTGTGTCGACAGATATAAATAGTGTGTAACACCAATCGGAAGTTGAAGAGAAAGCAGAAACGGACATAGAAAAGAATTGTAACTTGGAAGAATCATATAGAATTTGAAGGACAAATGATGGAATTTTGTAAATTAAGTATTCAATATGTGGTTCTCATATTTTACCGGGAGATTCTATAATTTTGTACTAAAATGCATTTGATTGTCTCCACATGTTTGTTCGTTCATTACAATCAGGATATAACAAAAAAAATACTTATTATTAAGGTTTTTTGAAACTTGATCAATTATCATAAGTTGATTGATATTATCTCACATCATGAAACTTATTTGAAAATGATGTCGAAATAGACATGGTAATCTATGCCTTGTTGAAGCTATCCAATTTATTAGTACAGTAGTATTACTGTCTTCTTTATATTTCATGCGGAGCTAATTTCCTGCTTCAATATTTTTAATAAGTAAAAAAATATGAAATTACTATGAACTCTTGTATTTCAACTATATATCATAATAGACCTTGATTGCAAATGCAAATACTTTTAACTGTCACACAATGAAAAATGTTTCCCTTTTTCAAATAGTCTTTTCATGATTCACAGTTGTTATCTACTTTCCACCCTACTTTTTATTTTTGATACATCCATGTGTTTTACAGGTTCAAGTAAAGTATGTTCCTTATTCGTAACTGAATATGCCTTAGGTACGACTATCATTCAGTATTGTCATTCAAATTTTATCAGTTTTTGTGCAATCGTTTGTGTGAAATTGACTAAATCTTGATTACTCCATTAGAAACTCCGATGTTTTGTTATTCTATGAACACTGAATTTGTAGCTTACAGTCGAATCCTATATCAGAAAGAATTTTCAGGGAAAAATTAAAATAATCTGTTTTACAGTTTGGTTATTTTTATTGGTAATTGCCAAACCAAATACTAACCAAAGTTTTTGTTAATTGTATTTGCATGTCGTATTGATATCGATGAAGTGTCAAGTATAATAAAATACTAGTTAAAATTCTAGCAACTGTTTTCATTTTAGATGATGGATTCATACTTATTTACTATCATCAATACAAATTTCATAGATCGATAAAGGTCTTCATGTGATTGGATGACGCCTAATTTTTTCATGAACGTACGGTACAGATTTCTTTTCTAATGCTCACTAAAAACCGGTTAACTACCTTGCTAAAGTAAATATTCCATACTGAATTCCTAACTGATTGTTACGCGCTGGAATAACTGTCATGTACATTGAATATATACACCTTACAACGACCACCATAACACCAGTACATGTGGGGAACTCTTTTTCCATTGCTTATGCGTAAAAGTCTAATTTCGCTAAAAATTTTATTCTCACTAGTGACGGTTTATTAAGCCAACCGTTATTATGTTTGCGCTCTTTGGAAACATAATGAAAAAATGTCAACAAAGTTATCAAGAGGAGAGTGTTTGTGTCGGCAGCAAAATGTGAGGGACTGTAATATGGGTCAATCTCAGTGTCAAGTATGAATCGATCTCATTTTCCTTTTTTCCTCAAAGATGTATCTTTGACAAGTGACGAACACTATTATGTTGTCTCACAGTATTTGGGCACCGAGGTAATGTGAGACATTAAAGAGGAAGAATGTATTTATAAAATCTCAGCCAATGAATTTAAAGTAAATCTAAGGTTTTGTCTGACAATCTGGTCCAAGGAAATACAAATGCATTCTTCCTCTTTACTATTATGCTGTGTATCTTAATTTAGAATAACATTTTCTAAATTTTAGCTCTTAACTTCTGGACCACCTTGTCTCCAATTACCTTTGCTTAAAGTGGCTCACTTGTTTTTACAACAAGTTGATATCAATCAACGAGACATGGAATACTCATTACAAAATTTTATTACGTCGATTGTTAACCAGTTTATTGGAGTAAGGAATCAAAGTTCTCTTTTCCCTATTTGTTTTTATAATTGAACGTGTCTTAAAATTATTTAATAATTATTATTTACGAAAAACAATATGATGAAACACGATCATTTAAGTGTACTGGTATCAGAGAAGGCATGTCATACAAGTCCAATCTATGTATAGGAACAGAATAAGTTGGAAATATGATGACATACATAATCGACTTCTTGTAAGATGTGGATATTGTGGACAAAAAGCTAAAGTTATTAGTAGTTATAAAAACAACCGTTGAATAATCATAATGACAGTGGTAGTAATACTAATACTAAAAAGATAGTTACACATGGGTTTTAAAATTCTGTAGAAGATTAAAGATTAGGATGTTTAAGGTGTTTGAAGAGAGAATCAAATGATATTTCTATGGTGATAAAAAATTAACCATCATAATGGCAACCATTCAATAGTTGTATGACTTATTTTGTACAGTTAACTTTACCTCCATGTAAAATCTATTTTTATTCGTTGTATTGATAAAAATGGTAATAGTTACTCAATGTTGTCATAATAATAATTATTACTAGACTTGTAATTTAGAGGTACTCTTTTTTCAGTAATTTTAACAAAACTAGCTATTTTAATTGCTTGTACCTACTAGAAAACATTACTCAGCAATTTCTCAAGTGGATACGACTAGTTGTGTTGAAAAAATTATAGGATTTGTTTTTTCATAAAATGTCTCATCAAATTATGTTAACTCCTATATATTTTCTTTCTCTTATTTTCACTATATAGACATGTTTATGGACCCATGTTATTCCAATTTTACAAGTTACCGTTTCACGTTCAGCTGTATTGAACTCTGTTCCAGAAACACTTGCATACACTTTACCTGGTTTAGATCCTTCAGGTAGTGGTCGTGTATTAGATTATGCAATCGCTTCGGCAGCAGTAGCTGTTCCACTACCAGACAGTGAACCTCCTAGATTAGAACTTGGTGGTCCTGTGTTAGATTTCACTTTTAATGTTCTTCAAGAAGCCCCATTATTAGCTCCTCAGTATGCCCCAATCTCTTCATGGCATTCAACTTCTGAAAATATATCTAAAGTAGATATTCCAACATTTGATCATACTTCATCATCAAAGGGCACTAAAAAAGATTTTATTGATGTTAGTGATATTGGCCTAACTGAAATATTCGTATCAGCATCTAATGGGTGGAATAAGCCAGGAAATTCTCAGGTACGTGCAGTTATTTTCTCTCTGCATAGAGTTTGTGCTTGTATCAATGATTTGTTTGACTTGTGACTGCAAGGATGTACAGAAAAAATCGTCTGACTGTTCACATACGACCTTAGAGACTGGGTATTTTTTATCCTAATATTAACAACGGGAAAACCCAAACCAGTACACACATTTCATAAATAGAACTGGGTGCGCGTCATCAGTTTCATAGCTAAGCATAATCTTGACATTAGATCTTTTCAAGCGTTTTGCATAGTAAGTGGGTCAAGAGAATCTGTGCCATACATATTACTTTGCCACCTTTGTTGTTTCTACTGTCTATTCCTTATTCATGATCTGGCCAGTAATAATTATAGTTTCATTGGCTGACTTGTTTTTCTTGTTTGAAATGCTGAGTGTATCAACGTTTATCACTTGGTATTGGTAATCGAACACATAGGACTTCCATTTAGTTAATCCTCAGTGAAAAATTTCGTCTATTGTTCTTTCCATCTTTAGTTTTCTAAATTTTCTATTGGTTGAAATTCAGTGCCTCTACTCTTAACGTTTTTATTACTGTGGTACCTCTATTGGAAATTCCAACTTTCAGTGACTTTTATAACACAGAATCGGACGTATCTACATCGTCTTATTGCCTATATTTTAAAACGAGGAACCACTACAATTCTCATGGCGCAAATTAATAACACAAAGGTTTGGTATAAGTGAATAGTTATTCACTCCGAATACAACGACCGTGGCTGAATATATATATATATATATATATATATATATATATATATATATATATATATATATTTGTAAATCAACCTGATTATCAGTATAAAAAAATCACATATATGCAAATTACGCAGAACTATATGAAATTGTATTCTACAAGTCATGGTGAACATAGTTCACTATAATCTAATACAAGAAATACCATATCTTGATCTAAACATCACACTGAAAATACAACGAATATTATTCTGAGCATTTGTCTCATTGACTTAAGAAAAACCGTGATCTCATTTTTTTATCCCGTTGTGTCAGAGTCCAACTGTCGAACGTACACAAAACGATTTTTCACAATATAACCGCTCAGTAATATAGATTACTAGTTCTTTTTGTCAGTGAACTTGATATAAAATACTTTATAAACCAAACATCATCTTTCTATTTATCAGATACGTTTGCGCGAAAAGCTCTATTGTTTAGTCAGTTGTTATGGACTTCCTCCTCAACAGTGTATCAGTGCTCCAAGAAGTCCTTCGGTAAGTGGTCGTATAAATTTACATATTCGTTTAGTCTCTTTTCTTTCTCAAAATTTCCTTATAAGCAGTCGTAATTTAATGGGAATTCAACATATGCATAGGTAATAAAAAATCAGAGCGAAATGTTGGAGTACCAAAAGTTGAAGGCACATAACTTTCAAAGACACCTCAATATTTGGACTGCATTTTTAACTTGTTACACAACTTCATGTTAGATATTAAACTGAGTTGTTCATGTCAATCGATCACTGAGCGTTAACGAATCTCTGTTGTCTAGTCTCTAGTATTTGTTGAGTTCTATTGATCATTTTCATTACTTTGACAACTTCTATAATTATAAATAACGATACTACTTATTTACTCACTTGAGCAGACGAGTATGCATTCGCTATCTTCTCAAATAATTTTTTCTCTACTCATTCTTTGGGCATAAACTTATGAAGAAAGCACCCAACTTCCACAAAAAATGAGTTTTAACTCAGTCTGTTCAATCGTATCCTATGTTTACGGTTGCTTATAAATCATGGTTGTACAGTGCGATGGTGGTCATTAAAATAATTTCATCTGAGAATAAATCATTGAGTTAATACACATTGATTTTTAAGTGATTCTCCACTGTTTCTAAACGAAATCAGAATTTGTTACTTGAGAAATTTCGGAGAAGAAATATTTAGCCACGTGGATTTTATAGATTAGTTTAATGTGTGAATAGATTATTAGATTCCACCATAATGATCGTAAGGTAAACCAAGCTCGTCGTGAGACTTGAGCATTATAAACTAAATTGTGAGTGAAGTTACGGTGCTCAGTGATAAATAATTCTAAACTAGAATGAAGCAGCTGTTCAATTCTCTTTAGTGTTTAATGATTCTGCTGTTGATTTCAACTTCTCTTTGAAAAGTCTGTCTACATATTTAAAATTCTTTTCCTATTCAGTTAATTTTAATAGTAATAATAATCTCTTTTTCACTTGTTCGTACATGGATTCTTATATAATTAATTTGTTTTCCTCTCTTTCTATTTCATGAATAGGTTATATTCAGTCAATCTACTGAAACTTTAGATCCTCAATTAAGTATCCATTCCAGCAGTGAAACAACATCTGTAGTCGATATTAGTAATTCAGGTAAATACTTTTTGACTTGATATTTTCTTTGTTACATGTGTCCATTTTTTCATGTTGCCCTGATGGATGATTATGTATTCCATGAATTTTGAAACAGATTCTTTTGGGCAGTTTAAAAGTCCCCATAGAATATTCAGAAATGAAGAATATTTGAATGAACTCTTGTTTTCAATAACTTCATCATCAGGCTCTACAGTTGTAAGTCCATAATTGCAGGGCCTGATGATGAAGTGATTAAAAACAATTATTCGCTCAAATATTCTTCATTTTTTGAAGATTGAAAATTTTATTCATCCTGTTGTGTAGTAAAGTGGATTCTTTTCTGTCCGTATTGTCTACGGTTCCCATATATTAAGTGTACAAATACCGTCTCATAAGAAGTGTGCATAATGTCATTAAGCTCATCACAAATACTTTCCACAAAAGTACAGATCAGTCAGCTACAACGTACAACCAGGCACATATATGCATCGGTCCAAGTTGCTATACCGCATTAGCACAGCAAGATGAACACTGGATCCATATGTTTAGTTAAGTCAATGATGGTAATATATAAAAAGAAAGATTGCATATAAGGATATAGTACAAGAAGAAATATTTCGTACGTAGAAAGAAAGATATAAAGCGATTTTAATCTCATAGTTTAAGGGAAGACAGAGAGTGTATACACCTACGCCATTGTGATCGATTCTGAGCCATGTCACCACTAGTCTCCAACCATTGGTTACGATAGTCACGCGGACCCCAACCAAGTAGTCTGCATCTACCAACATGGCTAAGACAAGAAGTTAGTGACTTCAAGGACTGATGTCACGTTTTGGTTTGGCCGCCCCTAACTTTCTTACAACCATGCTCAACACCGGTTAGCATTGCACGTCGTGGTAATCGGTGTTCAGGCATACGTAACACGTGGCCCAACCATCTCAGTCGACGAAGATTCACAACCTCATCAACTGATTTACCATCATTCCCTAATACCCTGCGTCTAACCTCATTAATACTGACCCGGTGATCCCAGGAGATGCCAGCAATATTTATAAGGCATCTGTGGTCAAATACTTGTAGCTCACGAGTATCTTCAACTCTTAATGGCCATGTTTCGCATCCGTGAAGTACAAGCACACTTTTATATCATTTATTACATAATCAATGATAAGTAACACGTGCAAGTTGTTATCATCAATAATGTAAAGTGTAATGAAAACCAAACATTCGAAATATGTCACATAGCTGATCCATATGAATTATTGGTAAAGACAATAAACCCCTTAATACCACCATTATGAATGTTCCGAAATCACAGTTAGACTAAATAAATAATGAGGGAAGGCTAGGATGAAGAGTGTTTCTTAAGAATTTGTGACAAAAAATGTGCAACACCAAAAAGATCCACAGTTTAACCTATAATTAAAAAAGAACTACCAAGTGAACTTCTGCAAAACTCAGAAATATCTCATTGTCTCTCCGCTACTAACTACAAATCAATGGTGTGTTTACTTCTAACATTGTTAATTAACTGAGGTTCTTCACTATCAAATCAATAGTAATCATCCTAGTGAACTTTATGATGAAAGAAATAAACTTTACACGTAGAATATATTTTAACAATAATTTGATATAGTTAACAAGAGATTCTCAATTGTATATAACTACAAAATTTTGTCGAGAATAAAATGTTTGACAGAATTAATTAGTTACCTCTAATAACATTGTGCATAGTTTTCGAATAATAATTATAGGGCTGTATATTAGTATTGCAGGATGAGTAAAAATCATCTAGGTTAATTTTTAGTTTAATTTTACGAAATAATAACACCTGGTTATAAGAGTTTCCAGCTTCTTGATTTTGATATTTAGGACTTCAATTGATCAGTCTCTGTTGATATTCTTAGAAGATTGTCTCAGTAACTTAGTGGATAATGCGTTGGCATCTAAAGCGATAGGTAGTGGGCTCAAACTAGTATAAAATCCCCATCCCGGATTCCAGTGATAACTGCTGTCCAATTTTACTGAAAGTAACAACAACTTTTGTCAACCTTAAAATTTTTTTTTGATTGTTGTAGAAAACGTAAGAGAAAATATATCCAAAGTAATTTACATGATTATCAGAATGGGTTTTGTGGAGATTTTTAGAAATTTCACAAGTTGAAATCATGAGCCAATTGAAGCTAGACCACCATGGAAAACCTGGAAGCACTGGACGGCCGTTTCGTCCCACACTAGGACGAAACGGCCGTCCAGTGCTTCCAGGTTTTCCATGGTGGTCTAGCTTCAATTGGCTCATAATTTACATGGACTAATTTTCATTCTATTTATTATTATCACACCTTTTTGTTGCTAATTTTGTGTATTTTTTTTATAGATGATATTCATTTAGATGATACAAGTAGTGGTGAACAGACTGCTGTGTTTCGTGATTTGGATACCTATTTAGATGCTCAGTTGATGAATATAAACTTTTTAGGTGTACCAGATTGTAGATTAGTAAGTTATTTTATGTATTCATATTTTCTATCGTACAATGGTATTGAGATATGGTTTAGACAGCGGTGGCCAGATAGTTGAGACTGTATTCATCAAACGAGAACATTATTAACAGAATAGATTCTTATAGAACTAGTCTGAACACTTCTAACTTTCCTAATATACATACTTCTGCTCAAGTAATGGAATATTATCATTATTCATCATACCATCAAGTGTGTTTTAAAGCCAAGTCTATGAACTTGTATTTGGTCAGTGCATAAATTTATGAACATTTAACTAACACCGTTTTTGTAGCTTTATTTCTACATTAATGTATCTACCGAATTGTGATGAAATGTAGATTTTCGACGGTGATGAAATCAATTAGTAAAATGGCTAAATAGTTTAAAAATTCTTGTTGATTCGTAAAGAAAAGCACAAGAGTTCAGCGAGAAAGTCCGATTTTTAGTGGTATCGTCCCAAGTTATACAACCACACTTAAGTATTATGTTCACCTGACAGCAAAGCAGGAAAAATTGCAAACCAAAAGTTATTTTGAAGAAAATTAGGTTTTTCAAAAAATATCAGCGAGACAATTATGGTGTGATGGGAGAAGTTGTACCAGTAAGTTGAACGATGGATGGATATTTACAGCTTCATAAATAATATTGGGATGGAAGTCACTGTGCTAGTTAATACAATGTAATTTCAATGAAGTATTACGTGGAAAAATGTTAATAGCTTGTTTAGTTGATGGATCGTAAAATCTTTGAATATTTTTTACGTATAATTATTCACTAACATGCAGATTATTTTGTTTTTATCTCCTTGTTAGGCGTCAACAAATGTGAGTTTAAATACTTCATATTTTACAGATTGGGTCTTATTATTGAGTCGGTTGTATGTTAAGTCCTATATTGCAGTTTGATAAATATGTTGAAATAACTGATTTCATTTGCAAAATAGCTTTTTTCAAAGTTCAAGTCACAGTTCCGAGTTTCATTTTTGTTAGAGATTGAAAGATCTACTGTTGATTTCAGTAATTCACATAAAAATTCAATGTATGTTTTCGTCATAGAAGAAAACGTTAAGTTGAAAAGGATAATAAATAAATACAATCATACAGAACTCTATACTATTGTGTATTGACTAACCGACTATGAGATATCAAACAAACAGGAAATCCTGTATAAATGTTCACCAGTTCAATATACTGCACAGTTCGGAAGGAAGAAAACCAATCGATCAACACAGAAACACATTAAGTTGAACAATAAAATAATGATGAATGTACTCATCATATAAAACTTAGGGTTATGAAATGTTTAAAGTTTTGAAGGCGATCAATAGCAAATGGATTTGTATTATCATCATCTCATCTCAAAAATTTTGATAAAGTTCAAAAACCTACATATTATGTTTCTAACATGATCAACTTTAAGAGGTTTTGAAGGTAACTTAGGTTACAAATACTCAGTAAAAATACTTTCCCAGATATAGTTGTTTTTAACCTTAAAGTTTCTCATAATTATTTTTAGTACTTGAAAATGAAATTGTAGACTTCCACTTTAAGTATAGAATTTAAACAGTTAACATATCTTAATAGTTCCTTTATTTGTTAACTCGTTAAGTAATATATCTTGTCCATTGGTCGTATTTATACTTCACTACCATCTCTAAGATGTTAGCTGGCAGATGAACGTACTCACACCTTCAAACGACGCTTTTCATTTTATCCACTAAAGTACGCTAAAATCACTTTCCATATGAGTTTGATAATTTTATTGTCGATTCTGATAATAATGTAGATTTTCCATGTGAAATGTTTTGTGTTTTATATTCAACAGAGTTCTACAAAATGTTTACATATCTACAGCTTTGTTGTGTAAATTCCTACCAATAACTACTAGTTTGTGTCCTTTAAAACCCATCCATCTAATCCTGTTGGATCACATAAGCTAGTCCTTACACTAAATGAACTGAAAACTTGTGTTCTGAATTTCGGTGCATAAGAATAAAACAATTGATTCATCAAGTAGTACTAACCAATGTCATTTCTCTAATGCTTAATGATTGGATTTAATTAATCAAATGGCAGTGTGACCACCAAATACTTGACATTTCAGTTCATTTTGTTTGATATCAAAGGTTTGAAAGAAGTCGATTAATAAAAATATCTTCATCCTACAGGAAATTAATCGCGGTTCGAATAACACAGTGATAATATTTACTACTGCAGTGCGCGGAATGTCAAGTCCCTCAAGATTGTAGATATGTCTTTCTGACAAGTACCAACTTACTCCAAAATTAGGCTCAACCATTCTTCCCATCTAAATGGTATCGATTGCCGGTCGTCCCAATCTATAAGAAAGAAAACAAATCCTCTTGTGGCAATCACAGGAGAATCAGTTTCACTAGTATAATGTCTAAAATATTAGCCTCAATAGTGCTTCGACGTTTAACTAGAACCCGAAGAAACCAGGCTGGTTTCAGACCTTGACGTGGACTAAATAATACCCCTTCAGAAGGTCGTCGACGTACTTTTCGACGTCCTACTATAATTGTATTTCTTGACCCTTAGGCGTTGTTTGGCTCTGTTGATGGAGAAGTTTTTTCGTGCCTGTTAATAAAAGGCTTTCTTATGGCGCACATTAGCTTCTCTGCTCGAACACTGCTGGTAGAATCAGAGCTTGTGGCCAAATGTCATCGGAATCGGTTACTCCAATAAATGTTCCTTAGGGTTTTCCGCGTTCCTCATTCTTATTTAACCTTGTAATTGACATCATTTTAAAGATAACACCTTCATTGTCTGACTTCCCAGGGGTTGATCTACCAAGAGATTCATTTGTTCACTGAAGGTATGCCGATGATTGACTCATGAGTAAAATTAATAGTTAACAACTTATAACATTGATGACCAAATATACTCTCACTACTCTATATAATCCGATGTAGACAATAACAGCTTTTTTAATACAAACTACTGGTAATCTACAGTGGTTCGGTAATACACTAAAGAAAATAATCTATTACTTCACTCAAGGTCCAAGGTATAAAGTGATTACAGTGTTTTGTAGCATCATTAGAAGGACTAGGTGTTTTGGAGACATGGGCAGTTATATTTATGTCACCCCATACTTTGCCTTTAACTAACTGACCAGCTGGTGTTTTCGATTATCACTTAACCGTTTGCAATATATTTTGATCATAAAAATAGTTTTTTATTTCCGTAGAAATCTTTTCGTTTGTTTACCCTATTTCTCACTGTACATATCTTCGTGTTTTGATGTATATCTTTTTATTTTCTCTTTGTATTTTAGGCTTCCATGAGTGTAAGTCCAATGATAATCTTCCTGTTTAAAAACATCTAGGTTGTTTAATATACAGAAAGATTAAGTTCATCCTCATTACTTCAATACATGTAGACTACTCCTATATCATGATTACTCTTCAACCATACATTTCTATTCGCTTAAGTGGTTCGTGGTGGTAAATTTAATTTGAAGTTAATTTTCATCACAAACTATTATCAGTTGGTGATGCATCACAAGCAAGGCAGCGTTGTCCTATTTCGAGACTCAACAGCGCACAATTATGATATTATAAAGGATCGAACCCATAACCGTCATATAGAGATCAAGACACTGTATACAATGGTCGATACTCTAAACTGCAATAAATTTTCCAGATCTAGTGATCCTCATCCAATATTAATGATTAGTCATGGACCCAATCTTTACCCCTAGTTGACTTTGCAGATCATTACTCCTCACTTAGAGCCCTGTCATTTTTATCAAATTTAGTAAATCATGTTTGACATAGTCAGACAATTTATGGATATTTATTCAATGCAACCTAAAGGTCCTTGGTTGAATTTCATCAAGTTTCTCATCAACAGACTCGTTTCATCTAGCCAGTGTTGAAACAGTATTCATTTTCTCCACAATCATTCGTATTAAATTTGACTGTAACCTATTTAACACGTAATGCTTGGTTGAAATTTTTATTATTTTTGTTGTTCACTGCTTTTTAGGAGGAAGAACCTAGACGTCCTTGGGGTGTACGAGGCCAAGCAATTACATGTCATTTCGATTTTAATGGAGATGGAAATGAATCAGTTAATAATGAGTCTGTCGGTGGCTTATCTCGAACTGTACAATCGTTGGAGAAAACAACTAGTAGTTTGGCACATAGTATCACAGAATCGGATTATTTTACAGCTGCTTATCAACATCATCATCACCACTCAGGAAAGCAGCATCAAAATAGAACACATTCATTGCCACATTTAACATGTGTTACTAATAGTCTAAGTGATGTGAAAGATACAGAATCTAATAGTACAAATCGATATTCAACGATAACAATTAGTAATAATTATACAGATGATAACATAGATGGCAAATATTCAGCAGCATCATACAGTGAAGAACAACAACAACAACCACTACTACCACAGTTGGAATACAAAAAACCATCAACTTCACTTGCCTGGCAATCATTCGCTGAGGAACAGTCAAATTTTAGGATTAATGATTTGATGAATGATGAGTTTACTGGAAAAGAAAAGTTTAATAAGGGTATACAGGTAGTGAAATATCCACTTGTTACCGTACGCAATTCACGTAGTGAACGTGTAACATTTAATCTTGATGGTGATAAAAATCAAGATGATAATGATGAGGTCGACAAGCAGGATGATGTTCATCGAAAAAATAAGATATCTATGGACGATGGTATAGAGAAAATCAATGATCGATGCATGTCAAAAACGTGTAAGGGAATCCTCATCAATCGCTCAAATCATGATTATGTTAAGGGACTACATAATGGATTGCTACTGTCCGATACTGTGCTTGCTAATAATTCTCGAGTACGATCCGCGTCAACACAATCACTCAATAATGATGGGAATTACAATGAAACTAATAATTCAGATCAAAATTTAAGGTCACGTATATATTTTCCTCGATGTCTGTCATCTAATCGTAATGAAGTAGGTACAAAATATATAAATCATGACAGATTGACAGATGAACCTGATCAAACAGTTGATAATCACCATTATCATGATCATTTTTCTGTGAATACTCCACAAAAACTTTTGGTTGGACAAATCAAACGTAGTGTATCAACATCTGAATTATTATTGACTAGACAACATTTTACATTCAATAATAAACCAAATGATTACAAATCTTTAATTAATTCTGCAGTGTTGTCACCGTTAACATATCAAAATAAAGTTAGTTATCATGTAAATGACAAATATTTTACTAGCTTCTCTTCATCTTTATCATCGACAAGGTCACTGTCGCCAGTGAATCATCACAGCCAATTCGAACAAACGGCGTTTAATTTAATTAGTACAAATGATAAAGATAATTTGAACACTAATAATAATAATAATACTGATTTATCAAAAATCATTTCATATCGACCAAATTTACTTTGTTCTTCTTCCGTATTGCCTCAATCGATTCCACTTTCATTATCACCAACATTAACAGCACCATCTGTACATAGTTCTCATTTATCACTTCATTGTATTGAAATTATTCGAAAATCCAGTGATCTCCCTGTTATCCATAGAAAGCATAAAGCAACAAGTGATTCACATTTGAATTGCTTTAATAAACAGTTATTGTGCCATCATCAAAAACTTCATCAATCAAATAGTCATCATCGGTGTTATCATTTTTCATGTGTTAATGAAAGCACTCATAATGTTGATTCTTCTGAGTGTACTTCTTTGAACAAAATCCTATCAGTTCAACCAATACAAAGATTATGCGATTGGAAGTATCCAGTAAGTCATATATATCGTTCTTACATTTACAATACGATCTTTTTCCGAATGTCAGGTCTATCGCATAGATATTTAAAAGTCATTTGATCTTAATAAACTGTTTACTTTGTAATTTGGAGTTGAACAAAATTGGTACATGCTTGTCAAAAGCCAGCATTATTCTGATAATGCAATTAATAAAATTATTGTTGTCACATTCACTTCAATAAGATTCATCTTTCACTACTATGTTTTTATTAAAAGAAAACTTTAATTATTTCGGTTGTCTTATCGGAAAATTTGTATACCGCATACAAGTATGAAAAAATCTTTTACCATTGTTTAATTTGTTTCTAAGTTTTAAAGAATGGTGGCTTGGTTTAGATAAAGCACTTTGTTTTGAACAGTAGGGTAGCATGTACTCCCTTCATGTTTTTTAGCCGGTTAGTACCATCACCTATTAAAGTCAGACTCTATGAGCACATGAAAATAATTAGCTTAAATCAGAGCATTACTTACACTCATGAATATTACAATTTTATTTGATTCAAGTCGTTTATTTTGTAATTGGGATTTAAGAATTTTAATCATAATAAAGTTATAACACTATCTAATTATTTTTTGCTTTGCGAGATCAAACAATATTGTGTATATCAACTTATTTAGCTAATTACTCAACAAAAATGGATTGCATTAGAACCATTATCGAACTCAACCTGTTTACACTTCGATGAACAACGAAAGTTAATATCGCTACTGATGGGACTTCCACAATTGTATCAGGAGATAATTTCACGCTATAATAACGCTGTTAACGATACGATCGATTTGTCTGTTTGTTGTTGGACTGAATCAAGCCGATTGAATTGTTTAGGTGAGTTTTACTCTCTGTTTTTAATAGTCAGATTCGTGTAAATCATTCATCTTTATGTAATGTATACTGCATTAATATTTACGTTTGTTTGTAAAACTGTAAAATTTGAAATCGTTTCTCATCACGAACTGATGACAGCTGGATGACCACTGGAAGATAGGAAATACTAAAATCCCCTGTCATCCTAGTTAGGGACTCCGCAATATGCACCTACAGTCCGTCTGCACATCCAAGTTCATTACTTGTGCTCTGGTAATTCGTTTTGCATGCTGACTTGACGTCACCTGATTATTTAAAATCAGATAAGTTGTGCATAATTCTTCAAATAAATATATAAATGTTATCCTCTTTTTAATGCAAATATCTTTCTAATTTTCTGTAGCGAAATTAGTCGGAAAAATCAAAACCTATTTGAGACCACCTTGGTTTTTTTGTCGTTTATGTCAGGTAAATCCTAATTGTATCTTACGGAATGTTTTTTTCTGAAATATCAGTGCTTTTTTAAGCATAGTGTAAATTTTTTATTAAATGAGAGTAGAATCATTACTGACTACTTTGGTTTTACACTTCAATCTAATTTCAAGCTTTTAAATTTTCTACACATAGATCGTCCAGTCGACAAAAGAATGAGTATTTATGGTTTGTTGGCTTAGAAAAGAGTAAATTAAGTGGTAAAGTGCTTAAAGCTAATATTATATGGTGAAGTTTGGGAACATTCTCAATCAACTATTGTTTCCAATAATGCTTACTTTCTTAAATCAGAATAGCTCAAAAAATCACAATATAGCTTTATTCATATTGCTCAACTGCCATATTTACAACGGGTGTCTATGGTTCGAAACACGTAATCTATCGTTACAGAGGAAAGTAACTGTCAACTCGAATACTACTTTCGAATATTAATTGTTTTTAATAAACAAAATCAACTGACCCATATCTTACACTGACTGCGCATTGTGTTGTGAAAAACAAACGATAACTGACCGAAATCGGCCACCGGTTAACATGTTACTCTGTTCAAGATAGTATTTTAAAACACGCTTTGTATATGTGTGTTGGTTGTTCAATGAACATACTGAAGTATGAGCTATAAATTTCTAATACTTTATTAGCATTGATAAGATCCATTAATTACTTGTTTATAAATGTGTGAGTAGCTGTTATCAATTGATTACATCGTTCACTTTTATTTTCCATGCCGTGATGCTAATCTTTTACATCATTTATGTTCATTCATATTATACCTGTGGTCTGTAATTTCCATTTATTCAAATGACACGACTTCCTAAATTTTACGTCAGAAACAATAACACTATTATCTTGCATTGTAATTGAACTTCTTGTGTAGAAGTGTACGGTTTGTAATCAATTTCACTGTCATAGAAAAGAAATAAGTTTCTGGACCATTTTTTGTGATTCTTTGTTATATTATCGTTATAGTATAGTGAACAAAGTGGTCAGGTGAGGAAAACCAATTCATTGTTCCATGTAAAATTAGTGTTTTCGTAAAATATGGAAACCATAAATCGAATGCATAATTTTCACAACTTCCATTAGTTGTAATTTACAGGCTTCATGATTCTTTCAATTCCTTTGTTATTACAAGTACTTAATGTTTTGTTCAATAGAATCTTCCTAATCTTCTGCAGGCGTGCATTCCACTTCCGACTAGTGCTACATACTACTTATATCTGTCAACATAAGTAGCATACGCCATAATAGCTCATAACCAATATTTCAGATCATCTTGAGATATCCACTTTTTCATTTAACTTGTTAAAGACATCATTTTAATGCCAGTTTAGACGATATACTGGTCACTTCACTTCGGTAGTAATGAACGTTTTCGTAATATTATGGATTTTAGTTAGGTGCTTTCATGACTCCTCATTCGAATAATCTTTTCCCTCTCCATAGTTATTCGTTGTGTAGTATTTTGATGCAATATGCATTTGTGGCAGATTTTACATCGATGACTGACTAACTTCTTGACATTTACGAAATGTTGATATCTCTGACACCAGTATCCCGACACCATAAAATAATATGGGTGTAAATGTTATTAAGTCAATCTCATGACTATTAAATCTTTATCATTGCAAATATTCTTTTTTGCTAAGGATTTCATATTCGACCGGTACTTGAAATTTCACATGTTAATATACGCTATGATGAATTTCTATATTCATCATGATTACTCATTCCTGTTTTACTTCAGGATGATCTTACTGAGACGGTTCATTCTTATTTAATAAGTAACATGATTCATTTATTGGAAAAACACCAAGGAATCCAAAATCAATTTGAAAAACTTTATAATGTAAGTTTAAATTCTTTATTGCAACCGCAATTTCAAAATAGGAATTATGATTGTAGCAACTTGAGTAGGCAAAATAGGAATGTTTAATGATAATTTAATACCTTTAGTATTGTGGTATCAACCTTCTTTCCAATAAGAAAATACTTTTTCTGATTTTTGCGTTTTGTAAATACGTCATGTGAAAGTGTTATACACTAGCCTGCTTGTCTATGACTATTATAGTTGATTATGTTACTATAGAAGGTAAATGAATTCTACTTTTTTAAACTGAATGATAAAGAATTATCAGAGACTAAGTATTGTTGACATCAGTTTGAAATTTGTATGTTTTGCTAAGAACTACTGTAGTTTCTGAAATCTTGAAGGCTTTGACATAGTTTAAATTGCTCATACTCCAAAACTTTTAATTAAAGAACAAAATCTGATACATTTATCGTCATTTATTAGAAGGTACGAACCCGACAGACTGAGGGCAAATAATCAGTGTTAAGAATCAAGAAAAGTTGTTAAACATCCTAGTTTAGTTTTACATGACTTACAGGTCAATATAAACATTTGAGCCTATTATTGTAAGTAACTATACACTCAGTATAATATTAACAGGTTACTATTAATAGATGTACCCCATGAAGCTGGTCACAGTTAATCTTAATCTACCTACGCCAAGGTTCTGTGATTTATTGACAGGGGAAATGAGCTTATAAGAAATACTAGTGGTCCTCTAAGAAAACCACCTGGGTACCCGGGCGGTACCACAACCCTCACATGAATCAATGATAACTGCTACTGACCTCATTGTTATTGTGTGGTATTTATGTATTTGGTGCCCCTGTACCGATGTTTGTGTTCAAATAAATAAACAAAGTAATTAAAACACATGTAGAGACCCACTGATAATCTGTGTAAGCATGGTACATAATCCACAGTTAATTCTTGATAACTATCGCTATCTAAAACCCGATTGTCTAGGAATTGTAGCGTGATTTAACTATTCCTTTTAAGTACTAGTGACGATTGTAGTTTTTATTTGATACTCACTTTCCTCCTGCTTATTTTGCTCGTTTTAACAGCTTTTACAATCTGAAAATACCAGAGACACATTTATCCAACTATTCTGTAATATGTTCACTAACTTAATAGAATTTGTGAAATATTCATATGCTAGTGTTGAAACCATTTATGCTAATTTATCCAAGTTGAAGAAAAATGAAATCCTATCACCTGCAATACTGGATCGATCTTGTCGTTTCCAATATTTACTAAAGTGTGTTCTATTAGGTCTAGATTTGACCAGTGATATCAATAATCATGATGATAACAGTGACGTACCTATCAAACCAGCTATTTGCAATGAACCCGCTGCTTTAAAAAATCAACTATGTGAATTCCTAGCAAACATGCTGACAAGTTTTCCAAACGATGAATTACTAACCGAGTCCAATAATTTTAATCCAGAAAACTGTAAACAAGTAATTAGATTGTATAAACAATTATCACATAAGTCCCCAGATGAGTAAGTTAAAGTTTCTTATTTATCCGCCTACAGAATTAATCCATACTAAGTTTATTTAATTTCTTAAATTAGTTTGAATAAGGATAATGATGCATCATAAATTGACTGAAGTCGAAAGTGATGACCACTGGGTTCCGACTTATCATTCTAAAGATATCATCCTGGTCAGGGGACCTGGACGCTGTTATTTCGATCTCATGCTTGAACATTGGTAGAGTCCCTAACTATGGCATAACATCGGTCTGTACTTGCAATGATCGATCATGTCGTCAACATTCGATTTCGTGTTTCAATAGTTCTGATTGAGTTCTATCTATCAAGTCGCAGTGTCCCTCTAGTCTAAATCAATCAACATATGCACTGTGTTTTTATTTTAGATGGTTGTAGAGAGTCGAGAGAAAACTCTGGGGCCAGGTTTTGTAGTGGTTGAGACTTGTCAGCTATGGCCACCTATTATCTTCGGAAAACTGATCTCTGTGACACTAATCCGCATCACCCGACCCTATTGTTCAAAACATTGCCGCTGAACTACCAGAACCATAGTTGACCTTCGGTAGGAAACTACCAGTTTTGGGAAAAAAGTACGACTACATGACCTCGTAAGGTACTGAAGTTGTCAAATCTATGACCATATCGATTCCCCATACAACTGATTTATACCTCTGGATGAAAAGTTAATATACATATTGACCATTCGATTATTTGCTTATGAAGCTTTTTAATGTTACAGATCAGAAGTACCGATTGATATGGTGATCAATATACTGAATATTTTTGCAAATTATGTCTGGGAAAGGGACTCCACTTCATGTAAGTTGACGTTCAGATGCACACTTCGACTTTATTTTGATATATGAATTGTAGCATTATTCACTGTTTATTTTGCACTATGTTTTAATTGTCATGAAGTTTTACAGCTCCGTTTGGCTTTACATTTAAGACGCTGTTCTTACTGCATTGAAAACCTTCCAATTATACTTGAGTTCTATTGTATTAGTTTTTGTGACAAAAACCAAACAATATCCTTTTCCTAATTGACTAAATTAGTAAAATAGTCCCACCAAAAGGGGGTTGTTGCAATGTCTATTAATTTTTAAAAAACCCTTTAGTCGTTAGTTCTGTATGCATAACATTCATTACCAGAAATTTACTCTGAGTCATTTATTTTCAGAGATAGTATATATAGTATTTTATAAGTTCAAGTATTCCGAAATAGAATGAATCCATCTTATGAATGTCTAACCCCAGTTGTCATTAGTCTGAAATGGCGAGCTACAAACTTCAGAGACCAATCATTAAATATATATTTTATTTGTTGGATAAAAGATCTCGATTTCGTAAACATATTTCTGTTGTAATATTTTGCTAATAATTTGATGTATTGCACTTTGCCCGTCCAACAACTCAGCCCTGATGATTTATTTTACAAAATATTTTAGCTTTCTTTTAGATATACTTCGTAGTGGAAATGCGATTTCGTAAACACGTTTTACTATGTTCTAAGCAAATTTTTGCAATATTCCTAGTCTGATGCATTGTGCAACCGATATGTTAAAATGGGAGATTGTAGTGTTTGAAAGTAGAACGCCCTTCTAATAAAAACTGACCAACAAGATAGCTGAATTCTATTCATACCAAGCAGCAGAACTTGTTTACCTAATGAAACACATTATTGGTGAAATCTGAAGCATGCGGTATTCATCTTTTTTCGACTTACCTTAGGATGAATCGTTTTTTAATGCAGTTGACGTCTAACCTTTCATTCTAATCTTTTGAGTAGCCCATCATAAATAAATCTAGCCAGTAGTTATTTGCTAACAACCAGTAAGAAACTGTTGGCCAATGTTCTGAACTGCTATTTAGCAGTACATTTTGTTTACATACAAATCTAAATAGTTTGCTTTTTTGTTTAGATATTGCATATCTTCCGTTACCGGCACTTGACAAAGACATAAACGACCAACTAGATACTACCAATTACTGCGCTTATTTAACTGAAAGCCTACACCACCTCGTATTAAATGATAATGTCAATGATGGTGATAAATTATGTTGACTAACACACCAGTGTTGTTTTTTTCAATTTTATTTTGTGATTACACGAGAAAAATTCACTGCTGAAATTTTCCCCAGCTTACGATCAATACAATTTCGCATACACAGTACAAAATATACGATAAATTAGGACGGATATTTTTTGTACAAGCAACTATGTTTCCAAATCTATTTAAAAGAAAGAACTAAATTTTCTGAATATATTCCTTTCCTAGTTCTTTCCACTGAGATAAGACGTAATTAACTTCCATCCAATATTTCACTTTATTATTATGTGTATTTCCTTACAGTGTATAAAATAACACACTATGCTTTTTTGATTTACTTGGTTTTATATGTAAATTTTGTTCAGAAAAGTGCGGTTAGTTAGACCTTAGTTTTGTAGTGTACTAAATCGAACAATATTTGACAGTATATTTACAATAAGATGTTTTACATCTTATAATGTCATGATGATAGATTTGTAGTGATGGCTGTCCAAGTTAGAACCTATTGAAATTCGTCCTTAGAAGTAAGTAATCCGACCAGCTTTCTAAGCGCAGTTTGGAAATATGTAGTCTTAATACCTTAAATGAATTAATATACAACCAGTTGTAAACAAGGTTCCTCTAGACTATACAAATAAACTTAACAGAAGTCCTTTCTAGAACAAGTGAAGTATTTACTACGTAGTTAATGATATAGAATCTCAATATACAGCTTTTAAAAATGCTTTGAGCAGTTTCAAGTCTTATGACCGCAAACGAAACACACCTATTGTTGTACTCAAACAGCAACAGGTTTTGGATTTGAGCGAATATTCTTATTCATATAAATGAGGAATATAATAATGACATACTTGTGTCTGTAGTCTGTAACGTACGTTCATGTATACGATAGCTTTAAAGATACTTAGAAGCATGTACTCCCAGTCATTCTCAGTGGTTGCGCAAGTGACGAAGATATACGATCCAAAATCAACCATCACCTAACCAGTAGACGTTTAACGTGCAAATCTCAACTACACATGACACTTTCATTAAGGTAAAAGCGGTTACCATTATCAGTAACTGTTGTCTCTATATCATTGCATGCTTTAATACACTGACCATATTGAAGCTTTTGTTTCTTACACGAACAGTAAAACTATTCCAAATTGGAAAGTAAGATCCATTAGCAGTTTCTCCTATGGATAGCTCCGAATGCTCTTATGGTATATTTGTGCTTTTTTATACTATCGTAATACTTTTGTATGACGTACAACTGAATATTAATTTGATACACCGAAGAATGAATTTTAAAACGCCCAGGATTGAAAATTCCAATAATTCCTCGCACTTTATTGAAAACGGGCTTATAAATAGTCACTGAACCAGTGCCAATAGTCCACTCAACCAACTAAAATAATATGTTTTCAAGGATATGGCAAACGCATATACTTAGGAAATGTATGGAGAGATACTTGAAAAAGATGAACTGAAAACTAATTAACCTTTAAAAGGAATGAGATTGTACTTTAATGTCGCCAATTCCTTTTAGATAACTGTAAATAAAAATGTGTAATCATTTGGGAATGAGGTTTCCTAAGTTTAAATAAATCTCGATTTTATGACGTGGAACACGACACAAGGAAGGGCTGGCGCTCACTAGTGATAACTTTCTGATTTTGTAAAAATAATTCCTTGACCATCACAACCCGGTTAAAGCACCGGAAATTCCCTTCTTGTCTTCTGAATTTCGTAAACAACACGCCCGTCACGAGAAGGCAGTGAGTAAGACTTTTCCCGGCAATGGCTGTGTACGCGTAGCCATGTGAGAATATTTTGTGAGGGAGAGTGGACTCTCCTCACCCTCGGCGGTACCTGGGCATCCGGGAGCCTCTCATCAGTATCCTTACACTCTAAAAGGGAACCAGTGACAGATTGGTGAGAAAGAATCCTTAAATTTAAAATATTTAACGCATTTACACTGTGCCAACTTTCACAATTTAGTTATGAATTCGTATGTAAGGAAAACTTTTAGTCCTAAAACATGAAGAATAAAATTTAGTTTGTATTTCAGGAGAGCATTTGTAAATACAAAGACATAAACTAGTTTCTTTTCCGACGTCCTTTTTTGCGTCTTAAACGCTTCAGCTGTTTCTTCTTTTTCTAAATTTCAATCGTTAATTATAACAACAAACCTCACCTTTGTTGGGGGCGGTTTATATTCCAATTCTTCATCCGACTACGTTTTTTTTAAAATGTGTATACAAGATTAGCAGAAATATATTTATTGATTTACTACAAGTTAACAATGTCTAACTACATCACCTGAATGTTAGTTATCACAAAGGGAAGAGGACTACTAATAATACGTGACTGTGATACTAGTTATCAAAAATATAAATGACGCTTTAACTGGACACTGATATCAAAGTAGCAACCGACCAGTAGACCAAATGGTAAATTATTTAGGGAATAAGGCTGAAAAACAGTCGACACGGGTCGTTTTTGATTGCTGAGTATTAGTCATATATTTAAACGCAAGTACTGATACAAATGGGCACCAAAAGCATTATGCACCACGCAATAGAGTAAATGAAACTTTAAAGAGGCAGACGACTTACACCTGCTAACCATCGTAGAGGAGGAGCATAGGTCGCTCACCAGCATTCTCCAACGAACTATGTCCTGGGCGATCCTTTCCAGTTGCCATTCGTCCTTTTCATGTCTGCTTCCAATTCCCGATGCACTGTGTTCTTTGGCCTCCGTCTTTTTCGTTTCGCCTCAGGATTTCAAGTAAGTGCTTGCCTCGTGATGCAGTTTGATTATTTCCTCAATGTGTGTTCTATCCACTTCCAACATCTTTTCCTAATTTCCTCCTCAGCTGGAAGTTAGTTTGTTCTCTCCCACAGTAGACTGTTGCTGATGGTATTCGGTCATCGAACATTGAGTATTATGCGTAGACAACTGTCCATACATATCTGTACCTTTTTGATGATGGTTGTAGTAGTTCTTCACGTTTCAGCTCCGTACAGTAGGACTGTCCTGACGTTCGTATTGAAGATTCTGACTTTGATATTAGTTGACAGTTGTTTTCAGTCCCATATGTTCTTCAAATGTAGGAATGCTGTCCTTGCTTTGCCAATCCTTGCCTTTACATCTGCATCCAATCCTCCTTGTTCATCGATGATGCTACCCAGGTACATGAAAGATTCCACATCTTCTGTATCAAGTGTGATTGGGTTGGTGTTCTCAATGTTGTATTTGAGGATCTTGTTTATGTTGAGACCTGCTGATGTAGGGGCAGCTGCTACACTGTTTATCTCGACCTGAATTTGCTGGTATGTATGGGATAGAAGGGTTAGGTTGTCTGTGAAGTCCGAATCGTCTATTTGCATCCAAGCTGTCCATTGTATTCCATGCATCCCCTCTAATGTGGAGGTCTTCATAATCCAGTCAACCACCAGAAGAGAAAGGGGGAGAGTAGGCAGCCTTATCTGACTCCGGCCCTCGCTTGGAATCCATCTGTCAGCTGTCTTCCGCGCACGACTTCGCAATGTATTTCATCGTATGAATTCTGGATGTTGATTATTTTCTTACGTACTCCATAGTGTTGAAGACGTTTCCATAATGTTACCTTATCCACTGTCAAATACTTTCTCACATTCAATGAAGTTGATGTATAGTGACGAGTTCCACTTAATCGATTGTTCGACGATGGTCCGTAGTGTCGCGATCTGGTCTATGCACGACCGATCCTTACGGAATCCAGCCTGTTGATCTCGAAGTTGGGTGTCTTGTGAGTCTTTCATTTAGTTCAGCAACACTCTGTCCAAAACCTTTCATGGTATTGACAGTAGTGTGATGCCTCTGTAGTTTTAACATTCGCTCAGATCTCCATTATTTGGTATCTTGATTAATTATCCTTCTTTCCAGTCCCCCAAAATCTTCCTAAATAGAAAGTGAAGAATGTTTGCAACTGCTTCTATGTCTGATTCCAGAGTTGCGGCTGGTATATTATTAGGTCCTGCTGCTTTCACACTTTTGATTTGTCCCATAGCCATCCTGTTTTCATCGATCGTTGGTGGAGTGACATCTGTAGGTGCTGCTTCGATTTCCGGTTAATTGGATGGAGCTGTTCTATTCAAGAGTTCCTCGAAGTGTTCCTCTATCCTTTCAGTGATTGTCTTGCCTTCTTTGTCCTTGGCAGTTCTCTCTGGTTTACCATATTTCCCTGCCAGTTTCTTTGTCGTGTCACCTAGTTGTTTTATATTTCCTTCTCTTGCAGCTTTTTCCGCTGTCATCCTCCATGTATTTCTGCTTGTCGGCTTTAATGCTCTTATTCATTCGCTTGTTTGCTTCTGTGTATTCAGTTTGTGTCTTGATTTTCTGTTCTCGTTAGGCTTTTGTGAATTGCTGTCTTCTTGTTCTTGCTCTCTTGAATCTTATTCAGGGTTTCGATGGAGATCTACTCCTCATGATGATGCTTGTTGTGGCCCAGAACCTCCTGACACGTTGAAGTTAGTGCTTCTTTGATCCCTTTCCAGTTGTCCTTCATAGTAGTTTCTTCTTTCAGTAGATCCTGTAAGGCTTGGAACCTGTTGTTGAGAGCTATCTTGAGTTCGTTAAGTTTGCCAGTATCTGGAAGGAAGGTTGTATTGAACCTTTGCAATACTGTTTCTTCGGTTGTCCATTGCTTCTTTAGCTTCAGTTTCATCTTGGTAACCACTAGGTGGTGATTTGAATCTATGTTAGCTCCTCTCCTGGTTTTCACGTCTCCCACAGATCTGAATTTTTTACTAATACAAATATGATCTATCTGGTTCGCCGTGATGTGGTTCGATGAGACCAAAGTAGCTTTGTGTATGAGTTTGTGTGGGAATATTGTGCCGCCTATAACCAATTTGTTGAATGCACATAGAATTGCAAATCATTTACCATTCCCGTCCCTTTCTCCTAGTTCATGTCGTCCCATGATATCTTCATAGCCCTTGTTGTTCATCCCGACTTTGGCGTTTAGATCTCCCATCCCGATTGCTAGGTCTTTTCCTAAGTACTTCGCTGTGATCAACTGCAGCTTCTCATACAGTTGATCTTTATTGTCGTCATTTCTATCATTGGTGGGTGCATCACATTGGATAACATTCATTGTAATCCCCTTCTTTGTTTTGAATGATGCTTTGATGATCCTGGATCCATGAGATTCCCATCCTATAAGTGCTTTTCGTGCTTCTTTGGACGCCTCAAGATGAAAGCCGAGATTCTTCGCAAGACACAAGAGCGATGTCCCTTCTAACAACCAGAGCAACAATTTCTATAGGTACATGGAAGGTCCGGATAATGTGGGAGACCGAGAAGTCCAGTCAAATAGCAATATAAATGAGGAAATACAAATTGGCGGTTCTCGGAATAGGTGAAACCTATTGAACTGAAGCTGGACAGAAAAGGATAGATTCGGGAGAGATGTTGCTTTACTCTGATCATGAAGAAAAATGCTCTGCATACTCAGGAAGTTGTCTGAGTTTTTAAGGATGTTTTGATGATCCCGGATCCATGAGATTACCATCCTATAAGTGCTTTTCGTGATTTTCAAACAGTATTAGAGGAACTTCCTGTGTGCAGAGCATTTTCTTCGTGATCAGAGTAAAGCAACATCTCTCCCGAATCTATCCTTTTCTATCCAGCTTCGGTTCAATAGGTTTCATCTATTCCGAGAACCGCCAATTTGTATTTCTTCATTTATATTGCTATTTGACTGGACTTCTCGGTCTCCCACATTATCCGGACCTTCCATGTACCTATAGAAATTGTTGCTCTGGTTGTTAGAAGGGACATCGCTCTTGTGTCTTGCGAAGAATCTCGGCTTTCATCTTGAGGCGTCATAATTCTTCCTTCAACTCCCAGGGCAAATTTTGAGTGGTTCAAATTGTTTATTCTGGTTAGCGATTTTTTAGCAAGGTTGTTTTCTACGGGGTGGGGTTGCCAACCACATGCCCGACCCTCCTCCTTTACCTGGGGCTTGAGACCAACAGGAACCCTAGAAGAGCTACAGGCGGAGTTAACAGGTAAAGGAAAGTGAGTATACTTACTCTATAGTGAATAACATTTTTAAAAATCCAGAACTTATCTTGCTACTTGCGAACCTTCTGCTGACCACTACAGTTTCATGTAATTAAATACAGCCTGATTACATGCATTCGAATGTATATAAACCATATAGATCCACACTTCATCATTTTCCTAACCTCGTATGGTACATTAACCAACAACTAATCAAGTACTGAACATTTTGATGGCAAATGTTTAGGAGCGAACGGTAAAATACCTAAAAATAAATAACTGTATCGCCGTACACATTTCGAGTTTCTTTTAGCCTCAATAAAACTAGGGAAAGTTAGATGAACAAATTCAATAGAATTTGGAGATTTTGTAAATAAAGTCAGAACTTTCCAAATCTCATTTATCAAGCGAAGGTACCATGAAATCAACAGTAATCAAAAGCTCTGAGAAACTCCTGTCTTTAATTTAAAATTTAAATCATGGTCTTATTTGTTTAGATAATGCTAGTGTAGTTGTTCATGATTAGTTTGGAGTGTTATATTGTAAGAGAAGAAATCAGGAAAAGTTATTAGCAAGTCAAGATATTTGATGTCTTTTCTGTGAATTAAAGGTTAACTAAGCACTTTATTTAAGGGAAATTCTACCACCTATTGTGATTGTTAAGCATAAAATTTATACGTTGTACGCATGACTTACACTTTGTAAAAGTATTTGCATTTGTCTCAGTCTTGAGGAAGTATCGGATAAACCTTTTGGGAGTAAAGAGCGTTCAATTCGTTTTTCTTGTTTTGTTATTTTCAAACGAGTAAAGTTTTCTTCTTCATAACTAAGAGATAGTCAGTAGTCAATAACACAGTACTTCTGTTTTTCTTTCATTTTTCTTCGTGTAAAACTTTCTTCGGAACCACATCCAAACTGAATAGGTAAAAATAGCTTATTAAATTAACATACATAAACTTCTTTAGGTAAATCTTCTGATTCATTTAAATCAGTGTCTTCTAAAATAAACCGAGCTGCTCTCAACTTGGCTCGTTCTATTGACGGTTTTTTCTTGCTTTCCTCTAATGGAATAAAAACATAAATGATCAAAGTACCTACCGAAAAAGACTGGGGTCAAGTGTGGTGGTTGATAAACACCGTTGGGCTTCAAATCCTCAACCGTTTCGGATTCACATACTGGTCTATTGATTATGTCCTTATTTAAAAATACAGAAGGCAACTGAAAAAACGTACCACAAATCTACCAAGGTTGGGCCGTAACTCTGTTTCATCCATAATTAAAAAAATTCGTTATGACTGTTACTACAGAAGTGCTTCTTGTCCAAAGAAGTGACCATACATTACGACAAAAACTGAAAAACAAAAATCTAAAGGTAAACTACAGTCACGAATTAGGAATAATTATTTCAAAACTCCAACTGGTGCTGCCGTAATCACGGATTTTAATAATCTTGGAAAGCTGACTGTCAACGCGTTACTGCGGGAAGACTCGATGTCTGTCACAAAATGTCGAAAGTAAAATCTCCGCTAATTCCATAACTCCCATGGGTAGATAAGCCTACAAATTTGGTAAAGAATCTTGTACACCCTGGAAAAAAATTCTACCTCCATTTGGGTAGCTAAAAATTATTAGCGGATCAATTTTATATAAAATCATTCGGAAGACATAGAAGAACATAGTTTGGTTATGCTATTCGCGCTACAAGTCAGACAAAAATATACTTCAGTCTACAGCCCGAGACTTAGGGTTTTGTATGGAATTTCGAAGGAAACATATCAACATCCAACTTTTTATCAGCCCGATTAGTATAAATGATTCGTGGATTGGTTGAAGTTAGACATTAACACCGTTGGATGCCGGCTCAGTGGTCTAATGGTTAAGTGCTCGCGCGCGAAGCCAGTAGGTCCTGGGTTCGAAGCCCGCGGGGGGCGGGTTCGTGGATGCGCACTGCTGAGGAGTCCCATACTAGGACGAAACGGCCGTCCAGTGCTTCCAGGTTTTCCATGATGGTCTAGCTTCAATTGGCTTATGATTTCAACTTGTGAAATAAATGATTCTGTCAAATGGTAGAGATTTCTGTTTTACGTATGGAGATATTAATAATGGTCCTATAAATGCGATCACAAGGCATGAAGTCCTATAGTCGAACGTAAATAAACCCGGTACACCACGACCACATTCATTTAAAAATTCTTTCACTGTACAAACTATTCGTCAACTTCTGCATCTTTTGTATATATTATATACCTTTATTTTATGGTTATTAAACATGCATACATACTATCGTATGCATATCCAATATATTTACGACGAGCTAACGTAAAGCAATTAATTTCTTTGAGCTCATTTCTTGATGTTAAGATACGGCCCCAGTTATTTTGTGCCATCTAATGAAGGTAGTCTAGCTACTTGTCTACAGTGATCCCAGTGGATTTGCAAGTCAACATGTCTTGTGGACACCTGAATATATCTGTTACAGACCAGGGCAGTTAATTGGTTGGCCATAATATGGAAGATTTTAAAATTAAAATAGAAAGGAAGATCAAGATAAGTAAATGGACCTGTTGAGGAACCAACCAATGTAAATAAGCAAACAGAGAAAATGGCGAATAATGAGATACGACGGTAAGGTAGAGTTACTGATAAAAGTAATCAGTAGTGATGCATAAGTCGCAAGAAATGGTGAAGCCATACGAGTGCATAGCGTCTTTCCCCGTGAGTGCGTAGTCGAAAGCTATTCCAGGGAAAAGACGGTAAACCATGGGTACTTATATGGCTAAGTTTCCTTTTAACACTTCCCAGTGGCTAGACTGTAGTTACATCTGCTAGGATGGTGTTCCAGGTAAAGCCGACTCGTAATGAGGTGTGACCTTAAATGTGTTTTCTCTTTGATAAGCTGTTTATCGAAGATTGATTCGGCAAGTCAAAATAGTGAGGTCTAGATGGGATGATTTTATTGGGGTAACCTGGAGCACTCGATACTGTGTACACTATTATTAGGATCGTCTTATTCTCACGTAACCTACCGAGTACAATCCTGTAGTGAAGTCGGTCTTCATAGGGTTTTTCTACCAACCTTATGGCACACATTGCCACACGTCCTATTACTTGCCACAAGAGACCGACGTCAGTTTTATGAGAGCATAACAATGTCGTAGGTTCCAAGAAATGGGTGAATATAAGCTCTAGATAGTGTCGAAAAGAGCTCGAATCAGAACTGTCATTCGGGTGGTTGGAATGATTATAGGCGCAATGGGAGCTCGTGCTCTACGGGCTTCTGTAACTAGTAGCAGTGAAACCACTAATACCTTCAAGTAGGAATCAAACTATATTTAACGAGCAAGAAAGATATGCTAGTAAATTACAACGAAACATCTTCTTCCTTAGAAACAGGTCGAGCTTTCACCTGAAGGACTCCAGTGAAGTCACTTGAACAAACTCAACCGATAACAGACTTCAGAAGTTGACTACTCAATAGTAAGCTTGATATATAAAACTTATTGGTAAGACAGATAAGGCGGGTTTATGAACCATTGCGTGCTATAGAACACCGATTCTGAAGATTATTCGAATGATTTAAATCACTGCAATGAAAAAAGACTAAAGTATTTACCAAGTAAATGAGTTTATCTAACAGTAGTTAAGGTTATTTAGGGTAAAAGAGTGATTATTCGTAGTTATTACAAACTAAATGTGTTATTGACCAAATCTTTGTATAACTAAGAGATATAAGGACCGAAATGAACATAACCGAGCAAAGTACCATATCGTCACTTCAGGAGGAACGACCTACCAGAAACGAACTTCCCTCATTTTTTTCACTACTTGACTAAACCCTTGTAAATTGATCTTTCTTAAAACCTCAATTTTTCATTTCCTCTCGTTGTTGTATGATGCTGGATCATTAACAACAACTTCTTATTTGGTTAAACTCCGAATTATCGATTGAAGCGGTTGATCGTTGTTGCTCTTGGACTGCTCTTGGTATAGCTCAGCATTCTGTCAGATCATTTCAGAGAGAGATTCGGTCTCGTTTAATCGGAAGTATTCTTCACGATTTTCAGCTAGTCATTTTGCTTATGATGGTGATTAAACGGTAGTTTTGACGTTGTAGTCGTAAATAAATCCACAAGATAAATAATTCTGTAAGCCTTAGATATTTTACTGGGCATGCCCTAGCATGGCACCACTACTGTGTACGCCGTGTAGCCAATACCACTGTCTGAAGGTGGAGCACTCATACTCATGATCGAAGTCTTTCTTTTAACACACAGTCACCTGGACTTGAGTGAGCTTTGTTTCAGAATCCTGTACTATAACAAAACATCTCTTCAGTGCCTCAAAGTTTTTGGTGGTCGTCTTTGATGGGTACGTGATTTCAACAAAATCTAGTACTCTACATAATCTCATGCTGAAAATAATTCTGTTGTTCCATCTGACGAGGTACTATTGAAAGTACTGTAGATCATATGGCAAACACCCAGGTGAGCTTGTACTTTTTCTCGCTGCAGGTAGGCCGTATTTGTTATGCTTTTTTATATGAAGTGAATGTAGTCCTCCCAGTAGACAGATTTTAAGGACGAGTCAGCAATTATAGACGCGCCCAAGGTTTATCTCCTACCACCTGTAGCGAATAGTAACTACACACAAGGACTCAATAAGACCTTTTCCACTTATTGTAAAGCGATATGCATATCTGACAATCCATTAGTCTTGACCATTATCATAAATTGCAACAATCAAACTCTAAATGCTCGATCCGAACACGTAAGGGGACCTAATAAAACAAGAGTTATTCAACTACTGCAAAATACCTGCTACTGTGATGCGTACAGAGTTTCTTGGAATCACTCGTATTTAATAATTATATCAAAACATATTTTGTTGGCAAGCTACATGGTTGGAAATGCAGACCAGACTGTTTTGGAAATATAGACAATCTGAATTTCCATAAAACTGTTCTATTGATGGTCCAATTAGAGGCTCAGGATTCACTATGAATCTTCGGCAATAACTTACTAGTTCATTGAATGTACACAGTCGCTTGGCTGTGATAGATTCTTAGTAATCCATAGGCGAATATATAGGGTTTCAGTTTCATGCTCTCAGCCATCGGGATTCGGTGAAATGGTGCAGGACGAAGCCACCCGTTCCATACCTGCATTCGATGGCATATCTCAAAGGGGCTGAAAAAGGGTAAAAGAAAAAGAAAGGACGAGAAGCAGAGCAGACAATGTTCGTGAAGGAATAGTTAGGGTATGACTACTCCGTTTAATTATTTTTTATTAGGGTATTTATTACGCAAGAGCATTCCAATAGGTTAAAGAAAATAAGTGTAGACAAGTTATGAGTAAATAAACAACTAACAAATGAAGGTGGTTCAGAAGGAAGCTGAGAACATAGGGTTATGTGTAGTTATAAAATATAGTGCTGAAAACAATAATCTGATACACAAATGACTGCCTCCCACTTTTTGTGAAAGCTATTTGAACCTTATTTTAGATTTTATAGGGTTTTGAGTATGCTTCCTTTTTAAGCAAACTGTCTAGTTTACTTGTAATAGGATTACTCGGTAGGAAGTGAAACCAATTCAACGTTCTAAACACGATTTAAAGAAGTTGTGGTGTTCAAAAGAACTAATTATTCTTTTATACTTGTTGAATGCTCGATTTCGAATTCTAAATACAATACATTCATTCGTGCTTGTCTAGTACTTCTTGATTCAATTGCGTTATTTCTGGGACTCTTAGTTCGTAACGTAATTCAAATAATTCGAAACATTATAGAAGTATAATAATAATAAGTCACCATCAGTACCATTAGTTCGTGACATTTCACTGGGCCGTAAGTAGCCGTAATTAAACAAAATGTTCTGCCCTACAGACAAAGGTGGATTGACGTTATCTCCTCACCATCATTTTTGCTGGTCAGTAGCGGCACGCTCCCTCCTTATACTGGAAGCGAGTAGGTGTGCTCCCAAGAAAGCAGGTTGCCCTGTAGTCATTATGTGGTGAAACACTGCTGGTTACATGCTGAAGTTTCGGCCATGTTCGAGGCAGTTTGTAATACTTACCGAGTATTGGCCGAAATATGGAGCCAAAATGTGATTTGCTATAATCTACAATCAGTAAATGAAGCTTGAAAGGCAGATAATTTTGTACTTCCGTATATAAGAATACTTTTTCTTAAATTACCGAATTGATTATAATGTAGGTCTAACTATGTCAGACGTCATAATAAAGTGAGCGTCCTTATCTTGTATGATAATAATGACTATAATTTACCCTCAAGTTACAATGTGTTTCACGAGATATGTTGATTTACAAACAAAATTATACAAATGCTACAGGATATACTGCAGTATGTCAGTCAGTTAGGTTTATATTTGACGAGACACTGGTTACAGAAACAGGAAGATAAATTCGCGTACAGAAGAATGTGAATAATATTGATGAGAATCGAATGTTTGATGTCAACGTTTGCGCACCTTTTGGAGATTGCGTCATGACGGACAACTTGTGGTCCAGAATTAATGAGAAGGAAGTCCAGAGATCTTCGCAACTAGAATAATTGTGATGAATACATGATCAGTCAGTTAAAAACGTCAGCTTAAACTTACTACTCTGTATTACTTGATAGTATTCTCAAAGTAACAGATTTGACGGGGTTCTTGTAAGCACAGCTACAAATCTTTCTGAACTATGGGAGATATTAATGAAAGCCAAATGTTCTATACATATGTTTTCGGTGGTTTATTATCCCTGTTACATAGAATACACATGATGGTGCCTGAGACTCTTCAATTAGGATAAAACTTTATCACATATCAATACCCTTTGTATCCAACACGTTACTAAAAATAAATATGGTAACATTCCGTCGTTACATTCGATTCCATAGCCTTTTTTATGTAATAGTCGCCTTTGTATTTGACTTCAGTTCTATCGATTGTTTGCGAAAACACTATTACTTTACGGGCGACTAAAATAATCTAGATGCCTCATGTGATAAGAACAATAAATATTTTCTGCTTTGACATAAGTCGTTGTGTCGCTCTAACGATCGACCTATGTAGCTAAACATAGTCACTAACAATTACAAATAATCAGTGTGTATTGGTATCGGACCATAACCACACAATCCTCAAAGCTGAACACGAGACAACTCGGAAAATAGATATTCAATATTTAACGCGGAGAAATACCTAACGATGGAGAAGGAGGGAAGAAGGTATTGAATGAATTGGAGTTGATCGAATGGCATGGCTCGGCCATGCAGGCGTGAACCCTACTGAATGTTACCTTATGTCTTTGATTCATATTAAATATACTGTTCTTTCTCTAGCCTAAGCCTGTTCTACATCATTTATTGGTGGTTGTTACGATACGATGAGTTGGTGTAGACGATGGTATGACTTCTACGTTAGATCTTATAGATTAAGCAGTTATATCATGACAAGTCTACAATTTTAGGATAGGTCCATTATTGGCGCAGTACTAATATCATAGTAGACCATAATTCTACAAGTGTAGTCTGGGTGAGGTCATGCAATAACGAAAACTGTTTTGTGAATTTTTCAGTACATTAAAATTTAGAATCGTCGGAATTTCCGGAGTGATACGTCATGGGATTTTTTCCGTTCAAACTTTCTGAAAATCGATAGATAGCAATAATATTTGCATAGTGATGCAGAAAATAATAATAGGTGGTGTGGGGTCAGTATTATAGATGTACATACGAGTATGACATCGTTGATTATAGACGAACAGCCACAATCTACGGACTATCAACTATGTGATTTTTCATATTATCATGGATTTCCACTATGGAATCACTGTGAGTGACAGCTTATTATTTTATTGAATAATGTTCTGTAATGATATTCTCTATTTGGGGTCGCGAATCCTGGTTCTGATATAATGTGATCGGTTTTGTTAACGCAGCATCGCAATATACGTGTGAGAGGAAAAAATACTGTGAACCATCCATTATATCAAATTCACGTTTCAAACAGGCGGGGAACGTGACTCCTGTTTCTAAAGGATAGTCTATTATGCGAATCAAGTAGTGAAAATCGAGGATACAGTCACTTGTTATGGCAAACACCGAAGTGTAAAACGATTATGCCAAAAAAATGAAGCAGTAGGCAACAACTCGAATGCCATAAAAAGCATATTGTAAATCATGAATTAGTAGCAAATATAACAAATCTACTTGTTGATATACTGAAACTGAAACGAACTATTTTGAAATTGAAATGACAGTGGAAGAAACTATACATTCAAAAGAAAAAGTCACAGGAGAAAGATACTTAAATGGACTTTCTAACATGGTCGTGCCAGAACTTACAAAGTGGAGTCCATAATCAACACTGAATAAAAACGCACAAATAATATTTTTTGATATGTACGATTGCCAGTTAAAACAATCTCTGCTATTTTCAAACTACTGGACATGAGACGATCAAATAGTTAATAATAAGTGCTGATTGCTTGTCAAAAAGTAAACGGTGTTACCATCACATAAGAAACAATATTCTATTTAAAAAAACGGACAGATCAATTTGCTTTCCTTCAAAAGTGAGCACTCAAACTCTGGGACAACAATCATATGAAAAATGAAGGAATCATGAAATTAATTACTCGTCAAAAACAACGCTTCGGTCAAATAGTGGATAAGCAATCAAAACATACCTGAGCAACCGTAGGATATTTACACAATTTAGAAACCTTTGCATATGGAACATTTTAGTAAGAATGAATTGAAACAGCTGTTAAACACCCTAAAACATGAAGTTAACCAGCCACAATGAAGGCGTTATATTGTCTTCACTCAAAGAAATCTTTCATTATTTGGTAAGTGACTATTTTATATACCATAATAGAACTCAGTACATGCAATTCATGTGACTGAATAATCAATTGCAAGAACTTAATTTTTTATGCTATGTATCGGAATTATTTTCCAGTATGCTCTTTAGCTTTCCAATTTTTCCTCATTTCCACTTATAACAATCTTATGAAATGGATATTCTGATTATTCATCTGGGAATACTTTCAGGGTCCCTTCCAAACATATAAACATCTGGGTGGAATCCCATCTCTCCAAACCATATATCTGTTGCTTTTAAAAAGGCCTTCTAGCTGCCTCAACTACAGCCTCTATGGTTTATCGTTCCAGATGAATCCCAGATGACTAGGTTTAGCCATATGAGACACTGGTTGTTAGAGTGAAACTGGGCGAATTGTATTATAATTAATTTCACCGATGCTGTGTGCTTATAACTCCTCTTTTTACTATTAATTTTTTCTCATTATTTTATAGCCCTCCTTTTATTTCATTTTGTCTTATTATTTAACATATTTTTACTCGAGGTGACTTCATACTACATCACTATGACTCACACAACCAACCAAATTACTGCCTGATTAAAGAACAACTGAGAAACGAGAAGAAAAGATTGAGAAATGAATTAGAAAAATTGACGAAATTTCAGAAGATCAACAACCCATCAATAAGATCACTTGAGCCAAGTGTCTGGATGAATTCTAATTATTTGGAACCTCAATCTAACAACTGGAACTTAGCGTAAGTAAACATAGCTCCTCCAACGGATATTAAAGATGATTAACAATGAACAGAGACCAATGTTTCAGAACAATGTACTTTACAATGCCCTTCTTGGACCAGCTATGTCCGATGCATGTCTCATAGATTACCGTGGTTATCGTTATCGCATAATCAGTAACCATTCCATGTTTCTCTTGTTATCATTTCAGTTCCCCTTTCATTCTTTCAGTTCTTTCTTCATACACATTATCAGTTAAGTAAATTAATTATTTATTCCTGAAACAATGATCGGTTGTCACACGAGTTATCACTTAATTATTTTCACATTGTTACCAACAAACCTCTTACCTGGTAGTATGATAGATGCTGGTATCCAGAATCCCTACTTCCCTGAGACAAACGCACACAGTCAACTGCAATACATACGAATCATAAACAATTACCTCAGTGACTAGAATTAGTACAGTCAAGTGGCTAGACTGCCATTCGTTGAACCTAACCAAATGCCTGTAGCTATACCAAGAATAGCGAAATGATCAGTTGGTTTATACAGAATTATGACAAAAATATTGGACATGTGGTTATGGAAATTTATAAACTGTTTTAATTAGCCACTTACTTTGTGTTGTCATGATTAACAGCGTCTGTTTTAATAGCGCGAATTTCAGTTTGATGTGATGTTTCCGATACGAGTAATGTGTATGTTGATTAATTTGCCTGAATTTTAAATGCAAAGACAAGTGACACGTACTATTTATTCAATACACTGAGCAGTGTTGTTGCTTTTTGCCTGAATATTAAAAAAATATGATAGCTCCTCATTGAAAAATCCACCATATCTCAAATTTCTCATCTACAAGTTGTTTGTATAAAGGGCTATGTCGCTAGATAATGGTGAGACTATAAACCGTCGGGCGTTTACTCTTAAGCAGGACCACCATCAAAATGGACAAGTTTATACAATCCACACAGCCAATAGTATTATGCATATGGCACAAAAATGCGACAAGTTTCTTCCTGATGTTCCACTTTAAAAAATTTTTATATTAGTAAAAAACTCTAACTATAATTTGTGGACTAACCAATCAGATTTACGATAATAGGTCCTAGATTTTGCCCAAATAGAGACTTGGCATTATAGCTGATCTCAGTTCGTGATGAAAACCCTAAATCAAATTCTAAACCCTAATCATCAACTGTAAATCATAATCCTTATTCTTGAAACTGCTTTATAACCCTCACTTAGCTCAAGTAAGTTGTTAGACACTCTGAAGGTCATTTTAGCGTCGCTCAAATGTCATCTCACAGACTTTTTTCCGTTTATTTTTTATCCTAAAATAGAGCACAGATGTCTCAACAAAGTGGATACTATAAAAGTAAAAGTCAAGTCAAGAATAGTTTTGACTTGAAGCCAAAAAGATCTTACCAGAAAATTCAGCGCAAAACGCACAGCGTTAATAATCCTCCTGGGAAAGGTCAGTTGAAAGAACAGACAAACAGCAAAGTTGACAAACATCATAATGGATATCAACCCACACAAAATATTAATCCAATACAAAAATCAGAAGAAAATCTGGTTAAAGATAATAAAGTGTCAAAGATTTTCTCAAGTGAAAGTTCGCCAGTTCCTGACGTGTCATATTTAAGGAATTCTGTATCATTTAATTCTCAGTCTAACCGAAACATTCACTATGCATTTAAGGGATCCTCTAATGAGGTCAAAGTAAATCATTCAGGAGAAAACGGCTTTCAGTCCAATCATACAAAAACTAATGTGCTTTCACTTATCGAACGCAAGTTAGATATGGAAAAGCGTTTTGTTGATGATCAAAATTATAAGTTAAAAGAAAGTGGTGGCGTTTGCTTAGATCAATCATTTACTACAGAAATCCACCCTATTGAGGAATCAGACAATGATTATTCTAGTGATTTTAGTGACGAATGTTCTTCTATTTCATCTATCTTATCGTCCAAGACCCAGGAACTACTTTCTGTGGACAGACCAAACAATCATAAAGAAATGACCGGAATTTGTGAGTCAGTTTTAACGACCCGGACTTCTGGTTTTACTATGCCAGTTAAGGTAATCGGCAGTACTAACGATGAGATGGACATGAAGGTTATAGACTTCGAACAGTCAAACAGACTACCAAGTCATCATTATATTTTTTCAAATGTAAAGCGTAGAGCAAAAGACTTATTGAAATTGGTTTGTCTATCTTTAAATGAGTTTACCAATGTATTCGAGTTGAAACCAATAGATGGTTATGGATTTTATATACTACATTCAAATAAATGTAAAAATTGGAATCATTGTTATGTTCAAACACATGATAATGCATTTCATAGAGAAGTACAAACTGAACCAATTGATATCTCTCATGATGTATGGACTCAACAACCATCCGATGAGAATGGCGAATTTTGTGGAAGGGTTGGTAGCAATAGTAAGTTTTGGAATCTTGTTCACTTATCAACAAATAGATTTATATTTCAATGCAGTCGAACGAAGTATAAACTAGGTTGAAGAGGTCAAACAATCGACTGTTATATATATCGCAACATTGGTTAAATTTAGTTGTCCATTAGTTTTGGACGTCTACGTCTAATTAAGGTCGGTCAACTCCCCAATAGTCTAACCAGACTTAATAACGGGCCCTTAAGATTCTGGGTTTTAGCTCAATAGTATTACATGGATGATATTTTTCACAAGTTTAAAGATGTATTTTTTAAAGAGGGGAGAAAGAATGAGGCTTAGATCACAACTTTTAGCATTTTATTTCAAAATCTGAAAGTCGTAAACCCAGACTAAGGTTGTATAAGTTATTTCCACAATTCAATGAGAGCGCACGTGTGGTGTGTGCTACTAATGTCGACAAACGGAAGTGGTATGCATCATCAATCGAAAGCGAGGTGTCTGACTGCTGAAGGTTAAGAAGATTGAAGAAAAGAGAAAGAGAACAAAGGTTAACTGGTGTGGAAACGAAGGAACAATAAAGTATGAGACAATTGATTGACGTTTTGCGAATGAAGTGTTTACTGTATGGCTCTCAGATATTACTAAGAGATTCTGTGGTCTGTGTTCAAATGCATTTGGTTGTACCAACTAGTGTCCTCGTTCACTGCACATGCTCGTACTTTAGAAAATGAGTTAAAATTTAGCAACTGTGAATTGTGAATGAGGGTGAGTTAAGTTTTTACTGATACCAAAGAATAAATCACGAAACATACTGAGTGATAACGAGGTATTAGATGTGAAGTTATTGGAGAAATTTATTTAACCTATAGATCATATCAAAGATAACATCAGGTCAGTATCTGTGTACTTTTCGTTGACACAGTGAGACTGATATCTCATTAATTTACCCAGTTGTGACCATAAGAAAATATTTTTAGTTTTTTAATCACTTTCTGTGACTTTCCTTTGTTCTGGAAGATAGCTTCATAAATAGTTTATTACTTGGTTTTTCCATTGTTTTTTCCTACTTTATCATCTTCGCATAGCTAGCTCCCAGTGATGATAGATAATTTTTTGTGCTAAAACGTTTGAGTATTTCATCTTGGTTTTTGGCGTGTGAAACGTTTTGATAAATCATTATTGCTATTCGTGCCGTACTTAAATCATGATTGATAAAATACCACCAAAAAACGGTATAAGTCTAGTTCAGGAGTAAAAGAATGTCAAAAATAAACAGTTAGATGTTACAACGTAAAACCAGGCACATATATGCGTCTGTTCAAGTTGCTACACATCATTAGCATAACAATATGAACACCAAATTCATAGAAGTAGTCACTTCAATAGTAGTAATGTATAAAAGACTGTGTATAAGGATACAGCACAGGAAGAAAGAATTAAATGGTAGAAAGAAAGACATAGTGCAGTTTTAATTTCACGGTTCAAGGAAAGAAAGATGCCATTGTGATCAATTCTAAGCTATGTCACACAGTCTCCAACCACTTTTTACGATGGTCACATGGACTTCAACCAAAAAGTCTGCATCTACCAACATGGATTAGATTAGAGGCTAGTGACTTCAAGGACTGATGCCACGCTTTGGTTTTGCCGTTCCTAACCTTCTTCCATCTGTCTCCGACACTAATTAGCATTGCGTGCCGTGGTAATCGGTGGTCGAGCATACATAATACGTGGCAAAACCATCTCAGTCGGTGAAGATTTACTATTATTCCCTAATACACTGTTTCTAACCTCACTATTACTTACGCGGTGATCCCAGCAGATGCGAGCAATATTTTTAAGACATCTGTGGTCAAATACTAGCACATTACGCGTATCTTCTACTCTTAATGGCTACGTTTCACACCCGTAAAGTAGAACAGAACGAACAGCTGCGTAGTATACTCATCCTTTAATTGATAGACAGACATCTTGCCTTTGTCATAGGTGACTTAAGTTGGCAAAAACCAAACGAGTTTTTTGAATCCCTGCAGAGATTTCGTCAGACACCAACCCATTAGGGCTGATTAGATTTCCAAGATAAGTGGAGTTGCCGGCGTGTTCGACTACTTCACTCTCTATCCCTAGGTCAGGCGCTGAAGCAGATCAGTCCTGATGCAACAACTTGCATTTAGAAGAGGAGAAACGCATTCCAAACATTCTGGGATTGCTGATCAGTACTGTCAAAAGACTCTGGATTTTATCAGCGTCTTTGCCAAACAGGACTATGTCATCTGCGTATTCTAAGTCGATAAGTGGACCTCCTGGACGGAGATCGATTCTTGAAAATCCAGTCGGCGAGAACGTTATTTCCAGCAGTAGGTCTATGATGAAGCTGAACAAAAATGGGGATAGTGAACATCCTTGCCGGAGACCGATTGAAGCTGCAAAATCGGATGACAGTTCTCCGTAAGCTCTGACTCGACTGGTAGTGTTCGAGTAAAGAGCCTTCACAAGGTTTATGTACTTCCGAGGCACGCCTTCCAATGACAGACACTGCCACAGAACCTCTCGGTCTACAGAGTCAAATGCTGCTTTCAAGTCAAGAAAAACTATCATTGTAGGACGCTGACAAGCATGCCTGTATTCTAGAACCTGACGAATGATGGATATGTGGCCGATGTAGTCACGATCAGGTCTGAAGCCAGCAGTTCACGAGTATTAGATAGGCTCCCGATAATTACTGAGGCTAGTATTTTTGATGCTATATAATCCCTCTGTGCCTATCACAGGATGATTTTGACCCCTTCTTATATAGTGAATCAACTAGTGATTGCGACCAGTAAGATGGGATCGCGTCCCTCTCTCAGACTTGAGCCAAAATATTATTCATTCTAATCGCCAAAACTGGACCACCCTCCCTAAAGACCTCTGAATCCAATTCATCTGGACCAACTGCTCTTCCTCGCTTCAGATTAGCTATAGCTTTTTGAACTCCAGTTATAGTCGGGGTGTTACTTCAATGTTCCATTCAGGCTGCTTGGGAATGGTGAGTAGATGTAAAGTAGCTGAAGGCCAGCTGAACTGTTCTCTGGAATGTTTCGCCCATCGTTCTTAACGTCTGGACTGAGAGCAGATGAGGGTGTCGTCTTTTTCCGAAATAGTCTGACTTACACTTGACTTATTAATTCCAGTTTCTTTTATTAGTCTGTAGATCTGTCTTGTATTACCTACAGCCGCCACCTTTTCCATCTCTATTTGCTTTCGTTGCCCACCACCGCTGACGGTCGTTCCTTTGACTGTTGATTAACCTAGATCTGATCTACTTTCGCTCTTCATCGTGTTCAGATCCTGATGGGATGAGTTTACGAGAATCCATTAGTGCAATAGACTTAGAAGAAATCCATTGGTGTTTTGTAACCCTTTGATTTAAATCACTGTCAGATGTCACTGCTGTTTCCATGGCTGTTTGTATATCTTTCCAAGCAATATCTGAGTCAGCCTAGTTTTCAAAATTACCTAGGTGTGACTTTAGTTGTTCCTAGAATTTACTTTTGGCTTCCTTGTAGTTGAGTTCAACTTTAATGAGTCTTAATGTGGTTTATCTGCGTCTAAAGAGGAGCAAACAAATGTGTGCTCGCATTTGAGCATGATCAGAGTCTAAACATATATTTCGGAACGAGTGGCAGTCTTCTATCGAGCCTCTCCAACGATGAATGATGGCAATATGGTCTCTGAGTTCATCGCTGGTTTGGTACAGGGGTCACCATGTTAGGTGATGTGTCTCATTGTGCTTGACACTAGTTCTTGCTAAAAATGAACAATTGTCTGAGCACAGTTACAGTAGACAATCATCATTATTTGTTCGCTGAGCTGGTATACTAAAATACCCGACTAAACGTCTTTCTGTTTGGTTTAAGCTACCTACCTGGGCAATAAAGTCACCTTTTACGAGTACTATGTCCAAATGTTTAGCTTTCTGGAGAACTTCAGAATTCTTTCTGTAAAATTCATCTTTCACTTCATCCGGGCTGCAGTCAATGGGAGCGTAGGCAGAAACGACAAAAAGGCAACGACGTGTGTTCCTATCTTTCAGAGTTCTTACGGAACCGTTTAGCTGAACAGTACATAGGCGACTGTTAACGGGGATCCATTCTAATAGTGCTTGTTCTGCCCTCGTACTGAGTGCTACGCCTACACCATCCCGTCCGCAAGAACTAGTCATTGGGTCACCAAATAATCAGAGGGTATATCTCGTCGATTCTCCATTTTGCCGAGGTGAAGTCAAGTAAACAACCACACTAGGATCCTTTATGCGTGTTTTGGAGACACAGCATGCATCAATGGTACGAGATTCTAGGGTTTTGGTCAAGGAGGCCTATTGACAGATTCGACATAGGTTGCGCACGTTGAAGGCTCCAATGTGTAGTTTGGAGCGAGGTCTCAGTAGACCTGGGACAGTGTTTGCGCACTAGAGTCGTTGGCTATGGTGATACTTGAGGAGGAAGCCAAAAGATGAAGTATAGGGTTGATAGTTGAGGTAGAAGTAATTATGGAAACTGAAGAGGGAAATTGATTATGAATACAGCGGTCTTGATTGCTGTTAAAGGTATGAGGGCGGTTATCACTTCTCGGTTGCCCAAACCTTGGAAGAATTCTTCTAGAGATGCCTGCAAAGGAAACCGGGTTGGAGTTGGTCTTAGTGACGTGAGAACGTGACCGCAGTGCCCAGGGGACAACTGCTTGAGGCAGGTTACACATGACATTTTTGTGGGTAAATTTCGTGTTAGCTCTGTACTTGTCGAGACCTTACCGCCGGAGACGGACAAGGTGAGGTGTGCATTTTTAGGGTCAACCTTTTCTAACCCCATCCCTCCTTGTGGGAAGACATCATCGCTGATATGCTGGTTTTCTGAAGGAAACAGCTTACTGCCGTCACACCTCTGTGGAGTTAGCACTACGACTTCGCCTTTGGACCTTGGGTTCGCTGCTTTTAGTCTTACCGTTCTTCAACCGACCTTTCTGGCATTGTTGGACGCTGAGGAATGATTGTTCCGGCCAGTATGGCCTGATCGCTTCATCACGACAGACAAGCCCAACCACCACGTCAAGGTAGCAGCAATGGTCGGGTATATTCGAAAGTCAGTCCTGGTGATGGGTTTCAAAATAAAACTATACCTCAGGTTTCGGTGGGTCTGTAAATAATGCCGTTTCAGAACGTGGACTTTACATCAATTGAGTCATAAAGACTTTTAAGTTGATTAAATTAAATGTTCTCATAGTCACAGTTTTCAAAATCAATATTCCTAATATCTTAGTACCTCATAGAGTTGTTCAAAATAACGTTTTCAAATAATAGTTTTTTTGAGTCAAAACAATATGTTATCAGAAGGGGTTTGTGGAGATTTTTAGAAATTTTTCACAGATTGAAATCATGAGTCGGTTGAAGCTAGTTCTAGTGGGAAGCCGTTACCAGTGGAGTACAACCAGGTCTGTTGTGGGATATCAGCTCACTGAAGACAATGGTATATGGTGGCGCAACTTCGTGGATTGGTTGAATTTAGACGTTAACACCGTTGGATGCCGGCTCAGTGGTCTAATGGTTAAGTGCTCGCGCGCGAAGCCAGTAGGTCCTGGGTTCGAGCCCCGCGTGGTGCGGGATCGTGGATGCGCACTGCCGAGGAGTCCCATACTAGGACGAAACGGCCGTCCAGTGCTTCCAGGTTTTCAATGGTGGTCTAGCTTCAACCGACTCATGATTTCAATCTGTGAAAACAATATGTTAACGAGTTATTTGATCACGAAGTGAGGATTATTATTACCCTGTGTGAGTCATTCATTGTTATTGTTAAAGCGAGTTATATTGATATTATATTTTATCTATTTCAAGGAGTGGTCCATTAAGTCAACAAGAACACATATTCGAATACCATTTAGCTTATTTCTATGAGGTCAGTTTTAAGGTGTATTAAGATTGTTTGGTAAGGTCAGATTAAAACGTTAACCAAAAATCGGAGTTGCTTATCAAATTATTTTTGTATTTGTTATTGTTATCACAGTTTAGTTATGATAACAATATCTCATTTCATTATCCCGAAGTTATTTAGTTTCCTTGTGCAAACATTACCATGAACTTATATCTGTAAATTAGTCGAAAACAAAAATTACAATTTTTTCTAAAATTTAATGAATGTTTCATGAGCAGTGTAAACTGAGATATTCAGCCATTTACTAAACAGTTTACCCATACAAGCTTTTAATTGTAGAGCTACTGTGCCACGTGTTATGGTACTTTTTGACTTGCTTATATTAGAACTGCTAGTTAATATCCTTAGCCTTTACAATATTTGTAAAATAAAGATCAGTACGCGGATCTGCTATTCAGATATTAGGTCTCGTCAGTATATTTAATCTACTTACTGTTAAATATGCAATTAAAATATTCCTGACTTATACAAAACTTATTACTGGAATATTTTTCATGTTTTATTCCAAAAATACTTATTTAGATAATTCTCATATAAATGGTTCCTATAATTTATCTTATTCTAATGATTTCAATCATGTTTCATCCAAGACAATTCTACATGAATTAGCTAAAGAATTTTGCCTGGGAGTTAACACTTATAATACTACTGTAAATGATGAAGTTGAGCATGTTACTAATACTTCCTCAATAAACGAATTCAATACACCTGAAAATTCCACCTCAATGATGAATCCCAATCATCGATTACCTGATAGTCTATTAGAAAATCTTCAATTAATGTTGAATTTAATCAATGAAGAAACTTTAGCAAATTTGTCGTATTTATCCAAGGAGAGTATCACAGATCAAAATGATTTGCAGTCGACTGAAAATGATTTTGTAGAGATATTTTTTCAGTTGAAAGATGACTGCTTTTCAGTAGAATCGAAATTTGACCGTAGTTATAATGACATTCAAAATAAGGAGTTGCAAAATACGCCATCTAAAAATAACGTTACCACAGTTGATGCAAATGAAATAAGTAAACTCCAAAGCTTCTCCTACTTTTGGGAAAATTATGAATGTGTTGCGTGTGATTGTGCACCACAAAACCAAACAGTAATTTTAACCATTCATCGACCAGTTAGGGTGAGTATTTTTCTAATTTTATTTTAATATCAAATCCCCCTTTTCTGTCTTGTTCTTCTGTACCATTGAAATTTGTGTAAATTTAATTTGGTAACTTATTTATTCTTTAAAGAAGGTACGTACATGGTACAAAATATCAGAATTCAATTTTCTGCTCATTGAGATATAACAAACATATTATTTTATTATCGTAAATAAACATGATGTCATTCAATGAATAGAAAATGCATTGGCTTAAGAATAAGGGAACTCGTCATTTCACTGTAAGGGAATTATCATTAAAACACAAGGAACTGCTTTCAAGGTTTTGGATTTTGTAGAAATCCCCGGCAGGGCGAAAATTGTTAAAGGTTCTTAAGTAAGAAAGAAATATTCGTCCAGTGGCTGCCTGGTTTTAGAGCTTGTATTATCAACTGCCTTTATTTACCACCCACAAATATTCTATTGTCAAGAAAAGTTTTAGGACATGTCTTTTTATGATTATTTTAAATTGTCCTGTCATAATTTTACTTCAAAATCCTTAATTTTGTCTGAGATACACGGTTAGATTCTCCCAGATTGAAGTTCACAGTAGAAAATCGTCGATAGTGTGATAAAAGCAGTACTATGTAAGTATCGGTACTTTCAAAAGCTTTGATGTATGGCAAATAGAAATCATTTTAGTTTAATAATTTAGAAATTATTAAAGAATTTTGGGTTTATATATTTCTGTTAGTCATGTTACATACAAGCCAAAAGGTTTCATCATTTAAGTTGATGTTATTTTGTAGCAACTAAGGTTGACAAACGTTTAAATAGTATTTCAACAAGTTATTATTTTGTGTTTCAGCTAGTAGGAGGCTATATTTTAAAGGCTATATTTTAACCTATTTGACAGTCCAGTAATTAAAAATTATCATTTTATTCAGAATGGAGGTTCGGTTTCTCAATTTTTTGTTTTTTGATGATAACTTATATTTTAGCAAGTACGTATTTATATGATTTATATGATATGCCGGGAAGTCGCATAAAAATTTGATTATTTGAATAACTTCCTAAATTTAAAAACATCTAAAATAACTTTGACTGCCTGGTTCCATGAACATAGAGGGATAAATGAATATTTACTACTTAACACTATTTATGAAATCAAAGAGATGCAATTCTATTTTGAGCGGTTAATTCACTAAGCACAATTATAGTTTGTTTTTGCTACTCTTACTAGATGTAATTGTAAGATGGGCAATATATACTGAGCCTAGATTGGCTGAGGTAGATAAGGGATCCGCTATGGACTCCAAGTGTCTATCCACCATAAAGCTAAATGCTGGCAGTATTTTAACCACATTACACAGTTCACAATGTCACTTAATGTTGGTATAGATTGACTAGGGAGATCATAAGGTCTTGCCCCAGACAGAAATTAACTACTATTAAATCTTCATAACATAGTTCGAAAACGACCACAATTAGAGAGAGGCATTCCTCTCATACGTTCTTCAAAAAAACCGAACATCTTCATTTTCCTTGCACTTCAACATATTTTCTCGTTTATAGTAAAATTACTCTATTTTCATCTCATTTTCGTCCCCTTTTTGTTACAAAATGTAGCAACTTGTACAAGTCCAGTTGTTGGACCTTTATGTCTTTATGAGTGTTTTTTAATCAAGGTGCTTGATGCTGATATTTTAATATGCAGTCTCTACATTTTATAATATAGCACAAAATTTTGTAAGGATTAAATTTAGTTGAAGTGTTGGATAAACAGGAAAACAGATCAGTTTTGGTTATATGTACAACTGTGCAAAATCTACATATAAAAGCACCTGAATGCATTTTACTGCTGGCTATCCACGAGATACAGGACGTTTGTTCTATCAATTTTGAAATTCATGATTTCGAGGTGTATATCACAGCAAATGTCTCTATCCCCTTCAAAAATAGAACAGATTACCCGCCGTTTGAAACACCAGAGTGTCACAGGTCAGACTGTGGATTTATAATAACCACCCTTCATTTAAAAAATACTAGTTATTCTATAAACAATTGTATTTTCGAAGTATATTAACTTCCGCAGTTCAGATAATACCGAAATCAGGAAATAAAAGACTCTCAGAATAACATGTGGGTGAACGCGAAGGGATTATGTATAAAAAAATGATTGTCGCCCTTTGTAATTTGCTTGATGATGACATAAAAAGTAAGACTAAAGGACGGCCTGCTTGAGCATCTGGGCTACCTGTTCCTACCATCTAGATATTTCAACAAGTTATTTATTTTGTTTGTTTTAATGTATCATTATGTTTATTAATCGCATAACCTATTCTGCTGCGTTTCTGAAAAGTGTACAACCTTTCGTTGTCAAGGTTACAAAAAACTCAATAAGAGGCAATGTAGTTGCTGTCAATATACAGCGAAAAGAGTGCACATTATTCAAATGTTCATTTTCTGAACTGCTAACATCTAACTGGCGATCACTCAATATTTATCGCCAGGACCGACCAAGAAGAAAGGAACGGAAACTTGTTGAAATACTTTGCGCTGAGAATTCTATATTGTACCAAAAATATAGTATTGAATAAAGCTAATAATAATAATAATAATAATAATAATAATAATAATAATAATAATAATAATAATAATAATAAAAGACTTCAAAAGGTTTCGTTTGAATTCTGTTAATTCGACAATAACTTGCAGAAATTACCTAATTTTCTTTTGATGATTTACTTTGACTACTCAAACTAATTTTAAGTAGACGAAAACGCTCGATAGATATTTCACGTACAAAGGTTTGCGTTATTTATTTAGTTATTCGAATGATATAGCTATATATGAATTGTTAACTGTTAAGTAATGAAGTCGTAAAAAGTTCAGCAATTCAGTTTTCAGAAAATTAGGTGTTAATCGGAGTCTTTTTGCCACCTTAGGGTTTGATTCAGGAGTTTAACGTTCGGATTATGGAATACTCGTTTTTCAGAATTTTAGCCTATTTATTAGTGATTAAGAAACGAATCTTTCGTTGTTCACTGGAAGGCAGCATTTACTAAATCATAAAAGAAGTAAAAAGGAGAGTTCGGATTCGAAAGTAATGGTCTATTTGTTCTTAACACGATCAGATTAAGAAACTGATTAGTATGTGCTACAAAAATGTCTGAACTTAATATGGTGAGTGATCGTTGAATTTTAACTGAACTAGCTTTTTTTTCTCAGATATGAAAATCGTCTGTAATGATCCTATACAAATAGTGGGCAGCTGACTAGATACCTTTGAAAAAGTATTATAGTAATTACCAAAATCAATAGATTTACCAAAATATTATGCCTTATATTTATAGCTAAAAGCAAATTAACGGTTAGTCACCTAATTCACATTAAATATTTCACATTGGCATAAACTTCTGGCGATTAGTTTTGGTTATATGTTAGTGCTTTTTAGCAGAGAAACCAGTTTGGGACCACTTTTTCTGTGTAATGTTACTTGCTCCTTTGAAAGTAATGATAATTCACCTATTTATTACATCTCGTTAGTGCACATCATACAACAAATAAGTTCATTGTTTTTGCTCTATAATGCGAAGAACATATGTCGGATCATTTGCTAGTTATATGACTAACAATGACAGGCGTGTACGGATTAATAAGTTCTTAAAACTTAAGTTTTATGATGAAATTGATGAAGTCGGAGAAAGATTGCCAAGATATAATTGTAGATAATACACCTTTACACACTGAAATAAGTCTTTAAATCACACTAGTGATTTATACACACTCTTAGAAACAATTTACATCTGTTAGTTTTCTTATTCACTTTTAATTAACAATGAAAAAAGTAGATTATTGTAACACCTTTAAATAAGCTAAGTTATTTTAAATTTGGCTCATAGGTCAAAAATATCGCATTGATTTAAAATGCTTTTATATCTACTTTTTCTGCTTGTAATTAGCTTAATCAAGAACAAGAAGAAATAAAGAGTCTTTTTAATTATAGCAGAAGTGCTGGTGAATTTATATGTATATGGACAGAAATTGGTGTGAAACTATTGCCTGACCGTCTACTTTATTGTCCAGGCTTATCAGAAACTGGTCTAAAAGGCGCCAATTTAAATTGTGCAGTATTTAGTCCAGATAATGATGCAAATTTGGTAAGTAAATCAATTAGTGAAAAAAGAAGCAATCAAGGTTTTTTCCGGTTTCTTGATTCTTAAACAAAAATGTGTGTAATTTTATAGAAATTCTGAAATAATTTCTGATTTATTACTTCAGATAACAACATAGGTTTATAAATATCAATGCCAGGGTTGGACCTGACAGTTTCAAATAAATTGAGCATTGGGTAGAAAGTTAATGGTAAATATATTTTTGTTATATCCAGATGAGTAGAAGAATGGTACTTCTGACGTTTTGTGATTTAATGTAAGTCACTTCTTCAGAGTAAAAAAATAACCGAAATTAAATTAGCACAAGTTTATATAGTACAAAGGAAACAATGTAGGATCTGCATTCGATGTAAAGATTTCAGTTTTCATTACTGTGACTACATCAAACAAATCTATTCCCACAGTTTCAATTTCTCTCTGGATTCACATGAATAAAATTAAAGAGCTTGAAGACATTACATCTTAATGCGTGTGATTATTGTAAATTATGTAGGAATGATGTCAACATTTTCAAACTGAAACAACTACCTGGTATATCATGTATGAAACTGAAACATTTTAAAGTAACAGTAACTATAAAACAAGATAAACGATGATCAATGGAATAAATTGGTTCGAGTACAAGAAAAATTCGCTGTTTATTTCATCAAAAATCATGAATCTCTTTTTATACTTTGTGTGTATTCACTGTGTTTGTTTGATCGTTTCTATTATATATATCTTTTGTAACGTTACCAGTTAGATTATTTTGATTTAACCCACTTTTATGTAAGAATCTACACTACTAGATTTGTCCATTTATTTTTTTAAAACCAATTTTATAATGTTTAATAGGTTTCTTTAACTGTCTATTGAGGTATTATAAATTATCAAACAAATCACACGTAATCTGTTTATATTTTTCCCATGATCAAAATCATACTTAATTGTAATATTCTTGTCTCATAATTAATATATTACAAAAGGAAACAGTATCATAAATGGTAAAACATTAAATATAAATGGTTAACTGTATATTAGATTATTTCCAATAAGGTGAATAATACAACTGTTGTTTATCATTTCATGAATAATAATTTAGTTTTATGTTACATTTTATTACAGTATAACCCAGTATTTATTTCATATATATGTTTGTTAAATAATTGAATAACCTGAAGTAAATGAAAACCAGCACAAGTAAAACAATTCACCTATGATGTATCTCATTGATTTTTCTTTCATTTTTAACAGAAATTATTCAGAAAAACTATTTGATAATGCATAAAGCTCTTATTTACTAAACATAATAGTGATATAGCTGATTAGATTTATACATTTGTTATTAAAAACAACCTTGTAGTTTGAAGCCTATAACCGTATTCAAAGGTTTACACCTATTCATCAAGCAGTGAAACAATGAATATTGATACTTATGGACAACAAGTTGTTTAGTATGTGCTTTTTATCATTCCTATGATTTGTCAATCGGATGCAACAAATTCTTACTCAATGTAAGTGTTCTGAAGTACAGGTTCTCGCTAACAGTCACCATTAAACTTGTAAATTATTTGCAGTGATATTTAAGGGATTGGATGATCGCTTCAAATTGATAGCACTACTCAACCAGGATAGCTAAATGAATCAATAACTAAAAGACATAATCTTTCACAAGAAATCGTAAAACCATTAAGCGAGAGTTAAATCCATCTTTTTGACAACTTAAACCATATATCTTACTATCAAAGAATAACTACAGTGCATAACAATCCACTCTCCATTACTTTCTGAACTTTGAAGAGAGAGGAAATTCAAATTTTACTGGTAATCGACCAAAGATGTCTTTTAAAGTATTCCATGTATATGATGAAATTACTGAGTAATGTTTTTCTAACTGTTAAGTAATCAGTCATCTTTATGTGTTACAGATTTACAACACAATTTCCATTACATTTTTACGGGTCATCTATATATTTAGTTACTATTATCCATTCTGTGTTATAAAGTCAGATTTCTCCATTATATTTATTTTATTTATAGTATTATTTGGAATTACTGGCTTAAAAAAATGGTATATTGAAATCAATACTCATTCTTTTCTTTTTTTGTAAGTAGAACAAGAAATTTATAATTCGTATGTGTTGCTGTTCATTTAGTGGCATAGTTTATGAGAAAAAAAAAACACAAAATCATAAGACCAGACAGTTAATTTTGATGTGAAATTGATCTTTTGTTTTGCATACAGTAAGTAAACTAATTACTATTATTTTTTGTTGTTGTTACTTTCGGAATTTAACAAAACAACAAGGTTTCAGTGATTCAAATGTTTTCTGTCAATAAACAATAATAGAGTTCTATGTACTGACATACATTCTACTAGGTATAATTTGTATATTCATTCAAAGGTCTACTATGTACCATCCGTTTATTTACTGATTTCGACTGTTTCAGTCATAGTCATTATTTTACATTCAGATAATCAATCTTTTACGATCGATTGATCACTGGGTAGTGACCACTGTCATGTATGTCAGGTCCTTCTGAGTGTAGATCAAATTCTATCGACTAAGTTGGAATATGGCCACTAGTCTAAGTAACTCAACATCGCGTGCTCTGTGTGGAGATGTAAGGTAGTGGTTAGAGGTAGTCGACAGGAAACCCTGGATCTAGGTTTCAGTCTATTCGGTACTCGTCAACAAGGTTACTTGTAATCTTGAAGGAACTGATGCTGCTTGACCAATTACGTCCCGTGTCATCCAGCTTCAAAACCAATGACATTAACATTCAGCTATCCGGGCCGTGACTGACCTCCTGTAGGAATGGGATTAAAGTTTTCCTATAGTCAAAGCGGTTTCATCACAGTAAGTCAGTGTTCTTTTTATGTCACTGCCAATCAAATCTGGGAAGGATTGTATATAGTTATGAAATATAAAGTAAACAAAAAGCTTCAGTATACTCTTTATACATCTGTTAGACGGGTGATGCTTAAACTCTGGACTTTTAGTCAATATTATTAAAAGTTATAGTTATAGTCGTTCATCTTTGTAGAGGCTGTTTCTACCGGTTATTTTTTACGTAACTTACCTAGTTCTGTTTTCTATATAACTGTTTTGAGTGTTGTGCCGAATGCATAACCCCAGTTCCTCGCTGATGCAATACCCTCAGTCTGATAATTTAGCCAAGTTCTAGTCTCGTTTTCCATAACCTTTATTTTGAACCTCACGTTTTGTTACTGTACAGAGCTAAGTTTTCTTTAGATAAATATCCAATTATTTTAAACGAGAAGTGTAATTGTTTTCCACTGTTTCTCTCTCGTACATCCACTGATTCCATGCCTCAATGACTTTTATGCCCAACTTTAGCAGTATCATTTCATTTAACTACAGAGTTAGCAGTTGGTGAGAGGCCCTGAAATAAGGATCATTTATTTTGTTTTCAATGTTTTGACTTGTTGTAAAAAAGATATTTCAACTTTCACTGGTTTGAGATATCCATTTTAAATTATTCTCATATGACTTAAGAGGTGTATAAATGATATGCAGATAATATATTGTTTGTAAATAGGAATAGTCAAAGATAATTCAGAATCACGTTGGTCTTAGTACGAATAGCTCACTTTTAGTGTGTTATGTTTCAGATATGACAGAAATAAGTTTAAACCTCTAAGTAAACACAGTGTTTTGTAAAGCTGAAGATACATGGCCACCTATACAAATGTGTAGGCCAATTATTTTCTAACCGTTCAAATATTACAATTAAACCACCTGCTTTGGAGTTGCCTAAACTGAATAATTACGAATGCTAATCGTATTGTATTCATACACTATTATAAAACGGTTACACATTATCGAGATACCTAATACTGGGAAACTCCAACAGAAACACTTCAGTTCTCACCACATCTTCCTTTAGATCTATCGTTTGATGAAATGGGAGTGGAATATTCTGAAATTCAGACACCTAATATATGATGGATGGGAAGGTAGTTGCAGCTGGTGAACTGGTGGAAAACTTCAATGATTGAATATGAGTGATAGATATTGACTGTTAGAAACAGTTTTAAGAGTATGTTTTGAATGAATGTGTTTTGAAATTATGTTAAAGCGATAATTGTTGTAATGTCGCACATATGGTGCTAGGAATTCTATGCTGCATATATAATCGAGCAATATTGTTTTCATCATGCTTGCTCTAATATACATGAATATTTGTATAAAATCTTTTTAAACCAATCAAAGCAATTTATGAATTTGTGATCAAAATGACGTAGATTGCATAATCACACACAATAAGCAAGATGCACAAATTGATGATTAGAGGACAGGTGTACTAGTAGTGATAAGAATAATAAAATAAAAAATGTTATAGTCAATAGTTCAACGTTGGAAGTAGGTCAAACTTGGATAGACAGACTTTAAAATAATAATCATAAAACGTTCTTATGATAACATCATAAGAATTGTGTAGATAACTAAGTATTGAAGAATACAAACAGAAAGAGGCGAAGGATGAAAAACAAACACGGGATATGAAAAAAGTTAATAAAAAATTTTATTAAGTCATATTTGGTCAAAGAATGGATGAAAGTGTCACTTAGTGCTTTTCAACTCATAAACTAGGTTTACGGATCCGGATCCTAATAGCTTCTGGTATACGTACCATACGGGATCGAACCCCACTAGGAAATGACAAAGGTTTACGATAGTTCACTCAAAATGACTCGGTTTTATCTATCATGTTCATTGTCAACCAGGGGTGCCAAGACTGTCCTATGTATTGTTTTTGTTCGGCCCCTTTCAAACCAAGTTGGTAGTTGTTCACTCATTCGTTAATTAAGCTTTTTGATAGTACGCCCGATATAACTATCTCCCGAGGAGCGGTTGAAGTTGTAGATGTACATTGAGGAGGCAAAATCAGGTAACTTATCCTTTGTTTGAGTAAATAACACTGGTCTACTAGAAAATATCAAAGTGTAGAATGTCCTATTAGCCGCTCTTGCTAATCCG